AACAATTTAGCTATTTGAATAAGTCTCATTAAGCCACTGTCTAACTTCCCTAAAATAATGTGCAATAATTCACTTTTTGTGGGTACTGCCAATTAGGAAAACAGTGCATTCATCACTAAAATAAATTGATGCCAAGTACAGGTAATTTTGTATTATGCTCTCACACATAACTTCACAATTGAGGAGGTGCATTCCAAAACTCGGCTTATCCATATTGGGTGATTTTGAGCAAAATGTCTAAAACCTTACACGTGAGTACTAACGCATATCAGGCCAACAGAATACTTTAAACGAAATATATATGCATAGGTATAAAATTACATACGTATGAGCCAGTTCTGACCTGATATAACCTATAGAGAAGGCAAGTTTTGGAACGATAGTCAATTTGTAAATGAATTTTAAATGGAATAAGGTACGTTTTAGAATATTATGACCTTTTCAGGGTATAGGGGGCTACATGTTAAATGTACAGACACCACTCATTTTTATTAAAGAGCTGATAAACTGAGTTTTGAAATGAACCTCCTCAATTATACTCTCCGATCCGGTTCATCTTCAGTAAGTTGATGTAATATTTTTAATAAAAGGGATAAAATTTGTGAGTTTTAAATATTTAATTTTGCTATATCACAATCCCCTGCAACTGCCACCGTCGAGTCGATTGTTGAGGATTATTTCTATTTGTTTGTCTTCTGAGATTGATTTTCTACCCTAACCTACTCACACGCCAGTTGTTTGAAATTTAGTCACTATTTCCCTTAGATATTTTCTGCGAATAGGGTTGTCTGTATAAATAAAAATTGTTTCGGTTTTTTTCTTCCAACGGGCGAGCGCGAACCATTTTCCAACGAAATAAATAGTAAAATTGCAGGCACAACAGATAAATAGTGTTACACTAAAGAATAAAATTATTTTATAAACCGCCTTAAAACTACACTGGTGTGTTTTTTTACATAACAAAAAACAAAAAAAGTTGCAAAAAAACTAAATGATGATACAGATTTGCGATAATTCGTACAGCCAGGGCCGGATTTACCGACCAGGCAACGTAGGTAGCTGCCTAGAGCGGCAAGAAAATTTATTAGTTTGAAAAACTTTAATGCTAAATTACTTAGCAACCGTTAAACGGATTTTAATAGTTATTTACGTGTCAAGCTTTGTAAATGAATCTTTACGGGCGAACTGGTTTGTGAGCCTAGTAAAGATTAATTGCAAAGCGTGACACGTACAAACTTTTATTTTCACCTTTAGATAACGATTATCAAATTTAAAATTTCAATTAATGTGTTAAATGTGACATTTTATTTCATAAATTGCATTTCTACAAGCCTGTAAAACTTTACAGGTCTTTTATACAAGCCCGTAAAATATTACAGGTGTTACAATGTATCGTTTACTTGGATACAAAAACAACCAAATTAACATATAAAATCTCATTTACTAAGAAGGTGGAAATAAAAATTTAAATAGCATCAAATAAAGAATCGAAATACCTTTGAAATGAGGTATCACAAGCACACGGTGTGCCTGAACGGAGTTTAAGTCACATAAAAATGCCGCCAAAAACTGATTGCAGTTTCTTGTTCGGGACACTTTGGTGACTTAAAAATGATATTTACCAAAATTCTAGCTGCTCCTCTTTTCGAAATTTTTTGAAAATTCATTTTTTTTATTTTTGTTTATCTTAAAGGCTACCTTTGACAGAGTACTCATTTGTACACCCATTTTTATAATATTAAAGTAGGTATTTTGTTAAGGAGATTTGGAGAATACTTTTTTATAATGTGCACATCATTTAATATATACAGGGTTAGCCAAAAATCGCATAACACGCAAAAAAGATACACCAACCCATGTTTATCTGGCTACAAAATGGGATTCTTATTAAGATTTTATAAGAAAAATTGATTTTAAATAAAATGTAATAAAATAACATTTTTTGGAGATAAATCTTTTTTGTGCATTATGCTTTTTACTATATAAAAAAGTGATTTTTGACTAACCCTGTATAAATCTAATGATGTGCTCAGTATGAAAACCGTACTCTCCAAGTCTCGTTAACAATATACTCCAATATTATAAAAAACGGTGTACAAATGTGTACTCTGTCAAAGGAAAGTTAAACAAAAATTTAAAAAAAAATTAATAATTTTCAAAAAATTTCGAAAAGAGGAGCAGCTAGGATTTTGGTAAATATCATTTTAAAGTTACCAAAGGGTCCCGAACAAGAAACTGCAATCAATAAAAATCGGTGTACAAATGTGTACTCTGGCAAAGGTAGACTTTGCGATAAACAAATAATTTAAAAAAAAAATGATTTATTAACAAATTTGAAAAAAGCAGTTAGAATTTTGGTAAATATCGTTTTTAAATCTCCAAAGAGTGCCGATCAAAAAACTTTAATTTTCGTTCAAAATTGAAAACTACTAAAAAGCCTAAATTAAACAACATTTTAAAAATTCTCCAAGCGTTATTTTATTTAATTTTATTAAAAATCTATTTTTTTATAAAAGGTTAATAAGAATGCCATTTTGGCTCACCCTGTATATATCAAATGATGTAGACAGTATTAAAAAGTATTCTTTAAGTCTTCTCAATAATATACTCTAATTTTATAAAAATCGGTGTACAAATGTGTACTCTCTCAAAGGTGGACTTTGAAATAAACAAAAATTTAAAAAAAAACTTATTTTTCAAAAAATTTCGAAAAAAGGAGCAGCTAGGATTTTGGTAAATATCATTTTTAAGTCACCAAAGGGTCCCGAACAAGAAACTACAATCAGTTTTTGGCGGCATTTTTATGTGACTTAAACTTCGTTCAGGCACACCGTGAGCACGCCTTGTCCATTTAAGTTGATACTGCCTTCTTGGCACTCCTTTAATAGATTAATATATTAATATAAAAAATAACAGAAAGGGGACTTTTAACTTGCGCACTGTATACAGGGTGAGTTTTAAGTTGACGCGTTCCTTTTAAAAGCGTGTAGAAATCAGATAAACAAATAAATATTTTAAGTAAATTTTTTATCAAAACTCAAAAATAAGAGAGTTATAGGCCTTCCAAGTTTAATTAAATTTTGAGCCGGTCCTGGCTATTGTTAACAAAAAACATAACCATAAAAATAAAAATAACAAAATAAACAATGCAAAATGTCATATATGACAACAAACATAACCATTTAAATCAAAATGACATTTAGCAATGAAAAATGTCAAGTTTTTTGTGCCTCAATTTTTGTTAAAAATGGCTCATAATTATAGCAATAATGAATTAGTGGAAATGTTACTAATTTATGGAGAGTGTCGTCAAAATGCAAATGCTGCAACTTAAGTAAATAATGGCATTTTTTAATGCAAAATGTCAATTTGATTTAAATGGTTATTTTTGTTGTCAAATATGACATTTTGCATTGTTTATTTTGATATTATTATGGTTATGTTTTTCATTAACAATAGCCAGGACCGGCTTAAAATTTAATTAAACTTTGATGGGCTATAACTTTTTTATTTTTGAGTTTTGATAAAAAAGTTACTTAAAATATTTATTTGTCTAGCTGATTTCTACACACTCTTAAAAGGAACGCGTCAACTTAAAACTCACCCTGTATAGGGTGGTGCGAAATATGAATTTTTTTAAAATTGAAAACGCCTGTATATAGAATACTTGTGTACCTATGGTAAAAATAAACATTTTGGTGAACAAAAAATATTTTTTTTAATTCCTTCCACCACCCCAAAGCCATATTAAATATAAAAATTATAATATTCAGACGAAGGTGGAAAACGGTTTTTTTAGCCAAGATATTTTTTTAGTACAATAAACTTTTACAAAATTAGGTTAGTACCTAATTTAAAAAAACAATATAAATGGGGGCCCCCAGTCAATTTTAAAACTATAAATAAATATTTTCATATTTCATACTAAGCGGGGATCCGCCGATTTGATTTGTCTTCTTTGAAAATGAAAGTGTCCAATTCTGGAAAAGTTACTGATGTACAAAATAAACATTTTGGTAAAAATTATATTTAACTGCCCCAGAGCCATGGCAAACATAAAAATTTATAATATTTGAGCTCTATATATGAATTTATTTTTCGATTCCTTGTAAAATTCTGAGCATAATTCATAAAACAAACCATATACCTAAATTTAACCGTTTCTGAAATATTCGCATTCGAAATGTTATCATTAAATTAGAAATCAAGAAGCCTCAGTATACCAAAATTTTTATTAAAAATAAATTACTATAGTGGCATTATGTCAATATGTCTTGTTAAATAAGTAAAAAGACAAACTATTTCAACTTATTATCTTAAAAATAATTTAAATATTTGAGAAACGGTTGTTATATGAAATATGCTTAGAATTTTACAAGGAATCGAAAAATAAATACATATATAGGGTGATCCATTGAAAAAAAATATATACTTTTTGTTTTTCTACACTTTTAAATTTTTTGGGACACTTAAAATAAAAAAGTTAAAGCGGGGCGACATTATAGGGGATTACCCTGTACAAGTGAAAAAGCAGCCACTAATAACTATTAAATTAGTCATTTTTGACTAATTAATTTTTAGAGATTAAACATACAAAAATTTTGAGCTAAGTATGAGTAAGTTTTCCCAAGCTGATCACTTTAATTAAAAAAAAACAAACATTAAAATGAGCAGACCCCCGATCAATGTTAATGCCATTTTTTAAATCAATGTGCCAAATTATAGTTTGGCACTAAAAAAATCTTGGCTCAAAAAAATTTGTTTTTAACCGTTTTCTACCCTAGCCTGAATATAGGGCGATGAAAGACATTCAACAAATATTATTTTTTTTTCACCAAAATATTTATTTTTATCATACACAAGTTTTCTATATGGGCGTTTTAATTTTAAAAATATTCATATTTTGCACCACCCTAACTGTATATATTTCCGTAACAGTATGAAATAAAATATTAAAAACCCTTAGCACAATAAACTACACATGTTTATATATTTTGCAGATTTTAATAAACGGGGTCTGGATGGTGATAGCCCCGGAGCGCGCGTTGCATCATTATCCAACCAGGGAGGATAACCTGCTGGTTTGCTCTTCTTACACCGACGCCTCCTACATGATTGCGTTCGCATACCCGATCTTTTTAATTGTGATCTGCACCATCTATGCCGTGCTTACCAGAAAAATCCCTGAAGCGTTTAACGAGAGCAAACACATAGGTGAGTTGATTGAACAAAACTGTTTTTTTTAAATTTAGTGGTAATTGCTATAAAACTCAGGCATTTAATACTTTTTTATAAAATCAAACAAGTTTTGTTATATTCGTATAATAGCTTTATAACAAATTGTTATTTTATTTAATTTAAAAAGGTTGCTGACAATATTTATTTATTTTTGATGTTCATTTTTTTTTGCGAGCGATCGTTTTGTATTAGTGAGTCAGCTTATTTTGCATTTTTAAAGAGGTTTAAGTTAAACCCTGTAGCTTCTTGGTTCTTAAAGATATTTAGTTCAAAAAACACTTTAAAGAGCATAAAATTTATAATATTTTCTGTCCACTATACTGCCGAACTAAGCTAAACCCCTGTGTCTGCAATATTAAGTAAATAAGGACAAAAGATCATTTTTATTGTTTTTGACAATGATGCTCTTTTGTCTTAGCAGGACAATATACAGTAAGTAAGTAAGTGTATTTTAGGTATGTAAGAGTATAAAATAGTATATTACACTACAAGCTTTTCTCACAAGTATAACACAATGTTTTTTCTACGACCCTTTTATTTTTTATTATTTTTAAATATAAAACAAAATAACCTAAAAACTTTTTTGACAGCTGAATGTCAAACGATGCTGTCAATTTCATTTCATACAGACCTGTCACCTTTTCACCTTTTCACACAGAAATGTCACTTTACATTCGTGTTTTGCCTTGCCAATGAAAAGATTCATTTTCTAAGCAACGATGCCATAATGAAATAGTATATTCTGTAACAAGTTTGGAATACAGCATATTCCGCTCGAGTGAAGAGTTTGTCACACGAGCCGAAGGCGAGTTTGACGGTTTCACGAGAGCGGAATATGCAATTCCAAACGTGTTTCAGACTATACTTTTTCTACGTTTCCAAAAAATACCATAGAAAAATAATTAAATTGGAAGAAAGTGAGGTTGGATCGGTCTAAAATTTGTTACATATTAAAAACAGAGATGTAGCCACGAGTGTTTATTCTGTCATCCGATGATAGAATATTTCATTCTGTAACACTTTACGGAATATATGACATGTCATTCCATAGATAAAAGTGATATTAGAACGGTCAAATTCCTTATTAGGAGTAGAAAAAATAACTTTTACATAGTTGTCGTAGAAAAAATATTTTTTCTTTATACCTTGTTCGAAAGTACTTACTTTCGTCCCTAATAGCAGGGACTCCCTGTAAATAATTGTAAATAAAATTAAATTAGGCACTTCCCTGCTGTAAATTTTTTATTTTATTTTAATAACCGACCGGTTTCGCCTTACGGCATCTTCAGGGTTTACGTCAATATTACAAAAATATACGTTTAACAGACATTAGAACAAGTATAACATGTTGTATTATGGACATTACAGATATAAATATAATTAAAATACATTAAAATTTTTGTTAATTAAAGCTTGAATCAAAAATAAAATTTAGTAAAAGTTAAGGTTATGTTGTTATTTTATTTACAATATTAAAATCCCACTGCTAAAATGGATTATACAATTAAACATTTACTCCCTGTGCTATTAGGGACGAAAGTACGTACTTTCGACCGAGGTAAACTTTCGTCCCTGCTATTAGGGGCGAAAGTAAGTACTTTCGACCGATGTATGAAGAAAAATAGTATACACCACACGGTCAAAACGTTGAAATCTCGGTCCTGCGCGTCATGATGCCCGAGCGAAGCCGAAAATTCAACTTTCGGCCCTTGTAGTGTACCTAATATACTATTTTAATTTACAATTAATCCCGGCGCATTCACCATTTTTTAAGCGTTACGTATTAGTAATTTTTCTGAGAATTTCCAAATATCTGTAACACTGATATCAAGGAAATGTGGATTTTCGACTCTGATTATAATCATATAATACATGATTATAATAATTATTCCTACTATTATAATTCAGTAAGAATCTTCTACCGGTTAGCAAAAAACAAATAAGAAATAACTTTTATTTTACACATCTATTAATAAAATTATAATTTTGTGATTGAACTTTATAAATAATTCATTAATTTATAAATCGATATTTTCAATGGACTCCCTTTTGCAAAAAGGACCTTACCGACAGTATATTAAACGGTTACGTTCATTTTTTTAATTTAATTCAATTCAATGATTAATTTTATTTGACTTTTTTTAATTAATTTTATTATCATTAAGGATATTTTTTTTTAAATTAAAATAATGTTAAGTTGTTGATTCCTTTGTATACTTTCAGAAAAAAGTCAATTTTTCCCAAAAAAGACAATTTTTACAATGCCTGGGAAAAACAGGTTTTTTTTCCCAATTTTTCCCGTTTTGTTTTCGACACTTTAAAACCCTAATAATAAGTTATTACCAAAATATTTATATTTTTTTTGGTATAGATCTATTAGGTTTAAATAATTAGGATAAATAAATCAATTTATAAAAAGTAAACAAAATCTACTCCCATACTTTCGTTTCGTTTATTAGACATTTCCCTCCTGCCCTATAAAGAGATCCATTATGATACAAGATTTTTATTAAGATACAGATTATCAAGCAATAGAAATGCAATCCACGGCAATATTAACCAATATAAATGCGATACTCGTCAATATTATTAAGTGGTAGAGCAGGGGATAATTTTTTTTTATCTATCTGAACTTCGCCCAGATATGTAAATTTTGTAATTTCAGAAATTTAAAAAATAAATAAAGACATTTATTATTATTATTATTATTATAATTATATCTAATATTTTTACAAGTTACCTAATGTTTACATAGAAAATTTTAAAATTAGTGAACATGTGGGATAGTGAATGTAAAATTGAAAATTTAACACCTCAAAAATTGTAACAGGCGGCAAAAGCCCCAAACAACTTATTACCAGATATATGTTAATTTTCTACTTCATTATAATAGTCCTAGAAAAAATATTGTTCGTAACTACCATGTAACTGACACTCGCACTCATAATTCTAATGCTTGTCTTAGTATCCATCATTAAATAGTTCTTGCATTATATTGTTGTTGCATAATACCTATACTACCTATTTTATCTACTACTATTATAAAAATTGAAATCCTACAAGGCTGTGTCATTGGTCCTATTATCTTTATAATATATTTAAATAATTTATAGTTGGTCAAGCAAAATTCTTCCCAAAGAATAACACTAACTATGGAGACTCAGGCTTTTGTATCCAATGGTTTAACAACAACATGCTTAATAAAAATAAAACAAATTGCATAATATGCAATGTAAAATAATATAATATATTATATTTTATGACCAAATAGTCAAAATTTCAATGTCCTAATGAAATCCAATTTAATAGTTACACTATTAAAATAAATAAAAATACAAAATTTCTGGGCCTTCAAATAGATAAAAACTTTTAATTTTTATTATCACATTGAACAACTTTGCAGTAAGTTAAATAAAACTTTGTATTCAATTAGGGTCATAAACAAATATGTAGATTTTCAAACATTAAAAACTGTATATTATGCCTATTTTCAGTCTCTACTTAGGTATGGCATAATCTTATGCATAATGGGGTTAAAGTACGAGAGTACAAGAGGTTTTTGTTTGCCAAAAAAAGAGTTTTGCGTGCAATGTTGAGATTATGGTATATGTCCTATAGAGGACATTTTAAAAATGTTAAAATTCCAACTGCATATGTTTAAAAACAAACACAAATTTGAACAAAATAGGGCAAAAGTTAAGAAATGTGTATTAATACTATCCACATCATAAACTTTTAACGTTTAAAAAAGGATGCTTATATGCCTGCATAAAAACATTTTGCCAAAAAATATTAAAAATAAATAATAAATAATTTTAATTAATATTAATATTATTATTATTATTATTAATATTATTATTGCATAATGTTGTTTTTTGTGAATAATGATTAAAATTAGAAATTCCCTGCCTAACAACGGAAATAATGAACTTATTATTCACGTTGTTAGACATCAGTGGCCATACTGTAATCTATGTCAGTGACTATAATATTATTATGTTAACATTAAAAATTGGTAAAAAATGAGGTTAACCATTTGACAGAGGTCAGATTTTATTTATTTATTTTTAAAAATCATTTAATTATCTACTTATTGGAGTAGATAAAGTATAGTATTACACTCGAGATTATATGCCTTATCTCATATAATAATATACCAATAAAACTAAATAATATTAAGTATAATACACTTAGTTTTAAAAGTCTTGCACCAAGTATATCTAATATAAAAATGTTAATATTTATTGAATTCCAGAAGTATAAATATTGAATTGTGAATATTTTTGTTATGGAACTAAAAAAAATCACCGTAAAAACCGAAGAAATAAATCTTAAAAATCTTAAATATGCAAAATATGCAGTTTTGTACGTGTCGCTTAACATTTAATAGTGTTGAAAATCCTCTTAAAAATGCTTGAAAAATTCGTTTGAAAATAATCTTTTTCTTTGAAGAAGGTCTGTCACATCGACGAATAGCTGATAGATTAGGCTGTGACCATAGTACGATTACTCTGATTCAAAGGCATAATGAGACGGGTTCTGTGGAAAGAAGACATCGAAGTGGGCGTCCAAGGGTTATAACTTAAAGGAATGACCGATATTTAAGTCAAGTAACTAGGAGAAACAGGTCCATAACGGTCAGCAGTCCAGTACCAGTACCAGTGATTATAAACATATTTTTGAACTTCCATTGTCTTTTTTATGATTAATTCACAACGTTTCAATTGCTAAGTATCTGCAATCGTCTTCAGGTGATAATGAAAAATTTAAAAAAACTAAGGAAGAAATCGGGTTTAAAAGGAAGTTTAGACAGTCGCGGTTAGAATGGGCTCAAGATCACCAAAACTGGTTATTGCCTCAATGGTCAAATGGACACCGTTATGCAACAGAGAACCAAACAACATATTTGCAGTTACGAGAAAATGAGGAAAAACGTTTCAGACTTTATTTATAAAAACACTTTTAAACTGAACAAACGCTATCATATTTTACTATATATGAACAGAACAATAATTTTAATGAACAAAAACACTTGAAATAAGGAAAAAATATATTATTGCTCAAAGTCAAAGTCTAACTCGTCATTTTAACCGTCTATGTCTTCCTCTATTGAAGGGTCTCCTATTAGACTAGTATAAAAATTATGATCAGCCTCAGGAATAAGATGCAAATAACTGAATATGTCATCTAGTTTTGGCTGAGCCACTGGTTTCCCGTTTGGCCATAGCGATTCCAGTAACTGAGAAAACTGTACGTCTGAATCCTTTGATTCTTTATATTCGGTCTCATCAACATAGTCCGTTTTTATAAAGATACTATTTTTTTTTTCTCTAATAAGTTTTATTTCTTTTAGATGGAGCCAATTAACTTTTTCACATTCACAACTTTTCTTTCTGTTAACAATTACTTTTTCTAATGCCCTAGTGCTAACGAAATCATCTTTTTTTATTTCATGTACGTCAATGGGTCGCTTCTTTCTACATGTTTTCATGATGTTTAATAATGAGACACTATTTGAGGAGCATCCGTGCAAAACCGGCTAAATCCATTTTATTTTATCTTTGGGTTCAATTCTATCGACAACCAAGATAATTCTGTTTAAATCCGACTATATCCATGTTAAATTCACATTTAAAAGGTAGCTTTAGGAGCAAAACCGGCCAAATCCACGTTTTTATAGCAAACCCGGCTATATCCAATAAATAATAATATGTGGCTTGGATATGTCGATACTACTACTAAAATTTGTTCTGTTTTTTCATGTTTGCACCAACATTTTTTGAAATTTTGGCCTTAATATAAAGTTTTTGAAAACGAAAGTATGTCTTATAAATCAAGTACCACAAAGCCCACAAAACTCAAGTTTGCTTTTTCTTTTATCTGTAAAGGCCAGGACACCGAGAGTTTTTGCCATTTTCCCAACATTTTATTAAAGTGGATATAGCCGGTTTTGCACGGATGCTCCTCATTTGTTTAAACATTTAAAAAAATAATAATATACCAGCTGACAGACACTACTGCACAACAATGAATATGCCGGCAACAACAATAAACAGAGAACGCCGTGAAACACGTGGGAATTTCGCAAAAGGGAACCAACACATCTCAGAATTAGCAAAAGGGAACCAAGTAACTTTGGATCTTTATAGTAAAATCGAAATAGTTTTGGTTATGCAAGTAAGTTCTATCGTCCGCCAAATGGCGCTAGAGCGCCAGATCTTTGGATCGCTATTGCAAATCGGGGGAAGACAATATTTGACTATGTATAATGCAATTAACTAATTTTTTCGTAAATTGTCGGTTGGTTCCTTATTGCAAAACGGGGTCCAAATGTTCTGTTCTCGTCTGGAGTAAACGGAGAGCACACCAGCGACTTGCTTCTGCCATTTGAAGGCGGAACTGTTTTGTTTTGGGGTGGAATAATGTATGGAATAAAAACTTAACTGATTCATGTCCCTGGCACTATGACTGGACAAATTATTCCAACAATTAGAGATGAAGTAGGTCCCAATTTCATTTTTATGGATGACAATGCCCGTCCACACCAAACTAGAGCTTTCTTAGAGTTTCTGAGAGAGGGTAAAATTGACAGAATGGTGGCCACCGTTTTTTTCCGGACATGAATTCCATTGAACACGTCTGGGAGTATTTATCCAGACTGATTCGTAACCGTTTAAACCCCTCCATGAAACTTATTGTACCAGCTGTTGAGGAATAAAATAAAATTTCTTAAGGTAGTTGTCATGCTGTAGGCATACAATCAGAAAATTTTAAATTTTTGTATACTTATTAAGGACATGACAATACAATTATCCTTAAAATTTGTCGATTTAAAATTGGATAATTAACATGGATTGTATACCCTTTCTGTAGTTCTGTAGCAGTTTCTTAGTTATAAAAAAACTAATTGTCAGAAACTTTAAAAAAACTAACAGTGTTTTAATGTATTTTTGCTGAGTTTAAAATAAAAATAATAAAAAATGTTTGACCGTCCAATTGTTTATAAATAACCCTTTAAAGTTCAACAATTTTTAAAAAGTATACATACTAGTGAGTCAGATAAAAACAACTTGGCAACGCTGTACGCGAGTAAAGATATTATTTGCGCAGTAATTCAAACAGACTGATTAAGTCTCCAATATATTTATTGGTTGCGCATAAGCGACGTTGCCTGATTAAAACTTATGAAAATATGTGAATAGGTATGGTAGTAAGTATTACGTATAGGTAACAGTCTTGCGAAAAAATTATGAATCACTTAGCTACAAGCTCGAATACTTTTACGGTGCGCATAATCTAAAAATTTTTGACAATATTGTACCACGACAACAACCTTAAGAATACCTAAATATCCTTATACGAGGCATGCCCAGACATGTTCATACATTCTTACAGATTAGGGGTGGCAATACAAGGTACTAAAAAAATAAAGTTTTAAAAGTTCTTAGATTATTTGTACAAATAAATTTACCTGTCACTAAAAAAATCGATTTTTTCTCATTTTTGCCCCCCCCTATCTGTTTATTGGGTAAGTATCAACAAACTTTTGTATGTCAATTACCTAATAGAAAGAGGATAGTTTGTTACCATTAAATTTGCTAACTTCTAGATGGAATTACAAAGTGGTGCAAGATTTTTGAAACTGAGTGTAATATAAGATAGGCTATATTTATGATAATAAATAATTTAAAATTTTTTAAAGGCAATTGTGCAAAAATGTGTCTACCCAATAAAAATGCACGACAAGATAACGAAAAACGTCTGATTTGGTTACAGGCTTCACGATGTACACGACGTGCGTAATCTGGCTGGCGTTCGTTCCCTTGTACTTCGGGACAGCGAACCACGTAGCATTGAGGATAACAAGCATGTCCGTCACTATAAGTCTATCAGCGAGCGTCACTCTTGTCTGCCTGTTCGCTCCCAAAGTAAGTAAACACCGAGACGTCGCGACGTGTCCTATTCGCAATGCATGTTTGCACATAGTTCACGAGTTTGCTCTCCCGTCCTCCCATTATCATCGAGTGTGCTGGAATATTCGATTTTACAAACAAGGAGTATCTTGAGGGTAGATTCAATATTGACCGATTTCGGTAGCAATTTTCGATTAGCAAATATCATCAACAGGTTTTATGTTAGATTATAACAAGTCACAAACCGCTTAAAATATTAATTAATAACAACACGCGTTGGCAAAAATATTAGATAATATTATTTTTTTTGTAAATTAAAACCGATAAAGACGTATAAACTATATATATTGTGTTTTTTGAAAAGCGCACCAGCCAATAACTTTTTCATATAAGATGTATTTGAAATTTTTATAAGGTATTCGTAACCATTTTTGATATTCTTTGCATCACTCTCACTTCCGAAAGTAACCGGAAATGAGAGCATCAAATACCCTGTATATTTTTTGATATTCGGATAGAGATTTTTTTATTTACAGAATGGTGTTTTTAAAATTCTCTATGATGAAAAATGGAGGATTAAATGTTTGGAAAACTCTGATCGGATCACTAAGTTGGAATAATAAAATTATTAATGTCGAATAGTGTAGCCGGTTAAAATCATTAATTTAACATTATTTATATATTCATTCTGGTTTGGCCATCTTTGATAATAATTTCGATTCACCAATCAGAATTTCCCAACATTCTATTCAACATAAAATCAATATTTTTCATAATAGAGAGTTTTAAAAAAACTCATTCTTTTAATTAAAATATCTATTAAATTATCAAAAAATATACGGGGTTTTCCATTTAAAAATCTAAAGTTGATATCATAATAGCAAAAGTGGTCACAAATACCTCATAAAAATTTTAAATCCATACATACTATGCTCTCTAAAAATTAATTAGTTAAAAATGACTGGTTTTCAATTAATAAGTCAAAAATTACTAGTTTTATAGTCAAGTAGCCACTGACTGTTGTCCACAGCAATTTGTATCCCTGACTTTTAACAGTAAATTCTTATGCAAAATTGTCCATTGAATCCGTAAAAAAAATATTAAAGTAGATCAGTTTTTGAGATATAGTCAATTCCATATTATATGTAAAAACTGTTCTACCTTTATACCTAACTATTGGCGACATTTTTGGATTCAGCGGACAATCCTCCTACCATCTTCAGGTCTTATCTGCTGGGCTGCTAGACGTGTAGTCACTTCATTTATGGAATGGTTTATTATAAGTAAAAAACAATTATCAAGTAAATTTAAAGTTTTTAAAATATTACTTAATATTTTCTGAAAAAAAACAAAAATTACACTAAATAACAATATTAATTTTTCGAAATAAAAATCTAATTCGTTAATCTTTGCTGATAAAGAAAATTTTAAACTTAAGTTTAACTGTGTCTAATCGAGCGAGATCATTGATATATTACACCCATTTTAAAGCATACCTATTTTTTAATGCAAAAGTAAAATTATTATTTATTTACTGGTTTGTGAACTTTTCTAGTACTTTCGGGACTTTTTATATAAAATTCAACTTTTTTCAGCTATATATCATCCTCATACGGCCTGAGAGAAACGTCCGTCAAAGCATGATGCCAATGAGATACAGCGCTATAAACAAAAGTTCGGCTACTACTGGTTCCGGCAGCATGATGGCAGCTGTTATGGTGACAGCCGCCACCTGCGATCAAAAGCAACAAATAGCTAAGCATGTGCCACCAGTACAAGAAGGTAAGAAAATAAAAGAATAATTACATTATTTTAGATAACAAAAGACTCTCCTTTCATGTACCAAAATATTATTAATTTGGTCAACAGTACAATTTTGTTTTTGTTTTTTATTACGTAATAATGCACGGTGTGCCTGAACGAGGTTTAAGTCACATAAAAATTCCACCAAAAACTGATTGCAGGTTCTTGTTCGGGACCCTTTGGTGACTTAAAAATGGTATTTACCAAATTCCTAGCTGCTCCTCTTTTCGATTTTTTTTGAAAATTCATGATTAATTTTTTATTAAATTTTTGTTTATCTAAAAGTCTACCTTTGACAGAGTACACATTTGTACACCGATTTTTATAATGTTGGAGCATATTGTTAAGGACACTTGTAGAATACTTTTTATACTGTGCACATCATCACAGGGTTAGCCAAAAATCGCTTCTTTTAATAAAGCAAAAGCGTAAATTCATGATTTTGGCATAACACGCAAAAAAGATATAGATATATTTATGCTAAGATATAGATATATTTATACAGGCTACAAAATGGGATTCTTATTAACCTTTTATAGGGAAAATTGATTTTGAATAAAATTAAATAAAATTAAATTTTTTAAAGATATACCTATCTTGATTTTGAATAAAATTAAATAAAATTAAATTTTTTAAAGATATATCTTTTTTGAGCATTATGCTTTTTACTTATAAAAATATATATAATCTAATGATGTGCTCAGCATGAAAACTATTCTATAAGTCTCGTTAACAACATACTCCAATAAAAATCGGTGTCTGGCAAAGGTAGACTTTGCGATAAACAAATAATTTTCAAAAAATTTCAAAAAAAGAAGTTAGCGTTTTTGTAAATGTAGTTTTTAAATAACCTCGAGTGCCGATCAAAAAACTTCATTCATTCAAAATTGAAAACAATTGAAAAGCCTAAATTAAACAACATTTTAAGAATTCTCTAAGGGTTATTTAATTTATTATTAAAAAACTATTTTTCTTATAAAAGGTTGATAAATCTTTTTTGAGTGTTATGCCAAAATCATGAATTTACGCTTTTGCTTTATTAAAAATAAACGATTTTTGGCTAACCCTGTATATATCAAATGATGTGAACAATATTAAAAAGTATTCTCTAAGTCTCCTCAATAATATACTCCAATTTTATAAAAATCGGTGTACAAATGTGTACTCTGTCAAAGGTAGACTTTGAGATAAACAAAAATTAAAAAATGAATTTTTAAAAAAATTGGAAAAGAGGAGTGCTGCTCAGTTAGGATTTTGGTAAATATCATTTTTTAGTCACCAAAGGGTCCCGAACAAGAAACTGCAATCAGTTTTTGGCGGCATTTTTATGTGACTTAAACTTCGTTCAGGCACACTGTGAATGAGTATTTTAATTTTCTGAAAGAAATTGTTTGTTCTAATTCTCTATAAAAATAATTTTTTATTGAAAATATAACTTAAAATTTCATTTTAACGTTTTTATAATATGATATTTTTTATTATAAAGTATTAAAAATGGCGAATGCTCCAGGATTAATAATAAAACTTTTTAACATTTTTTGTTTGCCACAAGGTGGCCAATAACTTTACAAGATTTAGGTGTGCTAATTCCAAAACTTACTATCGTTTTGCTTAATTTGCTATTTTTTCGCGATATTATACAAAAGTGCTCTTTTAGTTCCACCCTTACTTCCTAAGAAGTCCCATAAGCCAACTTAATATTGTAAAAAAAATTATCGTATTTTGTTAATTAAAAAAAATAAATAAAATATTAATAAAGTTTCCCTTTGAAAATCATATTTTTAAGGAATTAAAATCGTTTTTTATCCAAAATTTGACAATTTTTGTCAACGCAATAAAAAAAAATTGGAAAAAGCCACTCAAAATAACCGCGCGCATCAAAATTATTTGCTTCTGGCGCTTGTACGACTTTTTAAAAACATTAATTGATAAATGCTTAATGATCTAATATTTCTTTTAAAAAATATATGCTTTCCATTTTTATTTTATTTTAAAACTGCAAAACCGTTTTGTATATTTTTGTAAACAATTTTAAACAGTTTTATTGTTTTTTCGATTTGAAAGCCGTATAAATACATGTTTCAATTTTTTACTGAGCACTCCCAAAATTTATTTAAGGGGTCGTACAAGCCCTAGGAGCAAAAACGATCGTAAATATAATTTTTTTATGTTTTGAGTACTTTTTTCCCAATTTTTATTTAATTTTAATAAAGTGGATAAACATAAAGTTCAATTTTTTTTATAAATGTCATTAAAATCGGCTGCAGGTTCTGCACTCGCGTAAAATGAACGTCCTTCATAACCTGCTGAACTGTGAACGAGAAATTCGCGTGCAACTTCTCTTGTTGATGTCATTTAGTAGAATTTTCTTTAAAATATTTTAGAAAAATAGACTTTAATGGATTATAAACGCTTTTAAAATTTTTATAAACGCTTTAAAAATTTTTTTTCGTTCTCTACGTATGTGAAACACCCTGTATGTATATTTATATACATATATTTGTATATATATATATATATATATATATATATATATATATATATATATATATATATATATATATATATCTGTTTTCATAAATTTAAATTCAATAAATGATCTAAAAATAATGTTTTTTTGTTGTTCTTGGGTCTACAATTTAAATCTAAAATATCTCGAAAACAAGAGCTAACCTAAAAAAAACAACTAACACCATTAGATTCAGCGTACTCAAATTAGGTAATCCCTCTGAGTGCCCTGCTTGTTAGAAAAAAAAGTTTCCGATTCGAGCACAGTGTTATTATTTAAATTATAATTTATTCATATCTTATGACTTGTTTTAGATTCCGAAAAAGAAAAGGTAGAAACAAAAGATAACTCCACCCAAACAACTGCAACGTCATCGAATAACGTTATAACGAACAACAATTGCTCAGTGGAAAACGGACCAATCGCGATGCTTCCAGGCACACAAATCAAGAATTTTGACTTATAGCAGTCACCTTTAGTGACTAGAACTTCTAGTCTCAAGTGCAGAAGAAATCCGGTGCAAGTGTAAGAATACTAAGGAATTTAGAACTGAGACTTCAATGTTAAGTGTACAAATGTTGCTTTTTAAAATGGGTTTAACTAACCATAACTATTAAGGGGGCATTGTATTGTTAATTATTTAAAAATGATAATTGTTTTAACTAATCCAGTGTAACAAATTGAACGATAAAATGGTATCTAGAAATTTTTAACATTTTTGAAAATTGTCCCACCATTTTATAATGTTATACCAATGTGCGAATTTGTTTTAATATTTTTAAAATTAATTTTTTCTACAATTTTTTTAATTTATTCTTTTGGGACCATGCATCTTCTAAAACTATTAGTAATAGAATCCTAAGACCTTTTTTGAATATTTAAAAAAAGGTTAATGAGCCAATAATAAAATAAAAAAATACATAACATTGATTAAAAAATTAATTTAATTAATTAAAACAATACCTATCTACAAAATCAAACATTGAAAAAGTTATGTTTATTAATAAATATCCAACAACAGAATGTCTTCTTAAATTTAAATTAATACTAATAGAAGTGTAAAAGTATAGTAAGTATACTTACAACTATAATTATTATACTTATAAAAAGTTACTAAAATAAATAATTTAAAAATGTTCCAGTAGGTTCTAATGTACATTTTGTAAACAGGGTATTGAATTTTGTTGAAGATATTTATATAACTAAATATAAATAAATGTAGCTTATTATTTTAAATAACGTCTTCATATGTAAGTATATTACTTACTAAAAATATATATTTATTATGGTGCTGTGAAAAAACATTTCTCAAAATATAAAAAGAATATATGTTAATGTGTTATTGTAAATATTATCAATAATATATATACGTAATTTGTATTAAATGTTTCAATGTTTATAAATTGTAATTGTAGATATTAAATAAGGTTGTGGTTTACTATGTTCAAATAAATAAAGCATACTAAGATTAGGTAGCTAGGTAGGTTATTTATAAAGTTATAACTTTCATGATAAAAAACATTTTCAATCAACTAAAATATGTTAATTTAATTATTGTTTTATCATTAATGTTTAGTTTGTAAATGGACCAATTGTAATAATTTTATTGACATTTTGACAAAGTGCAAATGAATTTAACTTGAAACTAAAAACATTTGCGCTTTTTCTAATTTCTTCCAGCTCTGACTGATTTCTCCATTTAATGAGCCCTAACGTAGAACTCCAGTCAGACCTAATTTAGTTTGTACCAGAAAATGGGTGTAAATAGTCGAGAATAATTCTTTGAATAACTATAAGCATTAGACATAATAAAACTATTTACATCAAGTATAAAAAATGATTAATTGTACCTGTACGTTTTCAATGGCATACCTACTAATCTGTACTAAATATTAAATGGAAAATAAAATTTAAAAATATAACAGTGATAGTTTTGACAACCTATCCATTTTTAATATACATTTTAATTGTGCTTTTATCAGTCCAATCCTGGTTCTCCAAATGAAACAAGTTCTTTATTACAATGCTTTATTCATATCACAAAGAACATACATAATTCCAAAAAGACACACTAAAAATATGTTATATAAAATGTGGGCCCAATTCCTGAATGACTTATCTCAGTAGTTTAAAACCTATAAAATTAGAAATTTGCTTTCATTAAAATTTCATCACAATACAAAATACAACAAACCAAATAAATCAAATTAAAAAAGGCATAAAGAGGTGAGGATCATTAAAATTTCTGTATTCAACAATCATTTATTGATTTTGTTAGAATCACAACTATTTAATTCTAGACAAATCTATATTAAAAAATATCAGCTTAACTAGCAATATAAATCCAACAAAATTACATAACAATGATATTTTATTAATATTTTGGAAATATTTAAACGATTAATTACCTCATCCTAATAATTACGACTTTAACCAAAACTTACCACTATGTCTTATACCTTTTGTTTTTGTTGTTTTCTTTGATTTTTCCCCTGTCGCAGCTGCCTCACGATTATCCGTAGCCATGGCCTCATCAGTACCATCAGACCTCTCTTGCAATTGAGTCTTTAAAGTTTTTTTGATATTTACAATCTTAAAATAAACATTGAAAGTATTATAATATAATTAAAATTATAATAACCTGTGAAACAGTAAAATAAAGGACAATTTTTCGTCAAATTTTTTTTTATCACCTGATTTATTTAATATAATTACCTCTTGCTCTATTTCTCCCTTCCTTGTCATACAGCGAGTTTTCTCAGTATTGGCCCTTATAATTTGCGTTTCAACGCAACTTAAAACCCCCTCACAAGCTGAGCACCACTCATCCAAGCAGTTGACAATTATGTTTATGTCTTTGGCTCTTATATCCCTGCCCAGAGCATAATCGATTTCTAATAGACTGTTCTTTTGATCCAATTTACCGTGGATAATGTCTGCGTAAATAGCTTCAATTATCAAATCCTCAAGATCCCTGACATTTTTCATATCCAGTTCTTGCAATAATGTGTTATATTGAATACACTAAAATTTCATTACAACAATAAACATTTAAACTAAAATGTTGAAATTTTGTTACTTAAAAAAATATTGTTTATACAACCGTGCGGCAATTTATGCACGTCAGTGTTCCCCCTTGCAGGCAAATTGATAATTTAGGTTGGTCAGAGTCTAATATTATCGTTTATTATTGCAAAACTTGGTTGAAAATATTGACCAAACTTCTACAGACATAAGTGCATAGGGATAATTTTTTATTGATTTCTCATGGTCACGTTGTGAGATATAATTTCATACAATGTATATAATGTAAAAATACATACATATATAGAACATGTCATGTTCTACAAGGTGTCCCTAAACTTAGTGGCATAAATTTAGGAGCAGATTAAGCAAGTCAAAATACGACGAAAATCTAAATAAATATTTTTCCTAATTACGTATGTTTAAAAGATACAGGGTGATTAAGTGTTACTTATCATGTCAGTTTTTTTAATATAACTTCTACTATGGTAGAATTGGAAAGGTGATATTTTGCGAACAGTCACTTACTACCAAAACACATATTCACACATAATTACAATTGTTCAAGTGAACACAGTGTCGTAGAAACAGGGGTTGCTTAAGCTTATTGTCCCATAAAAACTTTAAGGTTAGGTTTTTATACCATTTGATGCAGTTTTTCGATTACTCAGTTCGGCTACTATTAAAAAGGTGTACCTCTCAAACTTCGATAAAATAAACCGTTTCCGAGATATTCGAGATTACAATAATTCTTAAATCGCTAAAAGGTATATGATAACAAATTTTTTAATTGAAAAAACTACAATTTTTTTAATGTGACAGTCAGGGCAAAAAGTCCCGAGGCTCATGGAATGCCTTTTTTAGTTTTTTTAATTAAAAAATAAAATTTGTTATCATATACCCATTAATCCTTTTAAATAATGCGATATAACAATTATTGTAATCTCGAATATCTCGAAAACTGTTTATTTACTCGAAGTTTGAGAGGTACACCTTTTTAATAGTAGCCGAACTATGCAAACTAAAAATTGCATCAAATGTTATAAAAACCTAACCTCAAAGTTTGTATGGGACAATAAGCTTAAAGAAACCCCCGTTTCTACGACACTGTGTTCACTCAAAGAATTATAATTATGTGTGAACATGTGTTTTGGTAGTAAGTGACTGTTCGCAAAATATCACCTTTCCAAGACTACCATAGTAGAGGTTGTATTAAAAAAACTTATACAGGGTGTTCCGAAATTAGTGCACCATACTTTAACAGCAGATTCTACGTGCAAAAATAAGAAAAAAGTCCTCATAAATATAGGTCGAGAAATGCCTCCTAAGGGAGCTACAGCCCCCGAAAAGGGAGCCCCTGAAGATGGTTTTTATCTAATATAAATAAAAAAGTAGAAACACTCAGTCAGTTACTACATAAAACTGTCACCTGTCTTGAATTATTCTATTTTATCTTAAACATGGCAGCCGTATTCCAAGGACCACGCGAGTCCATTTCTATGGTTCTGATTTAATTGTAAATTTTTATGCCATGTAAAATAATTTTCAAATCGATCGTATGTTATCGAAGTTCAACAAGATGACCTTTTTTATATGAAAAAAAAATTTCATAATCTAATACCAAATTCTGATACAAGATACGTACAAAAAAGTTAAGGTGGTTTTAACCCTACTTCCTATCAATTTGACGCAAACCTCATAAAAAATTTTAAATTGTTATTGTTACGTCCTATTGGTCATAAAAAGTTTAATTAATTCCCCAAATTTCACTTATATATCTTTAACGGTTTTGGAGATATTAAATAAAAACCATCTTCAGGGGCTTTCCTTTTGGGGGCTGTAGCTCCCTTAAGAGGCATTTCTTGACCTATGTTTATAGGGACTTTTTTTCTTATTTTTGCACGTACAATCTGCTGTTAAAGTATGGTGCACTAATTTCAGGACACTGTATGATAAGTAACACTTTATCACCCTGTATCTTGGAAACCTAAGTAATTAGGAAAAATATTTATTTGGGTTTTCGACTTATTTTGACTTGTTCAATCTTTTCCTAAATTTATGCCAATAAGTTTAGGGACACCTTGTATATTATATATTATATTATATATGTATGTTTTTTTAGATAATATCAATATCAATAGGGTAGCCCAAACTAAATTCTGTTTTTTATGGCTGTCATTAAATTTTAAAATTGAATGATACCAACTTTTTGAAAAAACAAACGCGTTAATTGTCATTGCAGGCAAGCGTACGTAAATTGATTATAATTTTATATGTTTTATTTAAAAATCAGTCGGATATTCTCTATGAAACTTTGTAAATATCTTATTAGTAGACTCTACTAAACAATAGCAAGACTTAACAAGCTAATATTTTTTTAATTAAAAAAAGACAATCTTAATTAAACAATGTAAATATTTTATTAGTAGATTCTACCCTAGGGATTCTACTGCAACGTAAAATTTTCTTATAGTGACTATGACTACATATTATGGCCAAACCTCCTTTAGATAACGTGGGTATGGAATTGTTGCTTCATTTTCGGTACAAGTATATTAATTACTTAAACCGTTTAATAGATGTCAGATAAGGAAAAAGTGAGGTTAAACCCGTCTTACAGATGTCAGATTGTTAAAAAGTGGCGTTAAAACCGATTGACCCTTGTCAGATTCCAGATAAAATGTCAAATAAAATTGACACATGCAGCATTAGGGGGATAGCACTGAATTCTAAGGGGAAATTGAGCTTTATCTGGATCATTTGGGGGAAAATCACTTTGGTAATCTGGCAACACTGTCAGTGTTACACTGATCTCTCATATAATAATACACAATAATAAGAAATTTTTTTAGGTTAGGTGACATGATGACATTTTAGCTTTACTTCTGTAGAGTTTAATAATAATTTAAGTTTTAAACTAAAAATAATATAGACCTATGAGTGTTATAATATGATAATTATTGTACGCTTGAAAAAAAAATGTTTATATGCATAAAAATTAATAAAATATTAATTGTATAACCAACCCTATAACCTAAATTAAACGTAAACTCTTTAATTAATGTCCATTTACCTTTGTTTTGGTGGCTAACGTAACAATACTTAAATGCTGCAACTTCTTCTTCTGCAGTGGTGTCAACTCAAAATATTCGGCAGGATTGGCAATGTAATCCTTAAATGTGCCATAGGCAAACAAACTTAAAGCATTAAAAGCATTTTTAAAAGGCCCATTTTCAAGCTAAAATAAACCATACAATATATAATAAAACCCCAAAACACCAAGTATGGAACTAACAAACCTCTGTAATGTTTGGCATATCCAACAATTCCCCAAAAACATAAACCCCTGGGGCCTCCAAAGCTTGTTTAATTAATTCAACGCATGCTGCACCCTTTGCTGACTTACTTAGCAACACAAATTGCTCCAGAGCATTGCCAGAAATAGGACTTTTATCGACAACCATTTTCCGTATATAAACAACTGTCACTACTGTCAAAGAGAGGTTATGTTTTGTGACGTCAAATTGTTAGGAGGTTTTGTGCGGTATACCGGTATACCGGTATTTAGTGGGTAATTCAAAAATTAATTTTAAGGGATTTTTTTAAATTTAAATAACAGATATTTAATGATGTAATATTGTTGAATAACTACAAATTTTAAAGTATTTTTGTAATTATGCAAGGGTAAATAGTTGCCATGGCATTCAATGAATGAAGCGTTTAATCAATAAAATAAAAGCACTAACAATGGTTGGTTTTATTAAAAATAAAATGCTGCATTAATAATATTGTGAATGTTTTAGGATGAGATAGATTTGAGGAATGAAATAATTCGTTTAAAAAAGCGTGCGAGTGTTTATAGGGAAGAAAATCAAATGTTAAAAGTTAAAGTCAGAAAATTGTCAAGTCAAATGTTCAAAAAAGATAAAGAAATTGAAGCATTGTTGAATCCAAAACAGGTTGTAATTTATTGTAAATTGACATTTTGTTATTTTTTTGGTAGATTTCTAATTTTAGGAAAGTATTTAGCGAAAGAAGTGTAGCAATAATTTCGCAGTTGCGGGAAGAAAATGAAAATTTGGAAAAGCAATTAAATGAAAAGAATTCAATTATTAAAAAATTACAGGATAACTTAAAAATTGCAAAATGTTATACTTCATCTGAGGCGTTAAATAAAAAAAACAAATTCAACAGAAATTCGGATTTAAGGAAAGAAAAGTTACAGCTAATATTAAATTTAAAAGAAAAAGATCCTGTTTCAAATTGGTAAGTCTTAAAAACATAAAAAGTTACGTACTTACCTATGTACAATGTACATTGTACATAATATGTATTATATGAAAAATTATTTATTTCTTTTAGTTTTACGCCCGATGATCAACAAACTCTCATAGAAATGTCAGAACCAAACTCAGCAAAAGGTAGGTATAAATAAATATATAAATATATATATCTATATATATATACCTAGCAATAGGTATTATATTAATTATATTATGCTTTACTTACCGCATTCTCAAGTATACTTACACACTATAGTATATATATAGTGTGGTAATAGTTATTTACGATATAAGTGGGATAAGAGCTTTATTAACGTACGCATGCGAAATTTGCCCAACGAGTGCGTAGCACGAGTTGGGCAATCGCAAAAGTACGTTAATAAAGCGTTATCACACGTATATTGTACAAATTTTTATCTACGCCTCTAAATGAAAAAATAAACGTAGAACGGGGTGACTTCGGACGATTTTTTAAGTTTTTTCAAATTTTGAATCGGTTCTGTTTGTTATTTTGAACTAAATTTTTTACAGGGGATTTTGGCATCCTTCCGGTATAAGTTTACGTAAAAATTATAATAGTCATACAAATACTAATACTACTTTTTTTTTGTCAAAGTCTGTCCGAAGTCACCCCTTAAGGTGGGGCGATTTCGGACAAGCGTTGTAAAATGTATATAATCGAAGCTAGCACATTCAGTGGCGACTTCGGACAGAAATATTGCTTTAAAAAAAAGTATAAAGCATAAAATTATGATAAAAAAGCATTGAAATTAGGTAACAACTCATTCAAATGAAAAAGGGCATTTTATTTATCAAAATACAAAATAAAATTGAATTCTGAGGATCAAAACAATAAAACAAATTTATTTCTTCTTATACTAAATACTAGTATATTAAAAAATATTGTCCTCTGTATAGTTTCTGTAAAAATTGCTCTCCAACATTTTTTTATAGACCCTAACCATGTCCGAAGTCGCCCCCTAAAATGCAAATATTTGTATTACACCCCTGTATAAAAGTTAATGTAATACGAACGTAAACCAAAAAAAAATAATTTATCAACAAAATTACGTACTACCGAAAATCTATATTATTTTGATCATACAGTGCATATTTACTTGCTGGCACCAGTTACTTTTACCAAGTTATAAAATAAGTAAAGTTTGAACTCCAGACTAAACGATGCAAAAAGCTTATTTCACCTAACAACCGAACCCACGCGCCTCTTGCCATAGCTTTAGCCATCTTCTACGAAGTTTTTTCCCGAATTACAGAACTCTGTTACGTCAGACGTCCCAATCGCGAATTTTTAAAAGCTTTAAGGTAATGATGTCCGAAGTCGCCCCGGCTGTCCGAAATCGCCCCGTTTTACGGTAATTATTTTTGTCTAAGACTTAATTTAGGGTTATTTTGACATTTTGACTTTTTTATTTGATTGGTTAAAAGCAGAGAAAAACGCGTGCGTTAATGAACTGCTTATCTCACTCAAAATGAGTGGGATAAGAAGTTCTTATCTCACTGGCGTAGATAAATATAAATTTATAGCATGGTTGTATAGATATAAAATAATGTATACCTACCTATGAAATATAGAGATATTATAATATATCATAATTTATTTTTTGCGGATTTTATTTTAGATGAAAGTAAAGGTGAGACTTGCCGTATAAAAAATTCTAGCCCTGAAAGTGATTTGGATAGAACGGAATTATTTTACCCTAGAAATAATAAACACGAAGAAATTAATTATTTAGAAGACCATTTTCTGGATTTGTTAACAGAAGTTGATTATTTGAAAAATACAATATCAATAATACAAAGTGAACAATTGAAAACAAAACACGTACTTGAAAATAAAGAGTAACAATAAATAATTATTTTGGTATATTTTTTGTTTATTCATATTTTTAGAGACAATATTGAAAAATTAGTGGAAGAAATTGAGTATTTAAAACTAATCAAAAACCCAAAAATTCAAAACAGTAGAAATTCAGTCGGTTCAGCAAAATCACACATTCGTTCAAAAAAAGAGAAACAGGAAATTTTGAAAAAATTGTATGGTTCATCTATTAAACACAAAGTATTTGTATTTAATACCTACTTTTAAAAAAGTGTCAAAATGTTTAATTTTAGAAGGATTTTATGCCGAAATTCATAATAATCAAAGAAGTTTCATCAAATACAGAAAATAAATCCACTGAAACAAGTGAAAAAGAAACTTCTAACAAGCAAAATGAAGAGAAACAATCTGACAATAAAGAAGAAGACTCAGAAGCAGAAACCTATTAATAATAATATTTCAAATCAATTTTAATTGTAAATAAATGACTATTTTAAGTAAAATTATTATAGACCATTCCAATTTTTTATCCAAATATTCGTTACGGTCCTGTCGACTAATCAATATTTTAAATTAGGTATCTAAGTACGGCCCTGTGTATTTTATGAAAACAAACAACATAACCTAAAAAAGTGACGTTTGTCGAAAGTTGTGGTTAAAATCAATTTGTAAGTTAAAAATATGAGTGTATTACAGTTTTATCAATATTTAATACAAAATTAAATAATATTTTACAAACGATCTATGAAAATTGATTTTAAATCAATCTAATAAGGGTAAATATTAAACTTTTACAATGGTAGCATATAAATTTAATTGCCCTGAATGCAAATTATCATTCAGGGCTGAAACAAGTCTTAACAACCATAAGAAAATGTACCATGAAGTGGTACCCCCAAAAACCTGTTGTTAGATGTACTTATTGCGATAAGAGTTACAGTTCTCAACGTAATTTGCAACTACATCTAAGAATACATAGAGAAGTAAATGTGGGTGATACAAATAACATAAATAGTCTGGTTATGTAAGTAATTTTATTACAATTTTAAGATTTTGTAATAATAAATATATAAATTACAGAGTAAATGAAGTTCATCAAAGTGAAAGTGAGGAATCAAATGTGGCTTTAAACTTATCGTCCAACATAGATAATATTAATAATTTAATAGATGAAAGTAAAGAAGTTGAAAAAGTATATGATGGTTTGAATGAATTGTCAAGTGATAAAACAAATGAGGGTAAAGAAGAAGAGTAAGTTTTTTAATTAAGATATTTTTTAAAATTACAGGAATAATTTTTAGAATAAAAGATGAAACGGAACAGGAAGATAGAGATTACTTACCTCCATTGCATTATTTTAAAAAATCATCTACAAGATTAAAGAAGTAAGTTAAAATAAAATTTTACCTACTAGGTAAATTTTAATTAGTTTTAGTAAAAATTATGCAAATGTTTAGGAAAAATAAATGATTTTTATTTTAATTATTATCAGTATTAAATTAAAGCTAATTCTTATTTTTTCAATAGAATTCACTAAAATTTATTGCATTATTGAAATTAATGATCAAACATATGTAAATAAGCTTATATAACTAATAGGTTTGTTGAACAAACCTATTAGTTACTATGATATTACATTTTAGACACTTTTTAAAGGATTTTGGGTTAATTTAACCCATAATACTGCCCTACTATGGAAAAAGGCAGTAACTACAAAAAAATGCGTTTTCTTGTGCTATGGTAAAACTATGGATATTTTGTATCCAAATTCAACACAGAAATGCAGTCAAATATCTCATAAGTTAAAAAAATCAATTAAATACCTACTGCTTTTTATAAAAATGTAGTTTATGCTAATTTCCCACAAATTTCTTGTTTAGCAGTTACTGCCTTTCTCCATAGTAGGGCAGAATAGATGTTTAAATTTTATTTTTTTGTGTAGAGGGTGTCCTAAAAAAAGGCGTGACCCACCGCAATAGACAGAAATTACATACATTTTACTTTATTTTTTTAGACAATTTATTAATGTAGAAGAATTTAATTTTAAAATCTGTTTTTTTTTTAACAATTCGTATAAAATAACCCAGCAAACACAACCATAAAGGTTCTATAATGGTCCTTTATAAACGTGCCTTTAATGAACTAAAGGCCCTATAAAGGCTAACTCTAAGGTAACTGTAAATATTATGTCGCGTTTACCTTTAATGGGCATGTAACTGCAGTCAATAAAGGCACTTAAAAGAACCATTCAATTTTTTTGATAAGGCGCGCTAAAGGTTCTGATATGGCAGATTAAAGGAACAAATGTGGCTAGCTAAAGTTTTTTATATGGGGTGTTAAAGATTCTATAAGGCCATTCCACGCTTAACGGATAGGACAGTTGCCGTGTTTTTATTTACAAAATAATATTGTTCTATTATATTACCAATGTCAATTTTTTATAAATAGTTCTAAACAAAAGCTGTTTAACAAGGTTTTTATTTGGCAAAATTAGGTCGGCCATTTCAAGCGCGCGAAACGCACGAATTACAAAACTGTTTTTATAAAAAAAATTGTAGATTATTTATTATATAATATTTTGGCATCAAAATTGTCGAAAATATTCTTCTTTTATTAGGTTATACATTAGATAAAAAAAACCCAAGAAATATTTTATAAAAGTAGATATAATTTTAATAATTGAAAGGTGTGGACGGGACAAAAAAAAGATTTATCTTGTCCCGTCAACCCCTGTCAATTATTGAAATTATCTCTACTTTTATAGAATATTTCTTGCGATTTTTTTTTATTTAATGTATAGCCTAATAATAGAAGAATATATTTGACAATTTTGATGCAAAAATAATATATAATAAATTACCTACAATTTTTTTTATAAAAACAGTTTTGTGATTTGTCCCGTCCATCCGCTTGAAATGGCCGAGGTATCGTGATTGACTGTTTAATTCCTTAAAAATTAATAATTTAAAGCGTAACGGACGGGACCATTACGAAGTCCCGTCTGTTACGCTTTAAATTATTAGTTTTTAAGGAATTAAACAGTCAACCACGATACCTAATTTTGCCAAATAAAAACCTTGTTAAACAGCTTTAGTTTAGAACTATTTATAAAAATTTGACATTAGTAATATAATAGAACAATATTATTTTGTAAATAAAAACACGGCAACTGTCCTATCCGTTACGCGTGGAATGGCTCTATAGTGGTTATTTAAATAATTTTTGATGGATTAGTGAAGTATCTATAATGGTGGATTAAATGTGGTAGATATATATTTATTAGATAACGATATTTCACGATAATCAGAAATTGTTATCCCTACCGTCACAATACAATTTCTGACGGTCGGGATAAAAATTTCCTATTATCGTGAAATATCCGACCCAATAAATATAAACAAACCACATTTAATCCACCATATATGAATAAGTATTTATTATAATAAATACTTTACTTATCCATTACAATAATTAATATATTATCGTGAAATGTAGGTAATACTAAAACATTAATAAATTTACAAAAAAAAAAACAATATGTTGTAAGAAAGACCTGTATAAGTAAAACCTAAAAATTTAAAACTGTTAAGAACTGTTTATTGGGTAATAAATATTATGTATAATAATTAGGGTTGTGGAATTGACCGGTCAAATTGTTTTTGGTCAATTGACCGGTCAATTGACCAGTCAATTGACCGGTCAATTGACCAGTCAATTGACCGGTCAATTGACCAGTCAATTGACCAAAATAAAATTAAATAAAATATCAAAATAAATATTACTGTGATTTATTTATACTTAATAAATAGGTAATTAAAATACGTTACCAATTTTTTTATTATTATAAAAGTTATGTCCATCTTTAGAAACGTTTGTGCGGCTTTAAAAAGTTATGTTTCGCTATTAAAAAAGATATGGCCCGTCTAGCAACCCCTCGACTCGGGGAACCACCAAATTGTAAATGGTGTCGATATTGCACGATCGCAAAAATTTTGAGATTCACGGGTAATTGTTGATACCTAAATAAAATGCTGCAAAAATTAAATATATTTTGACCGGTCAATTGACCGGTAAAATAGGTAGCGGTCAATTGACAGTCAATTGACCGCGGTCAATTGACCATCCCCAACTCTAATAATAATAATAATAATATTTAAATAAATAAAAAAATCCTTAAACTAAATAGAAAATATTTAAAATTAAAATATATATTTACAAATAGGTTCACTTGATTTTTACGACAGATTGTCCTCTATAACAAAGAAACCAAGGTTTTCTTTGCCATTATTAATTTCTTTTATTCACAAACCTTTCTATTTAGTATACTAAATTCTTTGGCGGTATTTTGTCTCTATAGTCTCTATGTCTCTATTATAATAAGAATTCTAAAATTAGTAAAATTAGTAAAATTAAAAATGCACCTACTTACTCATTTAAATGTAACAACCATTACTTAGGTATTATTTTTTTATGCTATTAAAATTATAGGAATTACACTGGGCGTCATTTTTAAAATATGGCGTTAACCAAATGATAACTAAAGGTTTATCTAAGTTTTATATACAGAAAACATTTGGCACTTCAATGTCCCATTAACTTGTTACTAAAAATTGCCATATATAGGTCTTTTATGGTTAAGGTGACCAACTGTTCTGATTTAATCAGAACTATACTGTTTTTGAGGTCTTCATTCTGACTGGAAATCAAAGGTAGTAAAGGTTCTGATTTTCCTATTTTGGTTCTGGTCTGTTCTGATTTAGCTTACCATATAAAATAAACTTCCAATTTTTATAAATCCATATTAATTTATTAGGTATACCTAATATCTAAAAATAACTAGGCTAAAAATAATAGTTAATTTATAAATATATATATGGGGAATACCACGCCAAATCGACCACTTTTGACCCAACTTCTTTCGATTTGACTGAACTTTTTAAATTTTTTTCTACCCCACTAAAAAAGTTTCTCAGAATTTTTCCAAAAAAAAGTTACGAATTTTCAAAAAAATTGATAATTTTCTTTTAAAATACACATAACTTTGTCAAAATTTGACTAAATGTGGCGTTTTTTTTTGGTTTTGAATGAACTTTTCAGAAAAAATACAAAAAAATTTGGGAAAAAAGACATTTTTTTGAAAAAATTTAAACATGTTTTTGGTCGGGTGAAATAAACTAAAACATTCTAAGAAAAATTATTAGTGGGGTGAAAAACTATAACATAATTTTAGCCGAATCGAAAGGGTCGGGTTCAAAAGTGGCCGATAGGGCGTGGAACGACCCATATATAAAATAACTATTATGAAATTTGTGTTTTTTTAACTCAATTGAGAGTAAATAATAATAACTTATTACAGGTAGTTGCACAAAAAACAGTCAAAAATAGGGCAACACCTTTTTTCTAAAAAAAATTCGTACCGCTGTTCTGGTTTTCCCCTTTACACAGTTGGTCACCTTATTTATGGTAAAATATACAAATATTAGCCTGAAAAGGGCCATTGCAAGATCTTATCACAGTCTTGAAACTTTGTAATGGGCCATTACATAATCAGACTTATGTGTTTAGTGGGAAATCTTAAAGCCTGTTTTTCTTATTTGGTTTGTTTTTATAACAACCAGTACATTTTATTTTTAATTTTGATAAAACAATTATTATCAACAAATTTTATCTTTTTATTTTAAAAACGCTATTAGAATTATAATTAAACCATATTATATGGTCCATATATGCCTTTTACCCACAGATATATATATCTGTGGGTAAAAGGCATAAGGGTATAATTAAAAAAAAATCAATTTTTTAGTAGTGCCTTAAACGTGTTTGACTTAATTTAGGAAATACATTTATGGTTTGCGGGTATACCCTTTTGCTAGCACATGTCATATTCTAGCAAAAGGGTATGCTCGCTAACCATAAATATATTTCCTGAATTAATGCGAATACGTTTAAGTCTCTATCGAAAAATTGTTTTTTTTACTTATCCCCTTATGCCTTTTACCCACAGATATGTAACATTTGAATACCAAAATCAAAATATTTTCAGCCCTGCCAAAAAACCCAACAACTCTCTGACATGCGCAGAATGCAGCTCGGTATTCAGCACGCGCTCCAACTTAAAAAAGCACGTCAAAAAATTCCACCCCGATCAGATCAAAGCCTACTTCGTGCCGAGAAAGTTCACGTACACGTGCAAAACGTGCGGACACGGGTTCACGCACAGACGCAACTACATTTGTCACGCTAGAAAGCACGACTCCAGCGCGTTCGCGGACGAAGTCATCAAAAGTAAGCACCCGAAAAAATGCCCGAGGTGCGATTTTAAGCATAGCTATGCGAAAAAAATGCACGAGCATTTTAAGGAGGACCACGATTTTGAGGTTGTTGAGAAGGACTTGGAGTTTAGCTGTGAGAAGGATTTGTTACAGTGGAGACATAGTCTTGAAACTAGTACTAACAGTAAGTTTATTAAGAAAGGGATCGATATTTTTAAAGAACATACCAACGAGTTGTATATTTGTCACCGTTCTGGAGATTACATACCGGAAGGTAAAGGTATAAGAAATCTAAAAAACCAAGGTAGTCATAAAATAAACGCGTTCTGCCCCGCAAGCATAAAAATCGTTAAATATAAACCTAGTTGTAAATTTAAAGTCACGTACATTGACACTCACTTTGGTCATGAATTAGACGTTAAACACTTATACCTATCACCTCAAGACAAACACCAAATCGCTCGCCGAATAGCAAGTAAAGTCCCCTTTAAGGACATTCTAGAAGAATTTAAAAATGCGGAATCGACAACCTCAAAAAGACTGCATCTATTGACAACCAAAGATTTGTACAACATAAAAAAATCCATGAATCTAAAAGACCTACCCCTCGACATAAGCATAGACGATACCAGTCTAAACTCAGCTTTAACCGACTTAAAACTCACCACAGGCGATAGTGTTTTGTTCTACAAACCCAGGGGTACAGACATCACCGACCAACCGGAGTTGGACATTAGCGACTTTGTGTTGGTGATTATGACGCCGACGCAATGTAACTTTCTGGAAACCTATGGTGAAAGTTTTTTGTGCGTCGACAATTATAGCTTCAACGACTTCGAAATAAATGTGCTTTTGGTGATCGATGATTTTCGAGAGGGGTTTCCGTGTGCCTTTCTGATTTCCAATAGGTCGGATAAAATTGTTTTGAACATATTATTTACGCAGATCAAACTGAAAACTGGACCGTTTCAAACCAAGACTTTTATGTCCGATTTCGGTGACAAGTACTTTCAATCTTGGTTGAAGGTGATGCCCCTACCAGAACACAGGTACAAGTTTTAAATTGGTATGTTGCAAATTATTTATTTATTTATTTTTAGATTAATCAGTACTTGGCATTTAGAGAACGCGTGGCTTAAGAATTTGGAAAAAGAAGATATTGGAAAACAGACCGAATTAAAAAAGCATCTACATGCTTTATTAGAAGAAGAAAACGTATACAATTTCGAAAACTTACTCCACCAACTGTGCAATATACACTACGACGACGAACCAAACAAATTCATTGATTACTTCAAAGATAATTTTTTCAATAATTACAAGGATTGGGCACCATGCACCAAAGGCATAGACTATGGAACAATCCTTAACCTAATCAGATCCCGAAAAACCATACAACACTTAATAAAATTTAAAAAGTTCTATGAATTGGACAAAATGATAAAGGAATTCACCAAACATATCAACGATAAATTATTCGATAGGCTTTTGGTAACCGACGATGAAAAAATAATGTCAAAAATCAAAACCATCCGACTGCGCCATAAAGAAATGCTTAAACTAGACGTAAACACGGTTAAAATCGTACATTATGGTTGGGAAGTACCGTCGAATAACACAAAGGAAGTTTACTTTATAAGAGAGAGGAACATTACATGTCATTGCCAGCAGTTCTGCGCTGACTGTCAAACTTGTATACACAAGTATTTTTGCACTTGCTTGGACTCCATGTCAAGGTTTAACATGTGCAAACATGTCCATTTGCTTGTCAAATACCGGAAGATGTTCGAACCCTTGCCAATAAGTGAACCTCTTCCATGTACAGGTATTTTTGTTTAGTTTAATTTTTTTGAACTCAAAATAATGTTTATTTTTTGTAGAACCTGATCATGACGATAATTACGAATGCGTGCAAAATTTGGTTGTGGCGGAAAGACATCAAGAAGAAACCCCTTTAACTGAAATAACTTTTGTAAATATTAATATAGATGAAGAAAAACAAAAAATCGTTGAGCAATTATTGAAACATTTGGAAAATATTACCTGTGTTAATAAATTGGAGGTTGTAAAAAATATGGTTGATTCGATTCCCGCAGCTGTTGAAGCTGTAGATCAAATTGAATACAGTAGAGGGTTTTCTATACAATAGGGTAATTTTATTTGTTAAATATTTATTTTGTTATTTTTTTGATTTATTGATTTTTAACATAATAAAATAAAATAATAAATAAAGTTTTTATTGCATATTCAGTACAATACAGAACATATAATACAAAATATACAAAAGGCCATCGACCGGGGTCCTTCAGCCTTAACATAATATATTATTAAGTAAATTTTTTTTTTACATTAAATGTTTAGTTTCTTGAAAACGGCGAGTTTTATACTAAAATCCTTATAAACCTATTGGGTTTGTTCCTACCAAGTTTTTTCGTATAGATTTTGATTTTTCCGGCAGCAGGTCGCAATTTTTCGCCTTTTCAGCTGCTTTCTCAATTTCATTCATCTTTAAACTTTAAAACTGACTGATGTCAGTTGACATTATAATATGACAATTATAACAAAAATTCTTTGACGTAAACGTCTTTAAAAACAATAATATATTGTAACGTTTTTAACTGTTCGTAGTGTGAATTAAAACACGCACTGGTTTATTAACGAACTAAACTATTTATTTTTATAACTTAACTACACTTAAAACACTATAAAACTAACTAAACACTACTAACTACTAATTATTTATATATTATTTATATATCATATATCATTATATTGTTCAAGAGTCTATTTATTTGCACTTATATTTATTTATTTCGCCGCGAGTACCAAATCTTAACTGACTGCTCTGTGATGCGTCGTTCCTTATATATTACAGCGCCTACGTCCTCTAGAACATTCCAGCGAGCTCCACACTCTCGATTATTCGAGCGCTGAGTCACCGGCGATGACTCATCGGCGATGAGTCATCATTCCGAGATCCAGAGCCGTACTCGCTACATTGCCCCCGTCTTAAAACATTTTCGTCCCGAAAATGGTCCTCAGCTCCATGACGATATTTGCACAGGGATCCAAACTTGCATTGTGACGTCCTATAGAAGTAGCAGTCTACGGTCTTCCTTCCGATTGTTCTTTTAGGATTGTGGCAACAGACAAGAATGTGTATGCCACTAAATCTGAAGATAACTTCCACCATACTTCTAATTATTCTCCAATCTAAACCGTCAAGTCCACAAGCAATCTTTGGTATCGCCAGGTTCATGATGTCCTTGGACAAAAGGGTATCCCTCAATTTATTTAAGGCATTCCATACGTCACGGTAGTTTGGCTTATGATGGGAGAGCTGCTTCGTTACCAGATAGAAGATACTTCTATTGCCTATCTGCTCATTATTCACAATTTCAAGCACCTCTCCAACTTTGGGATTCTGCCTTCGTAGCTCGTCGATCCGTCCAAACTTGTTTTTAAAAACAACCGCTATTCCCCTGGACATCCTTAGGTCTTCCGCAACACAGTGAGCCAAGGAGTAATCGGCCGGAACCGTGAACAGATCTTTTTGTTCTTCTTGAGTGACACCGTAGCGAGCTTTTTTACCGCTCGAATATAAATACATGAAGTCTTCAAAAGGCAAGTCGTCTTCCGCCGGATTAACTCTCCTTACTCTAGCATCGTCTATTTGAGCATTATTTCCAGCGTAAGGAGCCAATCGGTTGAAATGGATCACTTTCGGCTTTCCTCTTGGTTGTTTCCTGATCCTGTAGATGATGTCATTTATTCGATCCATGACTTCGTATGGTCCTTTCCATGAAGTCTGCAGCTTCGGTGAATAACCACGACGGCGCTGAGGGTTGTATAACCAAACTAGGTCTCCAGGTTGAAATCCTCCATTTTCCGCCTTGATGTCGTATGCCTCTTTCATTCTATCACTGGCACTCTGGATGTTTAAACGAACTCGATTATGAATGTCGCTCATTTTTCTACGTAAATTGCTGACATAATCTTCTCCAGCAATATCTTCCCCTGGTAGGCAACCAAACCTCAGGTCACAAGGTAGACGAAGTTCACGTCCCATAACAATACTAGCGGGTGTCTGGCCGGTTGTATCGTGAATAGAAGAACGGTACGCTAACAGGAACAGATGGAGGAAGCTGTCCCAGTCTCTTTGGTGATCAGAGACTACCTTGGACAGGTACCGGTTTATCGTTCGATTCATTCGTTCTACCATTCCATCAGACTGCGGATGTAATGCAGTCGTCCTCGTCTTCCGAATGTTAAGAATCTTACAGACATTCTGGAACAGTATAGATTCAAAGTTCCTGCCTTGGTCTGAATGCATCTCCATTGGCACACCAAAACAACAAATCCACTCCTTAATAAGGGCATCGGCCACTGTGGCAGCTTCCTGGTTTGGCAAGGCGTATGCTTCCGCCCACTTGCTAAAGTAGTCCATTACAACGATGATGTATTTATTTCCAGATTCTGTTTCCGGAAATGGACCCGCCACGTCGATTGCAATTCTCTCAAATGGGCTGCCCACATTGTACTGTCGCATTGGGGCTTTTGGGCGCTTCTGGGGTCCATTGCTTGCCGCGCAAACGGCGCACTTCTTGCACCATTCCTTCACATCTCGTTGGCTGTTGACCCAATAAAACCGTTCCCTAAGTTTTCCGAGCGTCCTGGTCACCCCAAGATGTCCTCCAGTAGTTCCATCATGGATTTCCTGCAGCACTTCTGGTATCCTATTTCTGGGGATTATTATCTGCTTCCGGTCTTCCCCCCCTTCTGGCATCTCCAGAACGCGCTTTAGAATCCCGTCACTTAAGATGATGGAATTCCATTGGGCCCAGTAGGATTTCACATTCGGCGAATATTGGGCGACTTCCTGCCACGTTGGTTTACGGTTGTTATTTTTCCAATCGATGATAAGTTTCAAATCCGGGTCCCTTTCTTGGTCTTGTTGAACCTCAGCGGATTGCCAATGATCATCCACGATTGTAGTCCTGCGAACAAACACATCCTTTTCTTCGGCCCTGAGACAATGTTTACAGTCTTCCGGGCAAGGTCTTCTCGATAAGGCGTCAGCATTTCTATGGATGGTCCCAGCACGATGTTCTGTGTCAAAGTCGAACTCCTGTAGTCTTTCAATCCATCTTGCTACCTGTCCTTCAGGATTCTTGAATTGCAAAAGCCATTTAAGGGCAGCATGATCCGATCTTAGCAAGAATTTTCTTCCATACAGGTACTTGTAAAAGTGTTCGACTGCCTTTACCACTGCCAACAGCTCGCGTCGAGTAACACAGTAATTTCGCTCTGGTTTCGATAGAGTTTTACTGAAGTATCCAATAACTTTCTCTTTTCCTTCTTGAATCTGCGACAAAACAGCTCCCAGGCCCACATTGCTGGCGTCCGTGTCCAAAATAAATTCACCATCTGGAAGTGGATAACTCAGGACTGGTGAGCTGGTCAACGCGTTTTTCAGGTTCTTAAAGGCTTCTTGGCATTCGTCGTCCCATTGGAATCGTCTTTCTCCCTCTGTTAAACGTGTCAAAGGCTTAGCAACCTTTGCGAATCCTGGTACGTACCGACGGTAGTAGGTGCATAATCCAAGAAAGCTTCTTAGGTCATGTTTATTCTTCGGTATTGGCCATTCCCGCACCGTCTTTACCTTCTGTTTATCCACTGCAACTCCTTGACTTGAAACGACATGGCCCAGATACTGCACTTCCCTCTGGAACAAGTGACATTTCTTTGGGCTAAGCTTCAGGCCGGAACTTCTTAAGCGCTGAAAAACTTCCTTCAGGTTCTTCATATGATCCTCAAATGATTTCCCAACCACAATAATGTCGTCAAGGTACACCAAGCAAGTCTTCCAGGATAGTCCCTTCAAAACCATTTCCATGAGCCTTTCAAAAGTTGCAGGGGCATTACATAGTCCAAACGGCATGACAGTAAACTGCCACAGTCCAGCACCCACGGTAAACGCCGTCTTTTCTCTATCTTCTGGTGCCATTTCAACCTGCCAGTAACCGCTTTTCAAATCCAGAGTCGAAAATATTTGGGATCCAGCCAATGTATCCAGGGTGTCATCGATCCTAGGTAGAGGGTAGCTGTCCTTCTTCGTCACGTTGTTCAGCTGACGAAAATCGACGCAAAATCGAGTTGATCCATCCTTTTTCTTAACTAACACCACTGGGGAAGACCATGGGCTGTTGGATGGTTCGATCACCCTTTCCTTCTTCATTTCTTGCACAATTTTATCAGCTTCCTCTCGCTTGGCAAGTGGTAGCCTTCTTGCCGACTGTCGAATGGGCTGTGCATCACCGGTGTTAATTTTATGCTGGACAATTCTTGTCCTACCCTTCTTTTCTTGTCCATCATCAAAGACGTCCTGATAGTTGTGTATCAGCTCTCTCAGCTTTATCCTCTCATTTGGTTTTAAGTCCTTTGAAGAAGTCGAAAGCAGAGTCGTCAATTCATTGCTAATTTTCTTGGCCGGAACTCCAGACTCACGAATGCTTCTAATAATTGAAGAAACAGAAGAACAGTTCCCCAAAACGATTTCTTTTTTTAAGTTCACAGAGTAACCATTAACATTCAATACTCTTACTGGCACTTCTTTTCCAACACGTATTAAAGTCTTCCCTACTACAACTCCTCGACCGACCTCTTTGTCATCAATTCTCGGCTCCAGAAGCATTATACTTCCATCTTCTGATTTACAATCCAAGGAAGCCTTCAATATTATCTCGCTTTGTTCCGGTATCAAAGCATCTTCTGTTAACATTACACGAATATTCTTTTCTTTCGATCGATGCAACACGACTTCTTCTCCATTTACTCTTAATATTCCTTGTTGAAAGTTTAGTTCAAATCCTATAGAGTTCATAATGTCCATGCCTACAATAACTTCATCTTCAATATCTGCTACTAATGCTCGATGTTTAAATTTCGTGTTTCCTATGACCATCGTGATGTCCACTTCTCCATGAACAGTAGCAGAATCTCCTGTTGCAGTACGTAGTCGCCGATTGGTAGATTTTATCTTGAACTTTTCGACAATATCTGGCCGAATAATTGTCTTCGTCGCACCTGTATCCAGCAGCAGCACATGTATCTTTCCATTAATAAAGCCATCCACAAAAACACTGCTGGACTGATGTTGAAGAGATGCAACACGTTCGATATCTTCTGGGGCATGCTGGTTACAGGTCGACGGTGGCCCCTTTTCCTCGACCCTATCTAGTTTTCCGACTGAGATGAAGTCGGCGCCTCCTGGCTTTTTCTTGCAACGACTTCGTATATGTCCGAGCTTTCCGCATCTCCAACACCGGATTTCCTTCTTTTCCGGTAGATTCTCTTTAAAAACTCGCCTGATTGCTTCAATTATTCTGGGTTCCTCCTCTTTCTCTTCCTCGACTCTCCTTATTCTAGGCTGGCTCCTGCAGCTCTGCTTTGCCGCCTCGAATTCCAAAGCTCGAGCCAATGCATCAACCAGTTGGCTCGGACGAGCCAGTGTTAGAGCCTGCCTTGTTTCATTGTCTCGAAGTCCATCCAAAAAGGCTTGAACCGCTAATCGTTCCATAACGGTCGTTGGAGTAGCTGGATATGCTAGCCGAACCAAGCGTGCAATATCAGCCTCGAATTCTTGTAGAGTCTCGTTCGATTTCTGGCAGCGATTCTTCAGTTGGGTATGGTACACATGTTCCAGATGTGTCTGGCCATATCGAAGTTCCAGATGTTTCACCAACGCTTCGTAATCTTCTTGTTCGTTGGGAGAAAGCGTCTGCAAGATGTCCGTTGCATCTCCGCGTAAAGCCAGAGTCAATGCTGTAGCCTTCTCTTCTGGTAGCCAGCCATTTGCTTTTGCTGCTGCCTCAAACTGACGGATGTAATTTGTCCAAGAAGATTTTCCATCGAACTGAGGTGGTTTCATCCTAACTCGGCTCCCCTCCGGCACTGCTCCTTGTTCCGCCAGCATCATAGGTAGATTTACAGCTTTCAATATACTATTTATTTCTCTAATTTTGACATCTAATTTCTCGTTCAATTTTTCTTCTCTTGTATCTAATTCCCTCATTACGTTGTCAAATTTTTGTCCTACTTTCTCTTCTAATTCCATCCTTACGTCATTCAATTCCATCCTTACGTCCTCTTTTAATTCTTTGACATTATCTAGAATCTTCTGTTCCAAATATTCCTTTAAATTTTTAGAATTTTCCAGAATTTTCTGCTGTAGTTCGCTAGAATTTTCCAGCATTTTCTGTTGCAAATCGTCCTTTAAATCGTTGACATTTTCTAACATTTTCTGTTGTAAATCGTTGGAATTTTCCAACATTTTCTGTTGCAAATCGACTTTTAGTTCTTTCGAATTTTCTAGAATGTTCTGTTTTAAATCGTTAGAATTCTCCAACATTTTTTCGTTTAAATTTTGCAACATTAAATGCATGTCACAAGGGCCTTCAAATAAATACTCATCTGGATTTTTACCCTCTTGTTCCAATGCTTCTCGAAGCCGCTGCTGCAACACATTCTTTTTCCCAGTTGTATCACACTCCCTTTCTTCTAGCTCTCGTTTAAGGTCCGCCACTTTTAAGTCCATTAACGAAACCATTTTCGCGAAGTTTCACACTAACCGCACTCCTGACACCAATTGTAACGTTTTTAACTGTTCGTAGTGTGAATTAAAACACGCACTGGTTTATTAACGAACTAAACTATTTATTTTTATAACTTAACTACACTTAAAACACTATAAAACTAACTAAACACTACTAACTACTAATTATTTATATATTATTTATATATCATATATCATTATATTGTTCAAGAGTCTATTTATTTGCACTTATATTTATTTATTTCGCCGCGAGTACCAAATCTTAACTGACTGCTCTGTGATGCGTCGTTCCTTATATATTACAGCGCCTACGTCCTCTAGAACATTTCAGCGAGCTCCACACTCTCGATTATTCGAGCGCTGAGTCACCGGCGATGACTCATCGGCGATGAGTCATCATTCCGAGATCCAGAGCCGTACTCGCTACAATATTAAAAATAATAATATATTAATCGTGCATAAAGTTTTGTATGCATTGCTGGCATAACGCGCTCGGGCTCGAAATAGCGCCTCGGACCATAAAAACCTTATTATGCCCTTAATACATTAATAACTATTATACAGTGGTTAGTCCGCCATTTTCGGGACACCCTGTCCAAAGAAATATTTTGTAGGAGGTTAAGAATTAAGAAAAACATAATTAATAGACAAATCATATATTTACAAATAAATATACAAGCAACGCATTTTACAACAATGTCTTTTAAAAAATATAAACAATAAATTTAATAAAGTAATAATAGGTATGGCACAGAAACAGGAAAATATAAAACGTTAACACAACAAAAATTACATTATAAAACGATTTGTAAGGGTATGTATATTCTTATTAACTACTTATATTAATTTAAATTCAAGTAATATTTAACTTGAGGTTATTTATAAAAGTATCTAGATTCGCCAAATTAGTTACTCCAAAATTGGCGGACCAAAAGCTAAAGGTTCCTTTTAAAAGTTCAATATGTTTTTTATTTACCATTATAAAGATGGCAATGAGCGCAGTTTTATCGATTGGTAATTGGGTTGCCTACTTACATTCGAACAAACACGGGGCTCGTCCGATACGGCAGAAATACTGCGCTCTCATTGGCGGCGTTAAATCAAGACGAATTCACCTTTACCCTTTGGGCTTCAAATTTTGGGATTAGAAACATTCGAAAGGCTCTTAGATTTTTTATCTTATAAAACAATTACAGTTTCTGCTGAATGTAAAGATAACCCCAAATCACTAGGTTTAGTTTATAAAGAATGAAAAATCTTTACCTACAATTCATTCTATCCTAACTTACCTAAAATTTAATAAATGGTCACTTTAATAATTTCCTACGTATGTTATAAAAGTTTATTGCTGGAATATAAAGACATTCCAAGTATTTTTTATACCTTTTCGGCTATTTTTTCGAGCACTATGCAAATATGCAGTGCCTAAGGCGCATGTGTAACAATCTTTTTGGTGCAGTGCGACTTTTCTACGGTTTTTATAAGATAAAAAACAGGCAAAAGTAGCTAGAGAGAGTATAGGAAAATGTAAAAGGCGGTGGGAAATTTTTTTAAAAAACCGGGATGTTTGTATGCATAACATATTTCTCGATGGGAATGTTTAAAAAAACGTACGTTCAGATATCAAATTTTCCCAATTATTCTAAAGACTAACAATCCATTTTGATTCAAAAAACAAACTAAGAGTAGTGAAGAAGTTGGAGTTTATATGATAGTGCCAAATAATGGCAAACGAGTTAAAAAAACTTTAAAAAATTGTCGATAATGTACAGTTTTTAAAGAATTACTTACCTAATTTTAATTTAAATTACTCCTAAAATCAATGTTAATACAAAAAAATGCCTTTAAACAAATACATGGAATTTATACAAAACAAGATATTCAATACAATTAACAATAATAGTAGACATTCCACTGAAGTTGTGGTAAATATAAGGAGGTTTTCTAGTTCATAAAGTAGTAGTAGTAGTTTTTAGTCAGATCCAAAGGGCAAATTAATTATGTTAAGCCAAAGTGGCAAATGTAAGTTTCTTAACTACAAACATAAATTAAATTTGTTGTCGAAAGATATGTACAGCGCAAAATTTGAAGAAAAGTTTTCAAGAACCCCTTGAAGATTGAACTCAATTTCATAACACAGACAATGCGATTTTTTATTAAAAAACTGTTGGTTTTAGGCATTTTAAACAAGCGGACCTTTTTTGTGTTCACCTGAGATAAAAAATAAAATGTAAATGTTGAGTGTCATCTTCCAAGGGGCGTAGTTCCCCTATACAGCATTTTTGACCACACCTTAGAAACTTTTTTTCATATTTTATCCCAACTTTAAAAAGCAACCTTTAAGGAAAATGTATTATTTTACTTAATATAAGTTGTAAAATCAGTATTTAGACTAGAAAATCACCTTAAATTGAAATAAACGTATGCATAATAAATAAATAAATAAATCGAATTATCCATATAAATAACAACAATTAGGGGCTAATAATCGGATGTTCAAAGTGTCGAGGGAAGTTATTTGATGGAAAAGTCGGGCCAGTAGTTTATGTGGTAACGTTGGGTGGAGCCTTCGAACAGACGGTCCAGCCAATTGGGAAGGCCGTCGAGAAGGTTGCCTTGCAGGAGGATCTCGTCTTCGGACGACGAGTCCGAATCGAAGCCGATGAAGGCGCCGCTCTCGCAATCTCGCTCGCCTCTGTGAGCAGCGGCGTTCCTCTGTCTCTGAAATCGGACAGTTTTGTCACAACCATTTCATTTAAAAATTGTTTTGTTTAATTTAGATTTTATAGAGGGATTTTATGAAAAAAATAATGTATAATTTCACTCTTTTAGGGAACAATTTCCACAAGTAAAAATAAGAAATAAGAAACTCTGATTAAAGGTGAATTTATGCTCAATAAAAATAAGAAATAAAAATAAGAAATTAAAAAATAAGAAATAAGAATAGTTTCATTTGTTGTCATTTATGTCTAATAAATAATAAAAATAAGAAGGTAGTGTCTCCCCGACCGTCGGACGGACGTAGAAAAGTGTGTGCTCGACCGTCGGACGGACGTAGAAATGTGTGTGCTCAACCGTCGCATATTTTAACCTCATTTTCAACTAGAGGCTAAATGTAGCAAAGTATTCCTCAAGGTTAAGACGAATAGCTGTCATTTTGGTTATGCAGGTACACTGCATTGTGCCATACCAAACTAACCCAAACTTAACAACCCAACCCAACCTACCCCGCCCCATTGGGCCCCTCCCGCCCCATTGTCACAATCCAGCCTGCCCTTAGATATATTATACCTCTATTGCTCAATGGGGCGGGAGGGGCCCAATGGGGCGGGGTCGGTTGGGTTGGGTTGTTAAGTTTGGGTTGGTTTGGTATGGCACAATGCAGTGTACCTGCATAACCAAGATGACAGCTATTCGTCATAACCTTGAGGAATACTTTGCTACATTTAGCCTCTAGTCATTTTCACACGTTTGTACGTCCGTCCGACGGTCGAGCACACACATTTCTACGTCCGTCCGACGGTCGAGCACACACTTTTCTACGTCCGTCCGACGGTCGGGGAGACACTACCAAATAAGAAATAAGAAAAATATGCAAAAGTGAGGTTAAACCTGATTGTTTGACAGTTCCCAAAGCGTTCGTTTCTTTGGTTGGTTTGTTCTGTGGTAATATTTTTTAAACAAATTTTATTGCTTACAACAGCATTTTTACTGTTGCAAAAAAGAATTGTATATAATTAAATAACACAAAAACAATCCAAAAACACCAATTAAACAACACAACAATTTAGAATTAACTATTGCACAAAAGTATTTGCGAATTTCCGGCGCGAAACAAAAACCTGTCAGCTGATGACGAAAATAAATCATTTGCGCACAAAAATACGCAGAATAAGAATCTTAAGTTGAAAATTGCCAACTTTTATTTTTATTTCTTATTTTCGTGAGCATAAAGTGATGTTAGCAATTATAAACCTTTAACTTTTTATTTCTTATTTTTTATTTTTATTTCTTATTTTTAGTGAGCATAAATTCACCTTAAGACTTCTTAGGTCGGAAAATCTCAGAATAAGTGTCAGACTAATAACAAGATTTGGGAGTCTTCTGGAAGAGTTAATAAGACTTAATAAGTCTTTTAGCAGAGAAATGGTAGGTACAGGGTGATCCCCTATAATGTCTCCCCCCTTTAACTTTTTTATTTTAAGTGTCCCAAAAAATTTAAAATTGTGGTTATGTAGGTACTAAAAAATACTTTTTTTCTACCTATAAAGAAAATTGGAAAATTTATCAGTGTACAGGGAAAAACAAAAAGTTTACTTTTTTTCAATGGATCACCCTATATATGTATTTATTTTTCGATTCCTTGTAAAATTCTAAGCATATTTCATATAACATACCATATACCTAAACTCAACCGTTTCTGAAATATTTAAATTATTTTTAAGATAATAAGTTGAAATAGTTTGTCTTTCTCTGTCTGAGTACGCCATTTTTACTTATTTAACAAGACATATTGACATAATGTAACTATAGTAATTTATTTTCAATAACAATTTTGGGATACTGAGGCTTCTTGATTTTTAACAGTTTAAAAAACATTTAATGATAACATTTTGAATCCGAATATTTCAGAAACGGTTGAATTTAGGTATATGGTTTCTTATATGAATTATGCTCAGAATTTTACAATAAATCGAAAAATAAATTCATATATAGGGTGATCCATTGAAAAAAAATAAACTTTTTGTTTTTCCCTGTGTATTGATCAATACGCCATTTTTTTAATACGTGTACCTACATAACCACACTTTTAAATTTTTTGGGACACTTAAAATAAAAAAGTTAAAGGGGGCGACATTATAGGGGATCACCCTGTACCTATAGCGATAAAAAATAAATATCCGGAATTATTCAAAGAGGTTGTATTTGTTTATTGTAAAATAAAACACGAATAAAAGTATTTATTAACATTGTTTCTGTGTTGCTATAAGCCAAGTTTATTGCATAATTACCTATAATATAATATATTATAATAACATATGTAAGGCGTAATAATTATAATAATAAAAATTATATTTTTTTTACATGCGGACCGCTTGACCAGCTTTTATTGTTGCCTGTTGCCACTGTACGTTTTATTTTAATAGTTTCTTTTTATATACGCAAATATCCATCTGAACATTGTTCCAAACAATTGCTCTAAAAACAATAACACATGTGTACTTCTGACGCAATATCGATTTTCTCAGCTAACCAATTAGATCACAGCTGGCCGTTATGTGATCGCATCTTTCCGCGTTTTCTAGATAGTTCTAAGTCACAGTGTTGCCAATGTACGTGGAAATCCACGCATTGTGTGGAATTTATTTTGTTGTGTGTAATTTGTGTGTAATACATAAATGTGTGGAATTTGCGTGTAAACTTTATCTTTAAATTTTTGTGCAGATTTCTATAAATACAGCAAATTTAAAAAATCTGGTGTTTTTGGAAACTTGCAAGCGTAAGTTATCGAGTAACTTAAAACCGGTTATAACAATAGACTTTTTGACAAAGTAAGTAATCTAGTAAGTTTTTGAAAACGTCTTTAAGTAATCACCAGTAATTACCGCAGAAAGAGTTTTTGTGGTGATTCACCTCAGAAACTCTTTCTGCGGTAATCACCAAAGAAACCTAACAAAACCAAAATCCCAAATGTGTGGAATATTTGGCAAAATTGTGGAATTTTGACAGAATCTGTGTGTAAATTATGTCAACACCATTGGCAACACTGCTAAGTCAGTACGTACCTAGTGTTGCTGTATGCGGGTATTTTATTTGAAAATCGGGTCATGTTTGCAGGTAGAATTTTGAAGCGGTTAAAATCGAATATTTTACACATTTCGATCAAAATACTAACTAAAGAAATTTTCAGTAAATAAAATAGTATATTTACTAAATAGGCATAATTATTTTATTCTATCCTGTTACATTTTTATTGATTTATATAAAAATTTTAAATTAATTTAATTAATTTTTTAAAACGGCAAATACGCTAGTAAAATAAAAATAAATATAACTAGTTTTTTTACTCTTGCGGGTAAGATCGGGTATTTTGTAATTTTTGATCAGGAACTTTCATGACATTCATCCGGCAACACAACCCACAACCAGTGTTGCCAGGCGATAAAAACATAAAGTGGTACCAAGTTCTCGATTTAATGGTATTTAATGGTACACACAAATTCTCTATTTAATGGTATTAATTTGTCCATTTAAATCTTAACTTACCAATGGTCTAGTTTAGACAGTTTTCTTGATTGTGAGTGTATTATTCTTAAACTGTCAAACCATAGAAGTTCTGTGACAGAAGTTCACAGAACACCAAACATACATTATTCTACTCAGGGTTCGAAAATATGATATTTATATAAAAATCCGATATATATCCATAATAAATATCCGATATTCCACGCCAAATCGGATGGTTTCAAAAAAAATTTTTTACTCCATTTTTTATATTTTTTAGTACTCCTTGAAAGACCTTTCTCAGTAAATTTTGAGATTTTTTTGATCACGGGTTCAAAAGATATAAAATTTTAAAAAAAACTACTTTTTTTTGTTTTTCGCTCATAACTTCTTAAAAAATGGTCCAAATCAAAATGTTCATTTTATATAAAATTTTCGTTTTTAAATGTATTTTTCGAAAAAAAAAATATTGAAAATATTTTAAGCGTTTTAAGTCAAGATTTTTTAGTTTTAAAGTTTAAATCGTGTTTTTAAAAATGTGTCTTCTTCGATTTTCGCGAAAAAATTTTATTTTTAACTTCTATCTATTCAACAACTATTCAGCCTGGTCCGGTAGTGGGCCTTCCATAATTATTATTTTTTTCGAAAATTATAATAATTTTTAGATTTTTTTTTTTAAATCACAAAAACAATGTTTATAAATACTTTTCTTTGTGTTTTCTATTACAATAACCAAATAAATCACTTAATAGTTCCGGATATATATTGTAATCGACCTACCATTCTCTGTCTGTCTTATTAAGTATTTTTATTAAGACTTTCAAAACTCTTATTTTTAGTCATTAAAATTTTTTCAGAGTAAAAATTCTGCAAGGGATCCTTTCACGAGGGCCCGGATTACACAGTATAATACACAGTGGTTTTAGTTTCTCCTATCCAAAGAATGCTTTTTTGCGTTTACAGAATGTTTAGATTGATTCAGGTTTTTTTTTAATATCGATTTTAAGTTTTATTAATTTTGGAACCCGAAAAACCGTTATTTATTAATTTAAACAAATTAACTGGTAGGAAATTGTTGTCATAACAATAAATTAAAAATAAATAATAAAAAATAAAACAAAAATTAAAAATGGGTGGAAACATGTCACTAAAAGTACATTTGCTCCATGCACATCTTGACCTGTTAGAAAATCAGCTGTCCACCGAATCAGAAGAGCATCAAACAATAATGGAAATGGAAAATCGTTATAGAGGAAAGAGGTTTGATTCGATGTTGGCAGATTTTTGTTGTTCTATGGCATTGGAAATTTTGGCATAAAATTATAAATAAAATTTGTTATATCTTTTATCTTGATTCATTCTATTTGTTAAAAAGAATATGTTTTTAATAATTAATTTAATAATAATAATTACCATAATTATTATTATGGTAGAAGCGAAAGAACTAAGAAATTGCACAACAACATATTAAATCCAGAAAAAGGTTCAATTTTTTAAAAAAATTGCATTTTATTGTTCTCATTATTTTTTTATTTAATTATTTTTTTCTTTATTTGATTGTTATTACTTTATAAAACAATATACAAAACCAATAATTATCTTTTATGTACTAATTATTTATTATTTTACGATATTTCGGGATCCAGAATTACTAAAAATTTAAATTGATATTAAAAAAAAAACAGAATCAATCTAAACATTCTGTAAACGCTATAATTCATGATTTTGATTGAAGAAACTGAAAATACTTTCAGAACCCCATCATCTTAATTTTTTTCCGAAAATGTTGCACAGTGTTATTTGCATTTGCATTTTTACCGGTTATTTTATATTTTCCCTAATATCTAGTGATGATGCATATTTTTGCTAGATTTACAATATTTTTGGTATGGTATATCTAGTTTCTAAAGCCGTGCAGATCAGCCTGCAAATTCTTTTTGTGATTTTATGCTGCGCACAATTAAATCTTTCATTTAAGTTGTAAAACATTGTTGAAGAAATGAAATAAAACATATTTTTGCTCACCAATCTTCTAGTACGTCTTGTATCGTTATGTTTCTCGTGGAACATGCAAAAATACTTCCTATGACCCGTCAACGACAAAACTGTGCCGACACAATTTCTTGGATTAATATGCAAGTCCTTTTCTTCCGGCAAGGACAACTGCAGCAGCTCCTTATACCAGCTGATCCCCTTATCAATATTTAAATACGCAAACATTAACGTTTTGTTTCTACAGAAGAAAAAAATATTAATCATATAATTTTCATGGGGATAACATTGTTTTCTTACTTTCTGTATGGCCAGACAGCCTTGTGGAATGGAGGTATTAACTGGGTTCTGGACTGATTGTCCAATAGCAGCACAATAGTTCTGCAACCCGGCTTAAGCATTCGGACAAGTCCGTTGTAAGTTTCGGGTCTTAGATCGTGGATTTTCAGCTCGGGCTGGTTGTTTGACTTCATGTTGTTATTGTTGTTTCCCGACTTGTTCTGCCGGTTTTGTATCGATTCTTCCTCTAACTTACTACAAAGAAAATTATTTGTTAGTAGAGGACAGTCCCTGGCCAATTTATTAAAAGTAATTTTCTTTAATTTTGGAATTCGTAAAGTAGTGGATATCTTCTCACAAAAATGCATTTTTGAACCACAAAAGTGTTTTTATAAATAGAATCGCGTTAAAAACGCCTTTTAGAACAATAAATAAGATAAAATTTAAATTAAAAAAGTGATGGCGAAAAATGTTATAAAATTATTATTTTTTACAAAAACGACTTTTTGAGCTTAAAATAGTTACTTGTGTGCCAAGGCCAAAAAGTGACTTTTTTGGACGAGTTTAATTTTAATGGTGAAGGCGATAGTGGTGCACACAAAATTGCTTTGGCAACCTTTTATAATCATTTTATTAATTATTTATTGATATAATTATCAATAAAAAGAACAATAATAAAAGCGGCCAAAAAAGTGTTATGCGGCCGATAAAAAATTCCGAGATTCCCTTGGTTTAAAAAAAAATATTGTTCCTAACACATGCGCAAAGTATTTTTTTGCACTTTCTGCTTGCAGTGGCGTTCGAAAAAATATAACTACGCACTTAGAAAAATAACTACATATTTATGATAATTTTAAAAATAAAATTTGTATTTAGGTAGGTAGCCAAACACTTATATTACCTTTTGAAACCCTCTATAAATGTAAAGTAATACTATTTCTTATTAAATAATTTATATTTTCCTTTTTTAAATTATAATAAAAAACTATATTTCAAACCTTTTCAAAAAATTTAATTATATAATTTATAAAATTATATGAATTTATAAAAAATGTGTATGAATCATTAATGAATGAAACTTAAATCGAACTAAAAAGTTTTTAAAGTGGCAAATTTGTTATTATGAAAAATTACTAAACATACATTAATTTCATGGTGACACAGTAAAAACGTTGCTATAGATATTTTTCTAAACTAAAATAAATGTTGTACTTACACTAAATAAACCATAAGATATCCAACTCCAACAATGAAAACGACGGTGCCCAGGATAGAGGCCACAGCCAAAATTTCACTTTTTCCTACTCCCTCGTAGGTAGACTCCAAAAAGTAGATAATCTTGGTGAATATTTTGGAAAATGTGCCTTTGGAATGTTCGTCAAATAAATCCTAAAACGATCACTTACAAGTCATCCTTTATTGAAAAAAAATTGTTTACCTTAACAAAAGCGTTGTTGGTTAAGGCTTCAGATGAACGCAGTAATTTGTTGATGGTGTTTTCCAACTTTTGCGTGGTGTAGTTTAAATCGCTCTCAATCTCCCACTTGTCTGTTATCCATTCGTATTTAACGTGCGAAGTGTCTTTTCTCCATAAAATCACTATGCTAAGCATTGGTTCAACAGATGTTCCTTCTAAAAAATTAAATTATTACACATAAGCCCTAATAATAATAATAATAATAATAATAAATCACAAATGATAAAAGCATTGGTAATGTATAATCAAATACAACTAAACTTCTTTTATACGTTTATTTTTATTTTATTTTATTAATATTATCAGTTTTATAGTTTAAAAATGTGTTTTTGTGAGATATTGACTATTTTACAAAATATAACCATATTTGAAATTTTATTTTAATCTAAGAAAACCATAGAAAAAGAATGTAAGAAAACTTAACGTAATTTTTTAAGAGTGGGAGACGCCAGAGACGGTTTTCGTAATTCAGTAGTGGACCCTTCACCGGCGTTGGGTGATAGTCGAAGTTTGCTCTGGATTATCAATACGAATTACGCATTATTAGTCAATTTACTTTTAAAAATGATTCAGATACTTAAAATGTAACGTATCACTTTTAACAGTAAATTATTTATTAAAGGTGTAAAATTATTATTTGTTTTGCATTTAACTAAAAGTGTTTTCTTATAAAAAAACGTTTAAACATAAAAAATTCTCTTTAAAAACTAAAATAAAAATATGCACCTTTTAACCCAATATTTCATTTATTGGGCATCATAATCCGATTTTGCAGACTTGCAGCCCGTGCAAGTTGGCAGGCAAAAAAAAATCCTATTCTGACAAGTTTATTGCAAATGGAATAGGATATTAATTAGGTGCTTATTTTTCGTGTACAATTTACATTAATTAACGCTTAAATATTAAACTACTGATTTACCAATGATTCAAAAAAATTGTGAGACTTTTTACCTATCAGTTATTTACTTAGCGGATCGAACAGAGCCCGATCCCTGTGCGTTTTAACGCTTTTATTTTCGAACTGGTTTCGAGATCCCATTTAAATACATACAAATACATTTAAATACATACAAAATTTATGGAAAAGAATAGGCTTTTTTAGTACTTGTTTTTAAAAAATCAAAATGGTCCCATTTAAGAAAAAATTAAAAATATATTTTACATCAATTCTTCTTAGCCAAAAAGTTTTGTTTCGCTTTTGAAACCACCTCTATCTTAAAGCAGGAAAAAATATATAGGATATATTATTTGTCGATTTAAAAATAGTCATTTATATATATATATATATTTTTTTTCAACCAAAATAAAAAGAAAAATTTCAAGCCCCTGTATATCTGCAACCCGTCAGTCTTTTCCGCTGCCCTTTTGCTTAATTGAAGTCCGATTTAATCTGATTATTTATTACCCACGGTGGTTTTTTTAAATTTCGTGTTCAGTAAGTGTCTACTATTCGGCGAATACGAATATTCACGAATCAACGATTTTGCATTATTATCATTATTATTTACTTTAATATAAGTAATCAATAAACTTGTAAATGACGAGTTGTTAAAAATATTGCGTTTTCCATTAAAATTCAAAGAAAAATGTAATATGATTAAATAATTAAAATATTTCTTACCTGGAATTAGAGAATTAACAAACTCTGTCTGTTTATCGTGATAAATATAGGCAAATCTGACTTTTTCGACGTTGTACTGCGACGTTTGCGCGTACATCCTGAAAGATTTCCTGTGCAAATCGTGATTGCTGCTGTCTTCAGTGACCAAAATGACGCACAGTTTTTTCTTCATCTTGTTCCATTCGCACGGACACAAATCGTCCAAAACAACCTTAAAATAACCCACATATGTTTAATATGTTTAAAAAATGTTGTCAGGCCGTTTAGAGATAAATATTTTTATACCTGTTACCCATAAATATCTCTGAAACATTCATAAATATTACGTAAATATTTTTCAACATTTATTTCGCAAAATTATGTAAATATTATTTCCTAAATATTGTTAAGTTATTTAACAATATTTATAAATTTATTGAAAGGTTCATTAAAAGTTTTCTGGCGTAAGCGCCCTCTCAATAAAAAGGTATCTGTTGTCTAAGGCTCGGTCGCTAAAGTCATCCACAAATCAGCGTCAGTTCGGCCATTTTTACTTTGTTGAGAGAATTTCAAGTGCGACGCTAAGTTAAAATATTAAATTATCCAGATAACCCTTCCTGCAAGGGGTGTGTAATATATTTATTTTTATTGTTTAGATTATTATTGCTATTCATGAATGGCAGTGTACTGAACCGCGGCGGTACCTTAAAATTTTATTGCCACCCTATTGAATACGATTATTCTATCGGTAAATTTCTTATTAGCAAAAAAAACAACATAAACCTAATAAAATCGCTTAGAAAACCAAAAATTTTGTTTTTTATTTTTTAAAAACAAAAAAGTAATTTCCTCAAGCGGGATTGAACCGAAGACTTTAATTAAATTCTTTTTAGCCTCCATCCGGAAAAATGCGAAAACCGAAACCGCTAGCGAAAATGACATTTTACCGGAGTTACGACAATGGCTGGCTCAAGCTAAATTTAGAAAAAGGAAGTAAAAAAGAAACTTAAAAAGAAAAACCAAGACTGTAGACAGAAAAATTTTCTTTTATTTCTGTATTTTTTTCCAAAGAATTTTTGTTTTACATGTTTTACTTTTATTTATATTGATTATTTCTAAAATAAACATTTTTTGTTAAATATTTTTTATTAAGAAGTATACTAAATTTTCTTGTATTTTTAACGTGCAAAAAATAGATCTCCAGCTATGGAATTCCACCGTTTTAGTATGTCTGATATAAGAATACCATACCACATCTACTTTTTGCACTTTTATGAATATAAAAGCAACATTTTATCAACATTTACAACATTGTTAAAATAAATATGCAATGAAATGTAATAGTTATTTAAGTATGTCATTAGGTTAAGAAGTAAGGCTTTTTGTGCTAAGCTCAAAGTTTGAAGGCCGACGCGTAGCGGAGGCCTACAATTGAGCGAAGCACAAAAAGACACTTCTTGGTCGAATGGCATACAACACTTTATATAGGTCAATTTAATTCAACATGAAAGCGGCCTAACCTCACTTTTTTAGAATCTCATTTATTTATTAGTTAAGATTACATTAAATGTACAATAATTATTATTCCTTTTAGAAGCAGTAATAGTTTGACAATACCTAGCTACATGATTTAAGTAGAAATGGATTTTTGTAAGAAAATGGTTTACTTACCCTCTTGCTATTACATTGAATTCAATTAATTGTTTAATAAATAGGTAGGTATCTAATTTCAATTTGTTTGCATTTTTATTTAAAAAAAATAGGTGGTTTGGAATGTTTACGCTGTGTTTAACATTTAATTTCACTGAAAACTTAAAGGAAATTAAAACTTAAAGATAATTTAAATCGTAGCTAGAAAAAGAAAACACAACTGTGAAATCCACAGAAACGTCAAATTGCAATGTCCTAACCTCACTTTTTGTTTTATTATTCATATTTAATTTTACAATAATTTAATGAAAAATAATAAACATTAACAGTAAAACAAACAAATTAGTGCTTATTATAAATAAATTAAACCAGTTTAGTACGTTAATTTCTTAGAAAAGGATTAATTTGTCAAAACAATACCCCTAGCGAGAAAAAATCGAAGTAATTACTTGCTTCATAAAAATATTTATCGGCCTAGGCCATAACAAGTTATTTCTTTATCGAATGTTGACATCAATAAAGTTTAAATTATAGACCGCGTGGAGATAAATATTATTAAAATATTTGCAAATATTTTTGAAACATTAATAAAATATAAAATAATGTATCTAAAACAAAAATGTTTTAAAAAGTGGGACATCTAAATTTTTAAAACATTTTAGAGGCATTTAATAATATTGACTAATATTTAGTTCATTTAGCAAAAATATTCATTTAATTATATATTATATATTTTTGTGTTATGTGGGAAGATATTATTAATATTAGAAAAACCGTCAAAAAAATACAGTTTGTCCCACTATTAACTACTATTTTATTTCTTTTTACCTGCGATGAGAGTCGCGGCAAAGCCAAAAACTGATTGGAAGAAATAATGGTATGTAGAGTAGAGGTGGGAATATCTTTCATAGAAATGCTTGCCATTGGCTGAGTGCTATTTTCATTGAACAAAAGCACTGAATCCATATCGCCCGGTACTTGGTACTGAGCTTTTATTTCATCTGAATCTACAAACCTATATAAGAAATATAAAAACAAAATTAAAATAAGATTACTTTAAAAATAAGTATCTTACCCAAAAGCCACTCTATGGCGAAAATGATAGGCAGTGACTAAATATCTTAACCTCATATGTGGTCTTGGTTCATAAATGAGCCCTCTAACTCTATTATCTGACCAACCATTCAAGAAATCGTTTATGTTGTTATCATTTATTTTTGGCACCAGTTTATATGGCATATGATTTCGAATAAATTCTATAAAGAAAACAACATTTAAAATAAAATTCCTCACATTTTCATAAAAAAAATTAAACTCAAATCACCGCAATTACAAATTTTATAAACAAAATCTTTCCCTATTATCAAAATAAAAAATAAATCAAAACGGTATGATTTCTTACCGATAATTTTCTGCATGCTAGTAATGGTCTCCTTGTATACATAAATGTTGCCATCAAGTAATAAAACAAGACATGGCAGGGTGTGAATGCTTAGCCGTCTGCCCAGATTTTGTTCTCTCCCTGCGTGAACGGTAACGAAACTGATTCCCAACGGTTCCAAGTGATCCACTAACTTTCGGCAGTATGGAGCGGTTTGCAAACAAGTAAAGCACCAATCAGTATAGAAAAATATCAAATGAGGCGTCTTTTCACTCTTTGGAACAATAATTTTGTCATATTGTCTAAAAAATAAGATTAATGTAACTTTTTTTTCAAAAATATTGTTTGAGCTCCTAATATTAATAATTAAAGGGTTCTCATCGCGATTTTCTATTTTCCATTGAAATAACAGGAATTTTATTAAGTATTAACAGCTAGTACATTAAAAAGACCAAGTGTATTCTTAAAGGAAATTAAACGCTCTACAAAAAAGGTCTACTATAAATTTATTATAATAATAAATCTACTCCTTCAAAAGTTTTTCAAATCCATAGTTTTTTTTAATTAACAGGCAAAACTATCACTTACCAAATTTTGACTTGAAATAATAATTGGGTATTCAAATAGCAAATAATGTAAATATTGTAATGGTTCAATTTAATGAATTCAAAGAAAAATAAAGATGTTTATTATAAGGACAAAAATCTACCAAAATATTTGCTTAAAAACTACAAAAAAAAGTAGAAATCTATTAAAAGTCACCCCCTGCTTAAATGAAAATGTGCAAGCTCTATAGTTAATGGATTTTTTATATTATATTATAGTTAATAATATATTTTTTAATTTTAAAATAAAAATATTGGTAAATTCTAAAACTGTAGAAAATTTCAACAAATTTTGACTCAATCTTAAGGAAATGCCATTTGGAACAAATTTGAAATGTTGATAATTTTTTGAAAATAAGTTACAATTGTAACTTGAACATGCAATATTTATAAACCAACAACTAATTTTATAAAGTTTAAAATTAAAATATTTTTATGTAAAATCTTTTTTATAAATAGTATTTTATAGTAGGTTTAAAAAAGTATTTGACCTTTAATGTAGGCAAATTTTCTTATATTACACTTTGACCTTTGACCAAAATGAATTTTATTTGCAAATTAACATTATAATCTTTTATATCCTGCAATGTTCCTAAATAATAAGGACTTTCCTAAGGGACATTCTACACTAGTGAAGCTATATGGTTTTATTTTTACCTTGTGGTGATGGACAATTTATGGAAAAAGGTGATATCATTATCTTGGAAGTTAAAATGTGAGCCTTGCTGAGTAAAAAACTCCTCCAGAGGTGTGGTTGTGTGAAACGAAGGGTATTCAGGTTTTCGATAAAAATCATCCTCTGTAATACCTTTATCGTCAAACCGCTTTCTTCTCTCTGGATCTGACAACAATTCGTAGGCCTGCTTAATTTCAACAAACCTGTTTTCAGCATCCTCATCAGTGTTTTTGTCAGGGTGCCTGAAATAGCAATCATAAACATGATTTTTTTGTGTAAGGTAGTGTTAATTTTATGTAATTACCATTCTTTGGCAAGTTGCTTGTAGGCTTTTCTTATTTCTTGTGAGGTAGCTCGCCTATGCACCCCTAAAATTTGGTAGGGGTTACCTAATTCCCCTAAAACATCCAATATCAAAAACACTAAAAGGCAACTTTGGATGAGCCAAAGTTGAGAGAGCCATTTCATTTTAACTTATCACTTCACACATTCACTCAATTATTTCATTTATTTATCTAAAATAATGGTCCGACTTCTAAGCTAAATATTGATTATAGGGGGAAATTCTGTCATCTGTCAACTTATTTTTAACCTAGCTGAAAACCCTATGGAAAACTGGGAAATTCGTTGTTATCTAACTTCATATCTAATTCAAGATTATTCGGGAGATTTATGATTCGGCTTCGCGAACGCTACACTAATTCAAGGTTAAATCGTTAAATGTAAACAAAGACATTTTTAGGATTTCGATTTTCGGTCGCCTGAAACGGAAGTTTCAGAAGCAAGTTCGAAAAGCTCACTGAAAAAGTCACTGAAATTATAGAGCTTTCAACTTATTTGGTTGGTATTCTGAAAATTTGACAACTTCAAAACAACATAACCCTATTTTACAGCAACATAACCTTAAAATAAAGTCCAAATTAGAATCAAACTATGTAAAAACAAGTGTTAATACAGTAAAAATGTATTCCAATTTACTTAAAATATGTAAAACTAGATTGTCTTATTCATTTATAAAAGAATCATTAAGGAAATACAGTAAAGTATCCTCGAAAGAATTAAATAATTACAATGAAGAGACATGTAACGAATTAGAAACCATAATAGATAAATTTGGAGAGCACTTACAGTATAACAGTGTGCTCCAAAGTTTGGGTATTCCCTACGGTAATAACAAGAATACATTTTGTAATGATAATATAAAGAAACGTAAAGAATTTATAAAACGTAACATGCAACTCATTCAGCCACTGCCTTTATCATTAAAATTTATTAATGACAACAATAATAATGAATCTGTAAAACATGAAGAACCTGTAGTTAAAAAAACTGAGGAACAAATAGTTAGTTTTCCTTACGAGAATACAGATTCAAGTAATTTTAATGTTAATAGGAGTAACCAAGATTTAAATAAGGTTGATTTAACTGCTGATGATGAAATTAGATTAAAGCATGAAAAAATGAAAGAAGTTAGAAATTGGATGACTGCCTATGATAATTATAATGATTCAAACATTGAAGACATGGAAGATGAAAATTGGGAAATAAATTATGGTACCCCTGATCCTAATTCTAGAGTTAGTAATGTACCTTGTGGAGGCTGTGGAGCTCTATTACATTGTAAGGTAAGGATAACATTTTTTGTTTTCAAGTATTAGATCATAAATTATATTTAACCAGTGTGGCTGGTGGATTTTGTGTATACCAATATCTCAGTTATTATACATGGGACCAGTGGCGGCTGGTAGATTTTGGGTATACCGATATCTCAATTATTAGATATGGGACTCACACCAAATTTATATGAGTTTATAATGACATTAAATAAACGTTCTGCGCAAGCATAATTTAAATTGAAGTTTGTGAAAAAAAGATAACTTTTTGCTCGGCTGTACTGGCCCCATGGCGCCCCCAATAAATATAATATAATTTTAATTGGTGCAATTTATTATTTACCATAGTTTTTTTTTGGTGTGCCCTTCCAGCCCCCTGCCCCCTTATTTAGGATAATTTAAATTAGAGTAAGGCAATTTATTATTTATAACATATAGTTAATTAATAATTAATAATAATAGAAAATTTCAAAATTTTTTGAAAAAATTCAAGTCTTGAAGATTTTATACAATTTTATTTTTTTATTGTAGTAAAAGAAAAAATATAAATAAAATCTGTTATATTTGGATTTTTTAAATTAATTTTGAAATTTGTCAACTAAGGAAGGGCACACCAAAAACCTAACTTTACAAAATTCAATTTAATTTTTGCTTGAGCAGAACTGGTTTATTTAATGTCATTATAATTATATATAAACTTATATAAATTTGGTTTGGGTTCCAAACACAAAATCCACCAGCCGCCACTTTTAATTTTGATTTAAAACTTTTTTTTTTGATAAACTATATCTATTATATTTTTAGGATACAGCTATTCCAGGATATATCCCTTCAGAAATATTTAAGAACCACTCAATGAGAGGTGGAGCTAACCTGGAAGCAATTATATGCCAAAGATGTTATTTTCTAAAAAACTACAACATGGCACTTCAAGTAAAAGTATCCCCAGATGAATACCCTAAAATTTTATCAACATTAAGTAAAAAAAAAGCATTGGTTGTTTTAATGGTGGATTTAATGGACTTTCCTTGCTCAATATGGCCTGGGATGGCCGATATTTTGGGGCAAAATATGCCAGTGGTAATTGTGGGAAATAAAGTTGATTTGCTGCCTAAAGATGACGACAAATTTTTGTATAATATAAAAAGGAAATTGTTGGATTATTGCAAGCTGTATGGATTTGGCACTGCAAATATTAGAAATGTTGCTTTAATTTCAGCTAAAACTGGATTTGGGGTTGAAGATTTGATTACTATGTTACAATCTGAATGGAAATTTCAAGGTAAAACTACTTTTCTTTTAATTTAAATAAATTTCAATAAACATAAGGTAGATAGTATCATAATATGATACGTATCATATTATGATACTATCTACCTTATGTTTAGTGAGTTATTTAAATTTTATTTAAAACATACTAAATTTATTAGTACTATTAGTATCTCCATTTAAAGAGTTTCCATAAAATGTCAATATTAAATATTTAATAATAATAATAAATTTTAATATATGATTTTGTGAGAAATTAGACATCAGTGGCAGCTGGTAGATTTTGGGCACACCCATATCTCAGTTATTAGACATGGGACCCACATCAAATTTATATGAGTTTATAATGACATTATATAGACAAGTTCTGCGCAAGCAGAATTTAAATTGAAGTTTGCTAAAAAAATTAGTTTTTTAGTGTGCCCCCCCAATTTAAGATAATTCAAATTAAAGTGGTGCAATTTATAATTCTCTACAGTTTATCAACAAATTTCAAAATGTATTTAAATAGTCCAAGTATTACAGATTTTATACCATTTCTATTTTTTTAAATTTAGTAAAAGAAATATTAAAAATTTAAAATGGTATAAAACCTGTAATACTTGTAATTTTTTTAATAAAATTTGAAATTTTTCGATAAACTTCAGTGAATTAAATATTGTACTACTTTAATTTGAATTATCTTAATTTGGGGGGGGCAGGAGGCTGGGGGCACACTATGGTAATTAATTTATCAAACTCTTCAAATGGAGATAGGTACCTACCAGTGGCGGATGGTGGATTTTGGGTATACCAATATCTCAGTTATTATAAATGGGACCCAGACCAAATTTATAAAAGTTTATAATGACATATAATATTAAATAGACAAGTTCGGCGCAAGCAGAATTTAAATTGAAGTTTGCGAAAAAAGTTAGTTTTTCATGTCTCACCCGCCTCCTGGCCCCCTATTTGATATAATTCAAATTATAGTGGTGCAATTTATTATGTACTATAATTTATCGACAAAAAAATCCAAATATACCCAACAGATTTTATACGATTTTAAATTTATATTACTTATTTTATTAAAATAAAAAAATATTTAAAATGGTATAAAATCTGTAATATTTGGAATTTTTAAATAAAATTTTAAATTTGTCGATAAATTATAGTGGATTATAAGTCCCACCACTTTAATTTGAATTATCTCAAATAGGGGATCCCCTAGGGGATCCCCTCATGGCCTCGAGGCCATGAGGCGGCACGAAAAACTAACTTTTTTTCGCAAATTTTAATTTAAATTCTGTTTGCGCCAAACTTGTGTATTTACTGTCATTATAAACTATTATAAATTTGGTGTGGGTCTAATGTCTAATAACTAAGATATTAATATCTTAATATCAATTGATATACCCAAAATCCACCAGCCGCCACTGGTACCAACTACCTGAAAGTTAAAATTGAATTCCTTTTAAAAATTTCTTAGGTGATGTCTATCTAGTAGGCTGCACGAATGTGGGCAAATCCAGCCTTTTTAACGCCCTCATCCAATCAGATTACTGCAAAATGCAAGCGATAGACTTGCTCCAGCGTGCCACGACAAGTTTATGGCCCGGTACCACCTTAAACCTCCTGAAATTCCCGCTAATGCGCCCGTCCGGTTACCGTCTCCACTTACGTCACGAACGATTGACAGCGGCCAAAAAGTTGTCAATCAAGGAAGACATAGTGAGGAGTACCAACTTGAAGGAGGTTAACTCGGGAAAATACGCGACTCTGATTGGTCACATTGGGAGGTCCTACGAAAAGGAGGCTGAGGATGAGGCAAAAGATGTTTTTAGCGTGACGGCGAATTCAAACGCGTCGGGGAAATTAAAAATGGGCGTGGACGAGTCTCATCCAGACTACGCGTTGAGTCGGTGGTGCTACGACACGCCCGGCGTCATTCAACCCGATCAGATTATTAATATTTTAACAGCAGATGAGTTGATGTTGACTTTACCAAAACATATAATAAGGCCTGTTAGTTTTTGTCTTAAACCTGGCAGTACTTTGTTTGTTGGAGGCTTGGGTAGAGTTGATTATTTGGAAGGTGACGTTTCTGTCAGGTGAGTACTGCGCATGAGTGGAACTAGATTTTAGGTCCTATATAATAGGTCAACTTAGATTGCAAACTTTTTATTTTCTAGATTTACTGTATTTAGATCACACACATTACCACTAACAGTGTGTAGCACCAAAATTGCTGATCAACTTTACAAGGACTTTTTGGGTAAAGATGTTTTTGCAGTTCCAATGGATATTTCGAATAGACTAGAAAAATGGCCAGGTTTAGAACAGTCCCATATTATTTCAATAACAGGAATTAATAATAAAATGTCTGCCAAAGATATTGTTTTATCCAGTGCTGGTAGAAATGTTAAATTACATTTTTATCATTTTTATAAACATATTTTTTACAGGTTGGGTGGCAATAAACATTATAAAAGGCGTTACCGGAAAATTTGTTGCTTGGACTCCTGAAAAAAGGGGCTGTTATGTTAGAGACTGTTTGCTACCAAAAGCTGTACAATTAAGAGGCAAAAGAAAACGATTTTCTCCTGTATATGAAAAACATAAATTTATATAATTTTAATTTGACTTTTATTTATAATTTTTAAAAAGAAAGAACGTTCATAGGCATGTGCGAATTTTGAAAATATTTGCAGGCATATGCACATGCTGTTTCCTGTGGTGTGACAATGTCTAGGGAGAATGTTTAAAATATTTTATCCCCTCCACCTGAATTTACAACTTTTCCTGTTTTGGAATGCATTAATACCTTAGACAAAAACCATTTAATAGAATTTAATATTTTTATATTTTAAAATGAAATCGGATTAATACAAAAAATTACTGATTTGGGTTTTGAGGTTTGGACCAATCAACAGTAAGAATCAAGTGATCGTAACCATGGCCATTCAACATACTGATGGCCTTAGCTGCATCGCATTTGAATTTGTAATGGATGTAGGCATAACCTTTACATTGACCGGTCTGTTTGTCTTTGGCCAAGTAGATCTTGACAATAGGACCAAATCTTTTAACAAGCTCTTCCAAATCAGCATCAGTGGTGTTTTCACTGAGATTTGCAATCCTGATTGCAGTTTGGTCATCTCTCCTTTGCATATTCGGGCCGTCCATTCTTTTTGAGGCACCGTCACGCATACCAGGAGGAACATACTTGGAAACCCCTGGTTTGTTGGCATCACCTGCACCAGGTCCTACTAAAATTAAAAAAATTATTAGTGACTGAAACTGACAAGCTATTTACCTAAAAATCTAAATTTTATTTATTTTTACATACCTCCCATGGGTGTTGGTTTTTTGTCATCAATTTTACCACCAGCCAAAGTAGTATCCTTCCATGGACACTTGGAGGTCCAATGCTCTCCATTACATTTACGACATTTAACCACAGTTTTGTCTCCAAGAGCTAAAACATTAAAAACCAATAAATAACAACATAACCTACCATGAAACCTAACCTTTAAGCTTATCTAAAGCATCTTCCTCCTGTTTATTATCCTCCTCTTTGCTGGTGATGTATTGCATGTAAACATCTTCAGCAACAATTGTAGTGGCAGGGTTTGGACCTGGCTTATCATTGGAACACTCGCCAAACTTCTTCCAGGTTTTTCTCACCGCAATAGACTTGGACACGATTCTTTTTTCGATCTTGTACGTTCTCACAATCTTGACTTTCTTCTCGTCGTCGTTAATTTTATATTCTGTCACCACTTTAAATCCGTTCTCGTAGACTTCCGTAGGGGCTGGTAGGGTGGTTCCTCCCTCCAATTCGACCTCATCTGCCCAACTGGACTTTACTTCTTCGGCCGCCGGCATTTTAAAAGTCACAAAAACCAGCAAAAACCGATAAATATGTTACTACACGTTAGAATGTAACCTAAAGAAATTTGACAGAAATTAAAATGACAGATGACAGGGTTGCTCGGAAAAATTTCTAAATGTTACCAGAATCAAACTAAGCGGGAGATTCAAAATTTTGTTGGTAACAATTATTATTTTATTAGCTTTTGTTTTAAATGGTATAAATTAGGGTAGAACATGATAAAATATACCTACTAAAAAGTAAATGTACCCACTATTTATAATCTAATAAAGTAGACTATTATGTTACATATTAAAATTTAGAATAATAATAACAAATAATTTAGAATAATTATGCAAGTGTAATGCACGAGCAGAGCGAGTTTTTAGTAAATGAGTGATATCGAGAAGGTTATAGAATGAATTGCATACCATACTTTATCTACGACGAACGCAAAGTTAATGTTTGTGAATTTCACAATGTGAAATTTATTTGACATTTTATCCGACATCTCACAACTGTTTAGCGGTTTAACCTTACTTTTGTTTAATCTGTCAAACAGATTTAACCTCACTTTTTTCCAATCTGAGATCTGTCAAACGGTTTTAACCTCACTTTTTCCCAATTTAATGCACCAGCAACTTTTTACAGTAGGGTATTAAATGTGGGAACAAATAATAAATATAAATTCTAATAAATGAATATTTAAATTAAAAGAACTCAATAAATTAACTATATTTATTTTAACAATTATCTACAATGGTAGTTATGACAATTTTACCATATTTTCCTTGAAACCTCTGCTAGCATAATCCTCAGGTTTAACTTTATCAGATGCTTTGGGATATTCAGGGTCACCTAAAATAAAAAATGGTAATTAAACAAATATTTTTATAGTTTAAACCAAGTGAAACTAAATTAGTAACTTTTGGTTTAAAATTTAAAATAATTACTTGAAATAGAAATAATGGCATTAAAATGAACAGTTTTAACAACATCTTAATTAGCATTCCTAGTTTAATTTTGGCAATAGGTAGTTATAAAATAAATAACAAACCTTCAACTACAGCAATTCTAGATTGGTTTACTCTCCAACCACCCTTCCTTGTCCAATCATTGGCATTATATTTAAAATAATAGGTAGCAGCATAAGCTCCCATAATGCCCATCAAGAATTTACCACCAAAATACCTGATTGTAAGAGCCCTTTGCGCTCCCAAAGCAGGTTCCATTATTTTTTGAAGAGTATCTAATGGTAATCTAAAAAAAGATATCAAACGAAGTTATAATAATAAAGTCTATAATTAACCTGTAAAATCTACGAATGGGGTTATTTAAAGCCTTGTACATTTCTGGTACTTTTTTGGGTTCATTATGGGACAATTCTTGGTCTTTTAGCCACTGTTTACGGAAAGCCCTTTCCTCATCGGTCATGCCAAATAACCTTTCTCTCTCTGAATTATAGCGACCGGAGATGGTCATGGGCTTTACGCCCCCGGTTGGCGATGCGTGTACCCCCATTTTCAATCTAAAATAATTGAATATTTATGTGTGTTTGCTAAAATAATTACGTAATTTGATTCTAACCTAGTTGGACAAGCAAAAACAAAGTGACAGATTTGACGTTTTTTCAGGTACCAACAAAACAATTTAAAAACCCTAGATATACAGATTTTTAAGGAACAGTACAGGGTTGTCGGAATGGGCAGAAAATCCCGAAAAAGGAGAAATTTTAAATTTAAAGATTGTTATATTGTAACATTAAATGGACGGCTTTCTGCAGAATGGGACCAACCCACACCATGATGAAACTGAGAAAAAAGCTATCAAAGATTTTAATAATTTTAAAATTACCTGATAATTTTAAAATTACCTGTTAATTTTATGCCGATTTTGGACTTACGGAGGTTTAAGGGATATAATTTAATAATTTCATCAGGTGGATTTTGTGATGTTATGTGTAAGGGTGACGAAAAAAAATGGGCTTTTGTTGGTTGGTTCCTTTCTGCAATTTATGAAAACTACTATCTGATGTATGTATGTATTTAAAGAAAAGCGAAAATTATTTATTTCCAAACAAAATACAACTGATATTACTATTATAATGGTAATATGAATTAATTTTGATTCTATTTGAAATTCGTCCACATCATCTTCCAACCCCACCTCATCTTGTAAGCTACCAAAAAAATGCATCAAGACTTTATATTTTGCAGAAGCAGGAAATCTTTAAAGACTTTGGTAGTGGGTCTACCAGCCTGCTTTTTTACAAAAAAGATCCAACCCACTTGCAGATATTCTACAGATTCTAATTCTGGATTAGTAATCCACACTATAGTGTAATATATTATTGAATGTTGGTTGGTTCAATGATTAATAGATTTCACTACACTTGCATTTTGGCTACGACTTATTTTGCAGATAAATTATACATACTTAATTAGTTCATAGGCTAAATATCTCGATTTTTTTGGTTTTGTGGGTTGGTTCCTTTCTGCAGAAAGGCGTCCAAATATCTATTGGTACAAAATTACGAATTTTTTCCAGGTACTCCTAAAATATTACACAATAAAACTCAAATAATATATTTATTAGTACAACATTGTAATAATACTACTCCTATATTGGAATGTATGGAAGTGCACAATTTATATTTAAAAACGTGAAATAAAGTTCAGTATTATATACATCAACATTAACATATAAACACTTGCAAAAAAACTGTAAGTATTCAGTTTTATTATAAAAAAAATTATATAAAATAAGATTTGTATCAAATTTTAATTAACCATTGAATAAATAATTTTTTAACATTAACCCTAATTTAATCCATTTTAAATTTCTTAAGCATAACATATTTTAACTATATTATTTTAAACAATACAATATTTATACTATTTATAATACACTTTGCAATAAAAAATAATGTATTTTTTCTTATATTTAAATGATATTATTGCAGTGAATCACCATCATTATGAACATTGTAAGCTACGATTCACTACACTGACTAAAACTAAAGATTAAACTCTTCATTGATATTAAATTTTTACTCAAAATTGTACCCAATTACTGTTTGCTGGCGAGCTTGCTGGTGAACCACTAAAACAAAGGGAAAAAATGAAATTAATTGTTAAAACCACACAAAAATGCATTTTCTAAAATTGCAATGTTGTATAAAAATGTTTACCTAGATTGAGCAGATGTAAATTCGCCCCAGGAATCCCCGGTAGCACCTTCGGGTTTGGGCGCATGCGCCGGAGAACCTGCCGGGGAACTACCCGGAGGTGCCGGTAGTTTGCCGCTAGGGGGCGGTGGCAGTAATCCAAGACCAGGACCTGATCCAGCCTTGCCTTTTATTCTGGAGCTACTATCACCGCCATCTTTTTTCTAAAAAAAAAAATACTAAATGGTTGTGTTTTTACGTTATGTTATAATTACCGTTATTTTCATGTTAATTTTAATGGTTTCCCCCTCCTTAAAGCCCAAATCCAGAGCAGGCCCTGGACCTGCTTCCTCTTCTTCGCCGAATTGTTTTTCTTTTTTAAGCCATTTGAAATGGTCTTGCAAAGCTACATTAAGATCAAAAGAATCGGATCTATCGCCAAATCCGATTCCTATAAAGGCTGTTCTACCTATAAAAAACCAAAGGTAGGTATAGTATACAGTATACCTGCAGAGAAATAAGTACCATAACTTTTGATTCTAATTAAAAAAAAGTTTAAAAAAACATGTTTTTACAAATTATAAAAAAATAACAAAACAATTTATGACAAGGACAAGTGTCCCATCTACAGTGTGTAAAGACAACATGGTAGCATAGGAACTCCAAGTCTGGACCAAAATACTTCCCAATAGAAGAAAAATGGAAGATTTCTATTAGAAATCGTCGTTTGACAGCTTAGCTGCACAGTTAGTTTTTAGTGCTGTTAACTTTCGAAAAATACCGAAGTTTGTGCTTATGTTCCCAGCAAAACAATGTTTTCTTCCACGGGATGAATTTAAAACGCTTGATAAAGCAAACTACAGCATCCACCACAACTATTTTCTTTTTTTATGTATATCTAAGTATAATAAGTAACAGATCGCGTTAACAGTCATACTGCGTGCAATAATTATAATAGAGATCTTTATTAAAAAAACAAGTTTTTTTTAACAAAACGTTTTTTCAGTTTAAATCACTAGTTGTATGTCAGAAATATGAAACTTTTTAGAAGAAACAATGACTTCCCCACTGCATTTTATTTTGAAAGGGTAATAATATATTTCCTAGGGCAGGAAGACAAAAGTCGTTAGCTATTTGGATTTCCAATAAAGTTTTATTATTATTATTTCCTTAAAGTCATTTTTAAAGTATGAAGTTAATCTATTTGGAGCAACTTAAGTTGAATTGTACACATGCTGTATACAGGGTGTTTCTACTCAAAATTGACAATGTAATAAAGCAGATCTCATTGAGACTCTTTTTTCAAATAAACATTTTTCATTTTAGCTTTTGTTTTATTATTTCGATGTTTTGTTTTTACATAAAATCCGGCCATAAATAACGGAGATAAAAAATCCCCGTTATTTATGGCCGGTTTTTTGGAGTGTTTAGTTTAATATCTATAATATTTAAATCGGCCATAAATAAGGAAGATATAGAGGTTTATGAAAAATTTATTTTGTCAACTTATCCATGTAAAAATATTAAAATAAAATTAAACTAACATGGTACTATTACTATAAGTTTAATTTTATTTCAATGGATAACTTGACAGAATAAATTTTTCTACTTAAATTTTTTTAATAAAAATTTAGTATAGGGTCTTAAAAACTGACATAGTAGGCCTTGTATTTTGTAAAAATATGGCGTTTTTTGTTTTAAAAATACAGTTTATCAAGACCTACACTTTAAAACAAATCCGGTTAAAATCGCAAAATAAATAAAGATTTTACAGGGGTGAGTCGCAAACAAATGGGTCACACTGTAGGTACTTTGTAACATTATGAATTATTCATGCTGATTTACAATACAATTATAAAACTGATTAATAACATTTTAATAAACATAATAAATTAAAATCTAATGAAGTATTTATTAATTGTATTTACCATTGTCATCTTGTACTCTAAGCACAAAGTATCTGGAGGAATCATTAACAGCTTCAATAGCAATTCCAGGGTATGTCTCAATAGGACATTTTGCATAAAGTTCCCCCGATGATTTATCTTCGAGCTTGATGGCGCACTCGTTACCCTTTGAGATTAGACGCATCCTTCCTGTCCATGCTGGCTCTGATAAATTCCAATCAGCAGCTCTAAGAAAAAATAAATTATATATTACCTAATGTGAATTTCCGGAGATTTTGCGTGAAACCTGCTTAATAATTAGTAATGTTTTGTTGCTAAAATTTATACAGGTATAGCAGTAGCTAAATGCAGTTTATTTAAAACAAGGTACATAGCACTAGTGTTTTATTTAGCTCTGATTACTTGTATTGCTAAAAATGTGGGCAGTTTTTTCTATAAATACTTATATGGCTGAACAACTTAATAAAAAATTACAAATTTAGATTATTTGATAGATTTGGTTTTAACCTTGGTTTTAACTATATAAAATATTTGGTTGTCAAATAAAATATAAATGTATTTTGCCCTATTGCAGCACAACTACAAATATAATAAACAAAAATATCCCATTAATCTTAAAATATAACATATTGCCAAACATTTTGTTGAGATGTGTAAAATCAACCATAAATAAACTTAATTCAAATTGTTTTATAGAATAATAATAATGAATACAGCAATTTTTTATGTTTAATAAATCAATTAACATAAAAGGGAAATCTTTTTAATCACAAAAATAAGCCGAATTTGGTGGGCGGAAATTTTAATATTCTAACCTCAAGCTCAGTTAAAATGACCCTAAAAATTACCTGTAGCCCCTGTTTGTCGATCTAGGTGGTATATTGAAAACAAACACCTCAGGTTTTACTAAAATAACACTTTCGTACGTATCCATTGTTAGTAAATCGCGGACTTGTCAAAACTGACATGAAAACTGAAAACAATCGTAGACATTGCAAGTAGAGAGCGAAATGTCAAACGTGACCTAAATTTTGTTTGACCTAATAACGAAATAATGTTAAAGATCTTTTACGATTTAATGAAATATATTATAATTTAAAATAATCTTTTAAATAGCTGGGTTTTATTGATGTAGGAATGGAAACAAATATTTATAATCTATAAAGTATATGTCTATGGTTGTTGAACTTGTGTTCTTTGGTGTTATTGCGACTTTGAATTTTCCATCAATAAATCAGTGGTGTAGGTTACTAAGGTAAGAGAACTACCTAGGGGTTCTAAATTTAAAACGGAAAATTTCATGTGTACGCTTGAAGAAAATATATATTATTTATACCTATACAGGTTAGGAAGCTTGCATTACAGTGGTGTTTTAAATTGAGCGTTTTTTAACAGCCTGTAACAGCCTGTAGATATTGAGTATGAGTATAAGAGTGAGTATAAGAGACGTATAACCAGCCCCATTTCCTCTTGACTCTCGCACCCCGTACAGGCCTATGTTTACTTACGCCGATTTTTGTTCTTCCCCAGCAACTGCACGGCTTCACCCGTGTTTGCTGGGTGCGAATGTCCATTGCGTTCCGTACTGTCCCCTATTTGGGGCTCGAGAGCGAGAGGCGAATACACGGAGAAAAAAGTTTATTGCTCCCAAATAAAAAAAATATTTAAATATGGGACAAGGGTACAGTTTATTTATCCTAAATATATTTTTATTCCTGACATATAAAGTTTTACTAAAGTATATTTATCGTTATTATTTCGACTATTTAGAGGTAATAAACAATATATTCACTACAAATAAAAGTATTAGGTAAACAGTTTATTTGTCCCATTTTTTTCTCAGTGTAGTTATAATAGCCATTCCCGGGTTCGCCGAGCCTATGCTATACGCTCGGTGGGGTATGGATGAGGGACGGGAGGGAGTTGGTTTTTGGGGGACAATTACGCCGACTTAAAACTAAGTACGACGCGGAATCCCCCTAGACCAGTCGATTAGTATTACTCCAAACATTTGGGATTACTATTTGGAGTTGGGGAGTTGTTATTTCGCTGCAGGGGTGTAGTCTCCTAGTCGAGGTCTTTGTCTTGTTCGTTATTGTCATTGTCCGTGTCCTGGTCAGATAGTTCCTGCCCTTGGTAAAGTGTGTCAGTTGTTTTTAATAATTTTTGTCCCAAGCACGTTTTGTGGTAGAGTTCCGTCTTTGTTTATCAAATTCCAAAGCATTGCATTTATTCACTAGTCAAACAAATCACAAGCGCGATTATTCTGTTGTCTAATGTTTACGAATCTCGAGTATGGCTATTAGGCCCTTTTTTTTAATGTGTTAGAATTATGTGATCAATGTTAGTTTACTCTGTCAGTCCAGTGTTTATTTTCGGTCTCGATTGGGACCGCCTTACGCATTTGCTGTTGACAGACTTATTGCCCCACGCCGCGTGCCCTTCATAGGTTTTAAAGATATCCCAATAAACACTTTAACGATACCTATCACCATTAACATTGCCCGTGTAAGAATTTTTAACACTTTTTAATACAATTTTGCAATGATAGTAATTAAAACAAAACAATTGTTTAAAGAGTAAAATATGATCTTAACATAATCATATTTTAAAGTTATTTTAACATTTCAAGTAAAATAAATGTTATGTTTAATAAAATGAATACGGGCAATGTTAATGGTGACAAATACTTTTTTTCAAATTTAATTTAAAACTAGCTTAATACAAAATAAATAGCCGGCCCTGTGGTGCTTCGCATTAAAATCTGAAACGGCCCCGGTATCAGGCGTGTAACGTATGCTTCAATAGATGGTTTATTTACGTTATGTTATTGCGTGGGCGCTTTGTTTATTTACCTTACTTCAAGCTTTGCCTTGTGGCTGAGTTGCAAGTCGCGTATATTATACAATATATATAATACAATAATATAATATTGCGACGTTCCTGCTTGATTCCTTTTCGCACACTTACGCTGTTTTCGGCAATGGTTAATTGTTGCCAGTTTTTTTTTACAGATTTGCGTATTAGGTCATGCAATAATACTTATCAAAGTCGGCTGGTGATGGTGATGGTGATGATCCCTTTCGCTCTTTGTTAGACTTGTTTTTTTCTTTAAATAGGTGATTCCTTGACCTGTCCCCTGTCACTTTATTACTTCGTGTCCGCACGAACCTCACTGAGTTCACCGTTGAGAGATTGCCTTTTGAGGAATTATTTAATGTTTCTATTAACCCCTCGGAGAACAGGTACCCTGATTTCACCTGTACCGTTATGTAAACATACTATAGTCACCCAAATAGTAGCACTGTTTCGCACCGTACTTTACTCGACTACACTGTATATAATAGTTATGTTTCTTTAAGAATTTTATTGTGGATCGGCGCCGAGCGCTCGAACTACACATCCGCTCGCTTCGCCGGTATCGACAGTACTGCCTGTAACAGCCTGTAGATATTAAGACAAATATTTTAAGTACCTTTTTTATCAAAAGTTTCAAAGTTTACCTATTTAGCAAAAGTAAATTTTCAGGCCGATCCTGGCATTATATTATGTCATTAAAAATTATTAATGCCCAGACAAGCTATTTGGTTAACTTTTTGGAAAATATATTAAATAAATTAATAGATCAGAGAATATGATCAGGATTCAGCTTTGAATAAAAAAGGTTTTTTATTCAAAGAAATTTAGTACATGTCACTGTGACAGTTGCAACAATTTTGAGGTTATGTTCCAGAAATAACTGCAGTTGTTTTCTTGTCAATGTCCAATTTTTTAGGTTGACAACTGAGTGATTTTTCAAAAGGTCGTATTTCCATTTGCAACAATTTTTCAAAAAAATTACTATATATTATGGTCTATGGCATGGTAGGCTCCTTTTTCTATGGTAGGCTCTATGGTCTATGGTCTGACACTGTATGTATCTTGGACACTGTCAGACTATAGTTGTTGCAAATGGAAATACGACCTATAGGTATACCAGCCTCAGAACTCTGTAAAGCTGTTTCTTGCTTATTTTTTTAGTTTTTATAAAAAAGTTACAATTATTGTAATATTTGTTTGACTAGGTATTTGAGTTTTGGGTGTGGAGAATATACTACCATATATATGGAACATAAGAAAAATACTCTATAATAGTTAAAATAGTTTATTTTTTACATAGTTTAAATAGAATAGGACACCTAACAATATTTATTATTTAACGATTTAAATTAACTGCCCAAACTGCATAATAGGGCTGTTCCTCTTTTCGTCCAAAAATCGGCCTTTTCGGTTCCACTTTTTAAATCCACAGCGACAACAAAAGCAGGTCGAAATTGAACTCCAGTTCTAATAGGGAAATAGTAGCATGGACATTGATATAACCCTTAAAATAAACAAAACATTAAAACTTAAAAAATACTTAAGTATGGACAATTGTCCATAGATTACATGTACTTGTACTTGTGTATGTTTATTTACCTACCTCTAGTTTTCTTTTTAAGAACCTCCATGGGTTTAAAGTTGATCAAGGGCATAGGGCTAACTAGTTGCATAGGTTGAGGCTCTATAAGACATGCATTCTTTCGGTCCCAACCTGCCCCTTCCAAATACAAACCCTTTATATAAACGCCGGTAGGTGGCGCTACTTGAATTTGGTTTTTATCCACTGTCAGAACTTCAAACTCCCAACTCAGAGTGTCTATTGGAACTTCTTCGGCCCTGGCAGTGGTCTAAATGAAATAATAATTCATAAAATACCTTGTATAAAAATATGAATTAACAACCCTTGCGGCCTTGAGTTCACGGTTTATTCACCGTGAATTCACGGTGAATTCACCGTAAACTCACCGTGAATAAACCTTCTGTTTGTGACATTTGTAAACGGTAGTTAGACGGTGAATTCACGCACTTTTCACAGTATTTTAATTGTGAATCCACCGTATTTTGGCGGTATATTCACAGTGAATTCACGGTGAATAAACCGTGAACTAAAAGGCCGCAAGGGTAGGTATATCCTATAGGTTTAACACGACTATAGCTAGCCATTATTCGTTACTGAGCAGATGAGGATTAATGTTCAGCTATGCCATTACAGACGCATACTTCCAACTAAATATTGCAACCCAACGCTATTTATAGTTAGCTCGCTTGCGTAAGCAGCCGTGAGATGTATTGAGTTCACCGTGAATTTACCGTGAAATCACCGTAAATTAACCGTGAAATCACCGTGAATTTATCGCAAAAACAGCGTGAGTTCACCGTTTAATTACCGTCTACAAATGTCACAAATGGACGGTATATTCACTGCACATAAACGGTGTATTCACGGTGAATTCGCGCAAACGGTGAATTCACGGTGAATTCACCGTAAACTCAAGGTCGCAAGGGAAGTAATCAGTAGATGGTCAGGAGGGTTGTCTGCCAATTATCCAAACTTGCAAAATTGAGTCTGTAAAGTACCTATTTTTTAAAACTATTTACCTGTAAGACTGCAGTAAGATATCCAGTGGGAAAGGTAAAAGCGCTCAGCCAGAAAAACAAAGGGGCCCTAACAGTGTTAGCCCATATGGAAAAGTGGTCCACTCTGGCCATCAAGTCTCTGGTCCATGAACCCAATAATTTTAGTGAAGGATACGCTGTAGGTATTTGTTATTAAGTTAATTTTTTTTATTCCCTTTGTAAATATATTTACCTTTAAGCCATTCACCAGGCACCCTGGCTTCGTAAATGCAGTTAAAAATATTTTCTAGGACAGATGACATTACAGTGTAGCCCTGAATGGCTCTTCCCAACATGTCAAGGGATGTTTGGATTGACACTAATAGTTTATTGTATCTAAAAAAAAATTAAGTCGTATTTTTTAGGATGAATAAATAATTTATAATTTAGTAGGTATTTTATGTATCAAGTTTGATAAACGCCATTTTAGTTACGATTTTTAATTAGGCACGAGCTTATTAATAAAATGAGTGTCCAGAAAAGTTTATTAACGAGTTGTACTATACTTTTTTACGACAATTATAAAAAATAATTAATTACCTACCTAATTATTTAAATACTTGTACAAAAATAGAGTAACCAAGTTGCCGGCTTTCAAAATGGCAGTGTTAGTCATTTAAATTTGATGAAGAATTATGCTCCGATTTATTGCCGCCAGTTATAAAGGCTTTGGCCAATGCCAAAATGGACAAAGTCCATATTAACGATATTGTATTAGTTGGCGGCTCAACAAGAATACCAAAAATTCAACAATTGCTACAAAACTACTTCTGTGGAACCCCTTTAAATCTCTCCATCAACGCAGATGAAGCCGTCGCCTATGGTGCCGCAGTTCAAGCTGCAGTCCTTAGGGGCTAAACTGATTCTAAGATCGAAGACGTTCTATTGGTCGACGATACACCTTTATCAATGGGAATTGAAACTGGTGGTGGAGTTATGACAAATATAATCGAACGAAACGCCAGGATTCCTTGCAAACAAACCCAAGCGTTCACCACGTACGCAGACAACCAATTAAATATTCGTGGGCGAAAGGGCCTTGACTAAAGATAACAACCTTTTGGGTACATTCGATCTAACCGGATTACGACGAAAAGTCGTGGAGGAATACGAGGATAAACAAAAGCATTTAACATCTGTATTCAGTCCAATTATGGCCAAGTTGAATGGACTCGGTCAACAGGCAGGAGGAATGCCAGGAAGCTGCAAAAGCCGATTAAATAATTTTAGAATCAAAATATTTAGTATTAGATAACTTTCCTTTGAAACTTTGTAATTATTGAGACTGATTAAGTTTGTTGTATATTATTTTGTTCGAATAAATAAAAATATTCGTTGTGTTGACAAGAGAATATGATTTAAAGCTTTTGTGAATTAAATTACAAAGTTTCTTACCTCTGAATTTCTTGCAACAAAACCACATCCAAAGGTTTCTTATTAGGTCCAATCAATTTATCTGTTCTTTCATAGTCAATTGTTGCCGGAATTTTTGAAAGAACATCACTTGCCAGCTCTGCGACCCTTTGTTCCTTACTTTCAGAAGCTGCTCCGCCCACTTGTATCTGCAGAGACATCAACGTTTCGAATAGATTTCTCGATTCGGTAATCAAGGAAGTGATGTCGGCGTTTGGATGTTGCCCAAACGCTTCCGGTCTATCCACAGTTGGCAGCAATGTTATGTAGTCTTGATACGATTGTATTGAGCCGTCTTTCGGGATGTAGTAGGTAACAAGCGACGATAATCTGTGTGAATAAGAACAAGTTCTTTATTGCAGTTACATTACATTCGATGATGTTTTACCTGTGGAATGGTATAACCAAGGAATCTTCGGAAAAGTACTGATTAATATAGGTCAACAAAAGTCGTCTGTCCCAATCATCAGTAACGTGACCTCCATAGTTGACACCAGCTATTAGGTATTTTAGGGCATCCCAAGGTGTATTTTCATACTCGTCTAAGTAAATTGTTAATAGGTTTTCAGACACTTCAAAATCAGAGTCGTTAAAACTGTAGATGACATTCCAGCCAAGTTGTTGGAACTTTTTTCTTTCGAGAAGAATAGCGTGAAAGTAGCATAAACAGAAAAGCAACTTTTTGTATTTGTCTTTGGCTTGACATATATTAAACTGATCTTCTGTAATCAATTGATAAAGCCTTCTCAAGTTTGCTTTGATACCCTATTAATGATAATAAATTTATGGATAAAATGAAGGATTATTATTAAAAGGTTTACTTTTGGAGGTTCAGTTGTCATTTTAATGGAATTTTGTAGGATAGAAATGGGGAAGTCGGGATGCGGACTGGAACTCAACCATAATCTAAAGTTTTTATGACATTTTCCTGTCTGAAGAGTATCGATAATTTTATCCAACTTTGGCATCCAACTTAAAGATAGATGGCAATTCGCCAGAAACACCCAGTGACCTTCCTTAACTCCACCTTGCAACATTCTAAATAAAAAGACGACATGTCATTTATCTCATTTGATAAGCCGACTAATACTATACCGTACCTTCATTTGCAAGCTATACATAGGGAAAATACATTGTAGGTGGACCAGACAAGTTGAAGTCAGCGCAAAGCGAAAAAGTTCTTAGAAATTATATGGACGTAATAAAATTTTAATCGTCAGTTAACAAGGTCACCTGTTACGTCGCATGTTAGTCTACTCATCCACTCGTCAAAATAATTTCTGGGAACATTTTCGTTTCGCGCTGACTTCGACTTGTCTGTTCCACCTACAATGTATTTTCCCTATGTATAACTTGCAAATGAAGGTACGGTATAAGTCAGTATTTGAAAAAGTGGCTTAAAAGATAGCAATTGTATATATTATATATATTTTTACACAAAAAACGGTTTTACTTTGTTGCAACAGGTGCCTGTCCTTGTCCCAAGCTGCAAGAATGAAACTTGTTGCCCATGTTGCAAGACACCGCAAGCTGCATCAGTGCATTGCTCGGATCCACTCCGGGCGACAGCACAAATATCAAAGGCGATTGCGGAATCGATTCTTCCACGACCGCCTTTATGTCGAGAATGGGCGGCTCGATGAATTGCGGACCCAACTGGGCAACGACGAAGTTGGCTATGCAAAAAGCCACCCGGTCTTGACGCAGCGATCTGACGATCAGCATTTTTTGAAACTCGTTGCAAACGTCATTCCATTCCGCTAAAATATCAAGCTAAAAAAGCACTTTTGTTTATTACTTTTGTATTACCTATTAATGGTAATGTTTCTGGATCAGTATGGGTATACCAAATGTACCAATCTCGTGTGTATTGTTCAAACGTGTCCATGAGACCGTGGAATCCTGGTAGCTTGTCTAATTCTGTTATGTTATCCCATGCTTCTTCACTCAACCATACTGAAATTTCACATTTAAAATGACATTCAGTGGTTGAGAAAATGTCTAACTTACCGCAAGGCTTATCGAGTTGGTTTTCTCTGTCCAAAACAACACCTCCTTTCAACAAAAAGTTATACTCGTGTGGTACCACTTTGCCTTGGGCCGATAATATTTTTATACACATATGAAATGAGAATAACAACTTGTGGTGTTCAAATAGGGCTCTACAAGTATTCCTAAAAAACCACAACTTAGTTTAGTTTAATGTTTACTATCTACGTACTTGTAAACTGCATAGGTGTGAAACTCATTCAAAGATGTAATCCTTTGATCCAACTGAGGATATTTCTTACTCTTTGTTATAGAGTTAATAAATAAATGTATATAGGAATCCAAGGAAAACTGATACATTGGATCTATTCTTCCCAAATCGTATAAAACGAAATATAGTATAGAAGCTCTTTTGGCACATGCTTGATAACCCTAAAACATAAATTAAATTGATAATGGAAACAAATTGTAAGTTATTATAGTTTTTTACCGATCTAGCTTCATCAATTTCTTTTTCGGTAGCTTCAGAGGTTTCCAAGCTCACTTTTACCGCAGCTGCAGTCGCCTTGGAAGTCTGCAAGTTGTTGAAAAGCTCCACGTCTTCCAAAAGTTCACCTCTCGTTTCGTTTAGTAATCTCAGAAGTTCGCTTTCTAAGTCCATCAGAGTTCTTTTGCCTAAAATAAAAAGTAATTTTTTCAAGAATATGATCGAAATAAAATTTAGACTATAAATACGATTATCAAATGAAATATAAATAATGAATTAAATGCAAAAACGTCATAAATACTTTAAAACTTACCTGTGGCTATGGTGGTAACCATTTCATCTTTCTGTTCTTCCAGTTGAGGCCTCTCTTTTCTAACAACAATACCAAGCAGCTGTGCCTGAAGACCAACTTCTTTAACGGCAAAATTAACCAACGTGGTTTTTGTCGATACTTCGGGCGGATAGTGCGGGTTGGTAAGTTTGGTGGTCATGAAAAATCGGAAATCGTGATTGTACGAAATCAAATTGTCATCAATGTTGATAAGATCTTCGCCGCCTTGTCGTATAATTTGCTTCGAAACGACTGTTTCCACCGAAGGATCTATCGTTTCCAAAATGTTTTGGATTAATATTGGGCTACCTTCGCGCACTGCTTTAACCACAAATCGAAGGAAATCTGGCATTTCAAAGTCGATAACCTGAAAATATTTGTAAGCAATGAAGGTACACATTTATGTTAAAATTTACTTGTAATTTATTTTTGGCCTCCATGGCCTTAATCCATTTCGTTGCTTGTATTTGTGGATCTATAACCAAAGGCCAACGAGATCCCCTTGTGACGATTATACCGTTTTCTGTGCTAAAGGAATCTTGCGGAAGACCCTGTATGTTCCACTCCCTAATAGACGTAGGGTCGCTCAAAAAGTTTATTATGTTAAAGATTGCTGAATACGGTATTTCAGCTAGGTTAACCTAATAAAAACAATTAGTAAAACATTATGTATTTATTCGCATTATTTTTATTTACCTCGTTGATCCACATAGCCACCATTTCTTCTCTATAGTTGGTCACAAAAGGTCCCAAATAGGAAATAAAAGCAGTCGCAACTAGGCAGTCGCCAGGTAATCTATCATAAAAGCCGTCCAAAAGCTCTACAGTTTCAGTCCATCTCTCCCTTTCTCCCGATAGACATTCAACAAGCATGGCGGCTCTTTCTAGTTTAAGTTTTAACATTTCAGCCTAAAAATTATTATTTAATCATCTTAAACATGTTTAATGAATTTTATACCTGTCTGGTAAGTTCTTCCTTTTGCGCCAATTTTTCTTCATATTCTAGCTGTAGTTTGGCCAATGTGGCATTAATTTCTGCCAATTTAGCTTGTGCCTCAGCTAACAGTCTTTGTTTTTCTCTCAACGACTCTTGCGCTTCATCCAATCTCGCTTGCTTAGGCCCAACAATCCTAAACAAATATATTTTATAAACGATGCACCAAGGTGCAACGTTAAAACTCACTTCCAGACTCTGGCATATTTTTCAATAGCAATCACCCACATGCAGAGAGATTTGGCGGCAAAAGACACAATACCAACTTTATCTGGCACAAACTCTTCGTTCATTGTATAGCCAGCGATCTTTTTTAGGGTTTTTTCGGAGATGTGGTTACGATCAAACTCTTTTAGAGCCTTAAGGAAGTCCAGTTCGCCTAGAAGCTTCTTGGCCGAGTCCCACGATATATCATACTAATAGATAAAAAGTTAGCCTGATTATTACCTGCCAAATCAAGCAATTATACATGTAGGAAAAAAATTTAGAAAGTAATATCAAACACCAAGATTATATTTGAGTCCATTATTTGCAAAACTTGCTATTTGCTGGAATGCATTTTTTTAGGAAATAAAAAAAGGACTAACGTTAGCAATAAAAAAAATATATATTATTGTTGCCTAAGGTTTATAGGAGTGGAAAGTAGAAGTTTGCACCCTAAAGAGTTACATATTTTTAGAAAAAAATTAATGTGTATTGCATACCTATAGCCAGTTTTGAAAATAAATCTTATTTAAAAAAAGTTTAATAACGAAGGCCAGGGATTTATTGAGGAAAAAATAACTGTTTTATTTTTATTAATACAAAATAATGTACGTACGTAGTAAGTACTTATAAACATTAAAAAACAAAAACTCTTGGGAACTTAAACAAAACAGGAGTCATCCTGGCAGTTGGCAGTTTTCTAAACCATCAACGGTTTTTTCTACTGAGGAAGAGGAAGAACATTTCTGCAAGTGTTCTTTGTAAACATCTAGTTCTGGAAGGCTGGTCCAATTTTCTCCATAATGTTACCATATAGTCTTTTTATCCCCTTTCAGTGTTTCCCCAAGTAGTAATTTCCTAGGAGCCATTGAAGAAAGACAAAAGCACGTGGGCAACGAGCGTTTAATTTGATTGGCGGCAGAGCAAAGACCCAGTTTTGCATATAACCGTTATTTTCTAGACACTATTTGAATGCTTTAAAGGCATTTTTGCAAATGTTTTGAAATTTAAATGTTTGCATAAAAAACCAAATTTTTAAGGTTTTGTCGATTAGCGAGTTTTGCAAATAATGGACTCATTTTACCATTCGAGGTTTTTGTATAGATGACATTTCTTTGACTTAACATAAAGTTGGTTAATTAATTTATTTTCTTACCCCTTTAAGTATACAAACAGCCTCCATAACCATTTTAACTTTTTGCGGTGGAGAAGAATACGATTTCATTTCACTAATATCCTTCTTACTCAAGGCGTCCAATGCAGCTATGGCTTCATTTAAGGCAGGCATGGCCTCATCTAAATCAGCCTGAGCTAATTCCGCCATCTTCCTACATTCGACTTCTTCCTCGCCAATTTTGATGCTCTTCTTCGTAACTTCCTTTTGCTGTTCGTCGGCTTCCTTTCTTTGCGCCACTATTATCACCAAATATTCGTCGCATTGCTGCTGAAATTCCGCCACCTTCACTTGAGCTTCTTCTAATTCGACGGACATGGTTTTAACTTTTTCTTTGCACTCGTCAATTTTCGACAGACCGTTGCGGAGTTTGTTGGCTTGGGTTGATGTTTCCAAACGTTTATCTGCCAGCATTCTTTAAAAAATATCGTTATTCAAAGTGCTCATTGATAAAGAGGTTATTTTACCTTTTGTAACCAGCAACCAGCTCCAAATAGTTGGTTGGAGTTACATAGTTGTATCTTTTCATTTCATCTATCATTTTTCTAGAGTAATCGCACACTGACCCATGTATTATGGCAAATACTGAAGCAACTGCTTCTTTTAATCTTTCCTGTGATGTCACCAAGGCAGACTCTCTTCGTTTAAGCTAATCAATAAAAAATAAATGACTGCTACCTAAACATAGTCCCGTCACATTGCCTTGCTGGATCCTGTATTTTGAGGCGTTTTAATTTTATCCAGCAATGTTGGTAAAACAACTCACAATTTCATTAAACGCAAAAATACTACTTACCAATGCTTCCCCCGTGATGGTCTGCACAAAATTAACATCAGAAATGTATTTGTTGGCGACTTCAAGTAAAGCCTCGGTGGGCCATTCGTTGAACCAATCAATCGTCGTGCAATTAACGATTGCCGGATACTGCCTCAGGCGATCCCTAAACTTCTCGCCAATCGGACTCATGCACAAGTTAATGTGCATATTAGCTCGCGCTCTTTCAATAAAAAAGTTGTACATCTGCTCGTTGTTACTTGCAAGTACTCCAGCCTTGGTGGCGGCCTGCTCCAAGTCCCCCTTCACTTCCTCAAACTCCTCAGGTTTGTATAGGTTCGCCACCTCGCCTGTGCTCAGCATGTTGTTGATCACTTCCAAGAAAGACTCGTCGGCTATTTGAGTGTCGTTGAATATGAAAGTGGTGGCCTTGTTTTTGATGGTTGTTAATTTGTATAGGGCTTTAAGGTCGTCTTTGAATTCGGATATTCTATATTGTTTCTTTAAAGATATGTTGAAGGTCTGGTATTCGCAGATGTACGAAGAGATTCTGCTCAAGGAGGTGCGTCCACTACCACCTACAAGAAATATACTAAATATCAAAAAATCTTATATATTAAAAAGTATGACCTTTATAAATTATAATGGGTATTCCAATAGGTACTTCGGAATTTGGTTGGTTAGATTTATTTAGAAACCAAATCTCGAGTACCTATAATATATATTGAGACACCCTTTATAAAGATTCAAATAACAGTGCCTGATCATCAGTTACCCTACATACCAATTCCCACCAACACCGTATGTCCTCTAGGCTGCGATATAACCCTAACAATCCTCGTAATATGATGAACAGCGTCCTTAAAAAGCACGAGGTCCATTCTGACAACACCCGGAGAAGCGTTATACTCTTCCAACTGGTCGGCAAGGTACTTCTTAAGCACGGCAATATCAGGAACGTCTTCATAAATATTGTAGGGATTGATAAAATCCGCAAACACTGGAATTTCGTTGCCAGGACACAAACTGTGCAAAGTTAACTCAAAGTGAGCACCGAGTTGTTCGTTCATGTGTTCGAAGAACCATTCTCTATCCCTACACGGTACAGTTTAGAATCAATTTAGCCCGGTATTATTTGAGTCGTGTAGAATCAAAGCCGGACAAGAACATGAAAAACTCGGTCCCCAAAGATTTTCTTATACAGTTGTACAATGGTAGAAACACTGTTAGGGTTAAGTAGAGTAGCATTGGCTAGACACAGCCCAATAATTTATGTAAATTTATTTACTAAATAAAGACTTTTTATTATTATTATGACTTGTCCGCTATTGAAACTACACCACTTGTTTGTAATATTCTTACTTATCATCTGTAAGTCTGTCGTAAAAGACTCTAAAACTTTCGTGTATCCAAAGTCTCAGAAAAGTAGGTTTGCTACTTTGATAGTCCTTATTGCTCCTCAATAATCCTTGGAAAACTTTAGATATATCCCTGAGATTAAACATGTAATGAATTTTCGTGGGTGTCGGTAACATTTTCGTCGATACATTCTTGTAAAGGTCTATAGTAGTTTCGGTAATTTTCTTCCCAACTACCTTCATTTCTTCGTTAAAATTGTAAACGTGCTGGGAAAGCATTTTACCAAAAATTCTGGCTATGGTCGCATCATCAGGGAATGTCATGTTGATTACGTTGAATCTGCTTAGTAGACGTTCTGTTATAACTTGTCGGCCACCTCCTGGAGGCCCCATGGCTGCCAAAACGTGCATTTGCTATAAAATATAAAAACAATGAACCAAATATTTTGAGCTGTTTCGTACACTGTACTAGTCAAAGCTAAAATAATACTGTGCGTGAAGATTTGTTTGATGTTGTTTCGAAAGACGCTCTAAACGTTGACGACAAAGTTTTCCTTCCAAAGCAGAGAGAAGATTTTTTAAGAAGCATGAGTAGTGCTGACCTTAAAACTACAGCAAGGAAGAATAGAAAGGTACAGTGGGAAGAAAACAAAGAAAACTTCAAAAATAAATATGCAGAAAGGGAGAGTAAAGATACGTCTAGGGATAATTTCACAACAATCTACGTCTTCTTCTGAAAACTCTGAAATAGATCTGAGCTTGGTTTATATGAGATATTGACATGAAGCTCTACTTTGAATTCGAGCTTCTTATAACGAGTCAGCTCTTACAACTAGTTACTGACCAAGGACGAAGGACAGATATTCTTCGCTTAGTGGTTTCATATTATTAAATTTCCTAATATATACGCACTTTTTTGAAATATTTAGAGGTCGCCCTTAATTATTAAGGACAACCTCTAAATATTTCAAAAAAAGTTCGTACTACTCATGGAATAGAATAGAATAAAGATAAAATATTTATTTTTAGACTACATATATTATGATGATGATTTTCAGATTTTAAAGTAAGTTATTTCGATAAAATATTCAAGTAAAATGGGTACTTACCAATATATAAGTTCTAGTTTGCTTCTGCCTATTATACCAAAATCCATACTGCATCCATTGTCTCAGCAACTCCAACGGAGGCTGAGAACCGTAGGTTTCTTTCGCAGGCATATTCATATCATCCAAAAAAGTAATCATGTTCTTGTTACCAGTTGGTATAAAAACACCTTTGGTCCTCTTCTCGACCCTAGCCTCAATGGCGCTCTGTAGATTTTGCGAACTAGTCTGTGCCGACATGTTTATAGATAATATCGTGTGTGTGAACGGATCAAAATCTTGCAGGACTGCGTAGGCAGATGATGTTTTTCCGGTTCCAACATCTCCGGTAATAAGCACCGGATTGCCGTCCCGGAGCAAGGCCGTCATTAGGTATTGATATCTTAGCGTGTCCACTGTGGGAACTTGAATTTTAAAGAAAGGAGCGCTAAAAAATAAGTTTTATTAATGAGGTTTCTGTCCGAAAAATAAGCGGCTTTAGTTTATGAACTTAAAGCTAGGATGCAACCCCGAAATAAAAGACTGTATGACATGCATGGTTAGTAACCATTGGTTAAGGCACAATTATTTATTTCAACGCGAAGGTTCTTTAAAATGACAAAATGCGTTTTGGCGCATATTTATAGTTACTCTGGTTCATATCTCCAATCCCTGGGCAGTCTGTTTTCCCAATGCTGAAGACTTCCGTTAAAATGATCAACGTAATATTCATACACGGTATCTTTGACAGGGAAATACGCTTCCTTTTCTCTAATGTAGTTATCCAATTTTTTGCGCCCATCCTCGTTTGTTGTACAGCAAACAGACCATATTAAACTTCAAATAAAACAATATTAAATACATAATTTTTTTCCCTGGATATCCAGATGCAAATAAGTAAATGGTGCCCAACAAGAACATTTGATTTAAAAAATATTTAAATTAAAATATTAAAAATTCAGAAGCACAGACCACAAGCGTCGAGATTTCACGAATACTAGGATTAGGATTTTTTAATCAGACGTTTACAGGTATCAACCACAAATGTTTGAAGACTTAAAATACAGTGATTTTAAATTCAAAATGTCTGTTGCAATAGGTTAAATGTAAAAAATTATTACCAAAATATAAACCAAGCCTTTGCCACGTCCGGGTATCGTTCTTCATCAGCGGGATTCAAACCATACTGTTTAGTTCCAAAAATATGCAATAGTTTGCACAAAGAAGAAACTACATTTATTTCTGGACAAGCTACAATTTCCTCGCAGTGGAGCCTTTTAAATTCCAAAATATTCGACAAATAGTAATCGAAAAATTCTTGCATCTGGAAGCGAAAAATAGTACATTTATCTAGGTTCAATTCTTACATGAAATGGCAAAATAATGCTTATTAGCAAATATTTTGGAAGCTTCGAAATTGACGTCATACCAACGGTGATTTTTAAAATGGTAGCACAAACTCGTTTTGTTTAAAATTAAAATATTATGGGAGATATTTTAAAAATCTCCAAAATTTTAAAATTGAATAATTAAAAATGTTTTAGTTGTCTAGTAATTATGATAAGTAGGTAACTACTTAAGACTAAATAACATTTGATTACTATTTTTGTAAACATCGGTCCTTTGGGGATTTGACTTTTCAACCAGGATTTAACATAAGGCTGCCATCCATAGTCCTTATAATCATTATACACCATGCCACAACGGCTTACGGTGGCTGGTGAGGCGACAGCCAAATCTTCCACTTCAAACAAAAGCGAAACTTGCTCGGGCATCGTTATTCTGTCGCTGTTTATAAGCGTGAGAAGTTTATTATCGTCCATGACACTGTTCATGTTTTCTATCCATACTGCGTCCACTGGACCATCGAAAAGGATCCATTTTTCCTCGGGAGATTCGTCTGAGAACAGATTATTATTTAAAATGTTCTACATTCCTATCTGGATTTATAAGCGAATAATAGCGAATTGAGAACTAACATTAAATTTTAGGTTTTATAATTTTAAACAAAAATAAACATACCTTGACAAGTTTGCCTCATGATAGCACTAATAACTCCATCCAGCCATTCGTTGGTGCTAAGATTGTATTCCCCATACAGCTCGCCCAGATTTAACGCTTTTGGGTTGATGGGATATTCCGTAACCCTTTGAAATCCAGGTTTTTTTTGCTCCCACAATTTTCTCATCGAGTTTTGTAGACATTTCCACGTCGTGGTTTTGGCAGTTCCAGTCTTTCCGATAATCATGACTGAATGTCTAGAAGACTTTGTCTCGTATAGCTGAACCGTTTTGGTTAGGGCAGCTTGAATGGGCTAAAAATTGTGAATTGTATAGAAAGTTTGTAGGGTTCTTTTTACGAAATAATAATAATATTAAGACAATATTATAGACTTACCTGTAGATTGGTTTCATCCATGTAAGCAATTATAGCATTGTTCATGTCAATATAATCGACCATTGGAATGGAGACTCCAGGAAATATGTCAGACATGATTCCATTAAATAATGGAACATCGTCCGATGTAAGTCTAGCTATATTCATGTCCCTCATCGCTAAATAAACGACTTGGTCTTCCGGCAAATGGCTAAGAAGCCTCCTCTTCCTGCCCGCATATCTTAAGAGTGCCACCATGGACCGTAGACCAAAATCGTAGTGATCTTGTTTACTTAGTTGTTGGATTGCCAATTGGTATAAAGTGAAAACCTAAGAAATTAAACAAACATTATATACAATATTAAATATCTTATAAACTAGAGCTTGGTGCCACCAGAACGAATAAATATATTATTATAAAGTGTTAGTAAAACTTACTTTTTTCGCCAAGAGTTTGGTTCCTTCAAAACCATCGCTAAAAAGAATATTTTCAGCAATGATTCCACTATCTGGCACCATCATGGATATGGGTCTAAACATGGATTTAAGGTTATCAGGGAGTTCTGTTCTTCCAGCATATCCAGGGTTCATGGTGATAAATATTCCAACGGTTAGCTTTAAGTTTATTTCACTTCCTAGAAAAATACATTTCATTAAAAAGGGCGTAATAGAAATCGTGGCATCTACTTGAGTTTCGCTTCTTTTGTAATCGGATACTAGTAAATTTAAAAGTTCAGATGTAGAATTTTTCGTTTACCAAAACAATGGTTTATTTAGTAGACGAAAAACCACCACTCACCCTCAAAAACAAAATACTTCTTCTTGGCCGAAACGGCGGACAAAATGGACAAGATCTGCTGAGCAACGACAGACAGCACCTCGATGTTAATCCTGTTGAATTCGTCAAAACAGCCCCAAGCGCCAGTTTGGGCCAATCCCGAAAAACTCTTGCCCATACTCTTGTAATCGAGACCTTCAGAACAATTGTTCACTATCACCCACATGCCCATCGCTTTGCCTAGATCCTTGACCGTTTCGGTTTTTCCCGTGCCCGCTGGACCTTTCGGACTTCCACCTCGAAAGAGATGAAGGGCCGTGGTTAAGGTGATGTAACATCTGAAACAATCGTTTATTACAAATCTTATTACTTATGCGTCCAAGTCGAGGCTCGAATCCTATATTAATTTTTCTGTATATTTGTATACAGGGTGTCCCAGAACTCGCGCCACAAAGAAATAGGGAACGTGCCGAAAGTTATGCGAAACATACTTAAAAATTAAAATTATCTAACGCCAAGAATAAGCGCCAATACGTGGCTATAGAGAATTCTTTAAATTGCTAGAATACTTAGGATGCATTGTTGATATAATATATAAAATATTTGTTCGACTGGAATCCACTTCATTGTCACTGCTGTCAATTATTCTTCCTGTCAATATTTATCATTTTATATTGTTTTTTCTCCTCTGAGTATGCAAAAATGATTATTTATGGGGGTATAGGCGCAATCAGGGTGGAAGAAGGAGGTGATACATCTCTATCCCGGAAAGCGGCCAAATAACTGAGTATTTGTTAAAATTCTCGCATTGACGTGGAACCTGTTTTAATCCCGGTGCACAACAAACTACAATACTACCCTGCTTAAAATACCCCATAGAGACCTATACAAAATAATCTATCGGGCGCTACCGGATTCAATATGTGCATTTGTCCATGGTTTTTTCCGGATACGGCCCGATAGAAAATGTATAGGAAATTACCTATAGGCACACCATAACTTTTACATTTTCCCTATTGAGACCGATAGCAAATTTGACATAATTTAATTAAAACCTATGGGGTCCTATAGGAAAAAAACTAATTTCTACATTTATGTGTATTTTCCCCATTGAAACCGATAAATAAATCAAGGGTGGATATCCTTATAGAACAACCATAAATCTCAACAATATACAAACCGATACACCCTATATAAACACCATACATCCCGATACAAATATCTATCGGTTTGAACAGGGTCTCTATGGGGTATTTTAAGCAGGGTACAGTATTGCCAATCTTTTTCGTTAAGGAGGGTAGAAGACTCCTTGAGTTTTCGTTATCTTATAATTTGTTGTTAACAGTTAAATTGTTATAGAATATATAGATTTCGTTGGTAAAACCTTAGGTTCTTAGTTGACTCGCCATCTAACGAACACCGGACGAAATACTGACGCTTGCTTCTGTACTGTAGAGATAGAATCTATATCACCTTCTTCGAAATTGAAGGTGCTGCTTAACTTATTAAATCAGCGGAAAATAAAGAAGCCTTTGTCAATACTTGATGCAAATAGTAGGAAGAGCATAAGGAAAGTTGCACGCGAATTTCGCGTTCACAATTCAGCGGATTATGAAGGACGTTCATTTTAGGCGTGTGCAGCTCCTGCAGCCGGAAGATAATCATGCTAGAGTGGAATTCTGTAGTGTTTGCTAGAGATTTTGGCTCTGGGGTACATAACTAGTTGTTTAATTTTTACCTTAAAACATTGGCGTCCTACAGTATGACATTCCTTTTTGAAAGGTTTGTTAACACAGTCGGACAAAAGATTTTTAAAAGTTTTAAGACAACAATGTTCTATCGTCTAGCAATTTTTAAAGCTCCTACGTTTAACCTAGGCCAGAGCTTTCGGTATTGACTGCCTCTTTTTTTTCTCTCATTTGATTACACTTATCTAAAAAAATTTTAATTTTAAATTTGGCATCTCCATTGCAATCAGCACGCCCCCTTTTTCTCTGTGGCGCGAGTTCTGAGAAACCCTGTTATTACAACTTTTTATAAAGTTTTTGGCCTTATTTAAGTCATTAAAATCCATTTTATTATTCTATCATCCCTTGTTTAAATCTAAATTTTTTCTTGGCTTTTAACTTTTAAAAGGATCATGATTCGAATTAAGGTAGGTACTCTACATTTAACTAGCATCTCTTCAGTGTACGGAATCAAATTTAAAACTGGTTTACTTTTTTGCATAAAAATTATTTTTGTCGGATTTGTGTCTACTTGACACTAAAAATTGTGCCACTTCTGCGAATAAAAGCAGCATTGGATGTCAATGATGTTTACTATTTTATTTATAAAATTCACCTATCAGTAAGTGGTGTTATAACCAATCTTCCAGAATTTCCATTGTATTCATAACCATATTTAAACTGCGTGTTGGTTTGTTTAACTATACAATCATCTGTATCTCTATCCCAATAAAATCTTAACTGTGAAAACCATTCAAATGCATTTACATCTCTGACGTCTAAAAAATAAATATTAATAACACAAATCCTAAAATTATTAACAATAAACACTTACTAGCTTTATATAGCCTATCAATTACATCTCTGGAATGTATTTCTATAGTAATTAAAGCATTGGCTTTCAGCCTCTGAATTTTTGTAAGATTTTGCCTACTTAGCTCTGAAAGTTTACTCAAAACTTGCGTTTGCTTTTTGCGCAACTTTTTCAAAGGCTTTTTGCTCTCCATAATGTACGCATGAACTATAGCTCTGGTACAGTCGGTGGTCCATTGTATCTAAATTATATTATTAGTTTTTCACTTTTTGAGAGTTGTATTTTTTTACCAAACTTGAAGCATTGCAAAGTTGTCCGATGTTTGGTAACAACCATTTGTCTCTCTTGTTCAACATTTTCTTTAGCTGACCTCTAATTGGTTTAAATTCTTGTCTAAGGACGTGCCTCATGGAACTTTCAACGTCCAAAAGCCAGTTTTCCACACTACCAACTATAACCACGGCTTTCCCAAACTCCACGTATTCTCCATCGTCCGAATACATACCGACGGCTTCAATTTTGTCTAAAAATTATACTTTATATTAGCTTTCCTGGTAAGTAACAAATCTAGAAATCCGATTTTAACATTTGCACACACTTTTGTGTTGGTGAGAATACAAATGATACAGATTAATCTAGACCGCCGCTCCAAGATGAAATAAAAAATGTTGATAAAAATGTAGTATAGTTAATTTTTGACTTGGCAAGTTTTAAGTAATGTATTTCTTACTTGAACCCAAATTCTTATCAATCTTAAGCTTGTTTAAATTATCAAACAGTTTCTTTAAATGTTGTTGAACCATTTCAGGTTTCTTCGAGTTGCCGAGTATCTCCAACATATCGTCGTTGGAGATAAAATAGAATCTTGGGAATATTGTTCGCTTGGTTTCCAAATATCTTTCCAACTCTCTTTGAATTACATTTAGCTTGTTGCTCATTTGATTAAATTTGTTGTATAAGTATGGAGGTGGTTTAAAATGCGTGGCTTTTACAACCTTTTTCGCGTAAAACATGTAAGCCGTAATCGATCTCCAATCTTCAGTTAAATATCCAAAATCGGCTGATTCTTTAGGGAGTTGTTTACGTATGTCTTCTCCAAAGAATATTGTCTAAAAATAACATTTAAAATATAACAAATAATTTTTTTAGGCTTAAATATACCTCTAGATACAGCCACATCCTTTGCACGGTAAGGCCAATTTCCAAGGTTTCTAAAATATAAGATAACGTTTTTTCCCAGTAATCCACCTCCTTGATGAACGGTTGAACAAATCTTGTGCCTTTCATGGCTGATATTTGCATCATGTTTTCTTCCAGTGCTTGGAAAATATCGTCCACAGTTTTTATCCTCAAAAATATTACAATTTTATTTTTAATATCGTTTAATAATTTTAATTAAACTAAGAGCTATAGTAACCGAGACCTCGCATAAAACCCAAATTTTACAACCCACAATAAACTACTCCCACAGGGGTAATAAACTAAAATGCAGTGTATCTACAGTGAATTAAAAGCCACCTTACGTTCACGGAAGTAATAAAGTGAGAAGTGATTGACATTTTATTTTAGCAATTTATGGGAAGAACAAACGAGAGTAAAGGGCCATCATCGAAATTTGATAAGTACTCTTAACTGACCGCATGACCTAATACGAAAATTTGCAACATTAACCACTTTCAGATACCTACACAACGCTAACAGCGGTTTTTTTCGATTAAACACAACCCTAGTGAAAAAAACAATGTAAGACAAAGAGCAACAGTAATATTAATAATAAGACAATACTAACAAAACAATACAAAAAATGCGATTACAAAATACAAAAAACAATAAAACCAAGCCGTCCCGAATCTTATTGCTGATATTCACGGGATTATAGTTTAGAAAGAGAAATAAATCAATCAACAAGTAAATTACAAAAACCATAGACCGGTTCCGATAAACAAAAGTGTGTAAACTAATCGAGATATAAATAAACATAAAAACCTAGGAACTTATTGACCCTACGTCGAAAATGCAATAATAAAACTAAACAGTCTTTACTAAAATATAACAAAGACGGACAAACCAATGCGTACATGACATCGGGACGCGTGAATACAAAAAGGTACGAATGGTCTGAGTATTGTGATACAGCAAATAAATCAAAGGCGTTCGCGATTCTCACAAGGAAAAGGGCCATAAAAATGACAACTTTTGGACAAGGAGTCAATGATGGTCAAGCCGTAGCCTACGACAAGGAAGATAGGTCCCTACAGCTAACTAAGAACCCAACTTCAATTAGTAACCCCAAATATTTGGAGTAATACTAATTTCCCGGTCTATGGGGATTCCGCGTCGTACATAGATTTGAGTCGGCGTAATTATCCCTTAAACACCAAAATGCCTGTCACCCCGTCTCCAACTCAATTTGTTCCTACTGGGCGTATATCAACGGCCCGGCGAAACCTGAAGAGGATATTCAAACTATTCGCATGTCGCTCTCGAGCCCCCAATAGGGTACAGTACCGGACACGTTGGACATTTGCACCCAGCTATCAGGGTAGCGAGGCTCGATAAAGATGAGCAATGTGGCCAGTTATGACTCTTAATAAGAGTCTCTTATACTCATACTCATAATAATTAATAATGACAAAAAGTTTTGTTTGATTTGGAAGGAATAAGAAGTAAAACACATGACATTTATTAAGTTTAATTATTGTTTTCTACTCTTGTTACCTATAGATTCCCATATCTTTATATGGCACCATTTCCAACAACATCGTTCTCCAAAAATCGCCAATGGCCTTTAAGCCCTTCTCGATTTGAAGCTCCATCGTAGCCGCATTCGAAACGTCGGCAATCTCCTCAGAGTACAAGTGCATTTGCATGGAATAAATAGCTTCCAAATTGAATTCCTTGGATGTTTCGTCAAAATCTATGCCCACTGCCTCTCGAACTTTATCCCAATGACGAGATCTCATCGCCGGGTTTTTCAAGTCGCCAATTAGAGGTAACGTTCTTCTAAAAGCGTCCACGCGTGCTCTTGTATCCTCAACAATGGTCCAACTGCAAGAAATATCACAGAAAATGATTAGAAAAATAAACTTTGTTTTGTTGTTGGAACTAACAATCATAATAAATCAATCAATATGGAAGAAGGGAAACCTTTCTTATAAATCTAAATGGTATTTATTATTACCTAATATGAAGATGTCCTTTAAAATTAAAGATTACTTACTTCTTTTCTTTTAGCTGTCCAGAAAGTTTGGTAAGTTTTCTGTATAACCCTTGTGCAGTTTCTTCCATTTCTTCGGTTTCAATCTCCCAAAATTCTCCAGATTTGTACTTATCCCACGCAGTGTCCCATTCATCGGCCAATTGCCAAACTACTTCCAGTGCCATGAGCTCCTATATTAATAATTTAAAATAATCGAGGATATTTAAGTCAATATAAAAATTACATTTTCAAGCTTTTTCAATTCTTCATTTTCGGGCAAGCTGAGCCCGAAAACGGCCAAATTGGCCCTCAATTCGGCTTCCTTTTCTTTCATTATGCGCAACTGTTCTTTAAGGTCAGCAATGTACCCCAATGCTTGTTTTGGAGTCCATTCCGATGAAAAAGGTCCATGGGCCAAAAAATCTTGCAACATTGCGGCATCTTCCTGGCGAAGCACTTCGGTTTGCTCCAAGAGAATTTTTTTGAAATTATCCTAAACAAATTTAATGATATTATTGGTTGGTAATTTTAATTTAATTAGTAAAGAGTACCTTATAACTTGAGTTTTGTGAGAGGAAAATAATATTAGAATACAGGTTGAAATAAATAACAGTTTGATAGCACTTTAAAAAAAATGTTTTTCCAAACATCTCATGTAGTAAGTAAAAAAAAATAAGGATGGGAAGGAAAGGAAAGAAAAAGTTTATCTCCTCTCTTCCATCTTTTGGCTGAGTACCTTGGAATAATTCAGCATTTTTTCTGCTTGACTCAAAACTTCCAAATACTCAGCCCATACTAAAGAAATTCTGGTTGGACCAGCCCTTATCTCGTCCGATACTGGTATTAAATATTTATCTAAAACATCTATTTTCTCTTTGATTGTAGGGAACATTTCTTCTAAAATTGGTATTTCATTTTTAAGCTTATCGTACAATCTTATTGCGTCTTGCATCTCTTGCAAGTTTGTTGGTTTCTTCATAATCCTAAATACAAATTTATTATTATTTTTAAAACTTATATTTGTTAATAAACTTACTGTTCAGAGTTGGTTGTTACATAGTTATAAATATGTTGTAAGGAGTCATTTGTCATCTGAATTAAAAGCTGAGCATTCCTGTTTTGCCATTCATCGATATGTTCCATTATAGACTTTTTTAAATCATCGCAGTTGATTAAAACCGCATGGACTGCTGCCACTGATTCTTGTATTTGAACGCTATTCGCCACTTCGGTGTATCGTTGCAAATTCGAATCAAATAAAGTAGCCGTAGGGCGTTGTGAAGCGTATCTGGTCATAAATTTATCCTTATCAACTTCCCAAAGGTTTTTGAACGGTTCCCAGAGTTGCAAGTACTCTCGGATGGCGTTGATGTTTTTCATCACCTCTGCAAAATAATAAAATCACCACAGTGTAAGTAGTGGTGCACAAAGCACTCTTCTTACCTTCATTGAGTTTATTTTGTAGCTCGCAACAATCCACATCCATTTCAATTACAGTGGAAAACGATGGTGTGTCAATTAAGGCCACGTGAAACTTATCATTAAGTCTGGGAATATCTTTTAAACCTTGCACCATTGTGTGATGGACATTGGCAATTACATGAGCCACTTTACTTATTGGCGGTTCAAAACTTATCTAAAAAAACGTTGTATCATTTTTTGCGTTAATATTCTTTTTAAATACCTTATTTTCATTTAATGATAGATACAACTTGAGGATTGGCGTAGGACCCAAGTTATCGTCGCCATGGAAAATTTCGTAAATATTCGTCAGGGAATTTTTGCAGCACATTTTTAAAGCTTCTTGGAAAAGAATGTCAAAGTTGTTTATGTATTTTATCCATTGATCAGCCATCTAAAAATATTAAGTAATAATAAATACTTAGTAGGTATATATTGGTATTTTGGTATTGGTACACACTTGTTGAATGTTATATTCGAAACCTTCAAAAACCACAATCAAAAATTGTATTATCTCCTGGAACATTTTCGTTAACAATGCAAGTTGATCAGTCATAAACGTCTTCATAAAATCCACCAACTCTTCAAGTTCGAAGTTATAGTTTGGAGTGATGTTAATGAGGAGAGTATCGCAAATCTTTTCGCAAATTCCAATGATTTTTAAATTGCAACTCTTATAGTCATCCACAAAGTCTTGAAGCTAAAAACAATTTACACAATAATTTGATAAATTATTAATTAACAAAATTAAGTATACTTCTGCGGTATGTTGGGAACATTCAGCAATATACTCGTCAACAACATCAGTGGACCAAGTCAGTTTTGACAAACCTGGGGCTATTTTACGCTCAACATTGTTAATTAAAGGTTTAAACAACAATCTCTCATCGTCTGACAATGAAGAAATAACTTGGTTATAGTTTAAAACAACCGATAAAACACTTTCGTACACAGATTGTATTGTTTCAGCTTTTGAGTACACTGCCTTGACGTGAAAGGGTATCTCGAAATCTAAACCTTCGTTGAAATACTTTGTTTCCTTGAAGATTTTCAGTAATGACCTAAAATAAATATAATGTATTACATTGTATCTACGTAAAATGTTGATATTTTACCTGTCTATGTTACATTCAATTAAGCCGGGCTTGGTATGGCTTCTACACATCAAAGATCTATTAAGTCTTGATGAAATATCTTCCCCAGTGGATGATATCCATTTTCTGTACAGCAGCGTGATTTTTTCCTGCATGGAAAATATCAGTTTGTCGTACTGGCCAAAAATCTCTTTAGAAATACTGCAGGGCATCATCCAGCCTGATGCCAATTCGAATTTCTATATTCAAAAAAATAATCAAATTAGATAGGTATTTTTTCAAGAACGTCTTCGGAGAAACAAAAATTTTCTAGAGAATTTATTCATTTAACATAAAAATCAAGAAAAACCAAACGACAAAAAATATGAGTTGATATCCAGAAAGTCTTCTAAGGAACAAATACCTCGTTGTGTAGAATTTATACATTTAACATAAAAATCAAGATATACAAAAACTTATCTGTCCATATTTTAGTAAAATCCAAAAAAATCTGTCTTTTAGTGGTTTCCATTGGTTAAAGCTACCAATAGGTAAATTCCAATTGAATTCATTTGGGCATTCCCAATGTAAGATTCTAGAAAGGAATCTGCTAATTGGTTATTCCCAATACTTTAAAATATGGAAAAGTCCAATTAGGATTCTACGGTTTTTTAGTGGTTTTGATTGGTTAAAGGTACCCATAGGTAATTTCCAATTGAACTCAATTGGGCATTCCCAGTGTGAGATTCTAAAAAGGAATCTGCTAATTGATTATTCCCAATACTTTAAAATATCGCAAGAGGGCTCTCGTGTAGCTGCGCAAAACCAACGTACGCACTCCTTGTTCGAATGGTTGAGACGCCATCATAAAGAAACAAACAAGTCTTTGGACGCTATTTAATGTCGTTTTTTTTTATTAGTCGGTTTATTTTATAATCCATGAGTTTCTGTGCTAGTGTGTAGTGGTGTGTACTTATACCTTAAAAAATGTTGTAAGGTTTAGGGACGATGGCGTGAGAATGGTGGTTACAGCGGACAAATAAAAAAAATTGACATAAATAATACTGATTTCGACCATGCCTACAAACATCCTTTGCAAGAAAGACAAAAAAATTATTATAACCGAGTAAGTTTAATTATTTTTTATTACTTTTTTGTGTTAGTAAGTAATACATATCTCACTAACACAAAAAAATAATAAAGAAATAAAGTTACTCAGTTATAAAAAAAAATTTGTCACTTCTGTGAAAAATGAATTCTGATTTTTACCCGGTTATTCTTTTGGGATTTTAATTATTTTTAAATGAAAAAACAACTGGTATTTTTAATCAAAATTTAAAAAAATAAATTTGTCCAAATTGGTTTGGCGCTATATATGAATTACCAATTCATTCCAGGTGCATTTCTATTGGATTTAGCCAATAGAGACAGGCATGGATTGGTATATTCCAATTTAAGCCGCTGACTTCATTGGAATTAGAATGAATTGGTGATTCATAGCGCCAAAACACATTTCAAACCAATTCAAACCAATTACTTATTTTTTATTGGATTCTATCGGTCATTTACAATAGAAATGGCCCTCTATAAAAATCATTTCTATGAAAAGATTCGATTTTTTTATCATGAGGGTTCTTTTACTTTTGAAGCAAAAGTATTTTGTAGGGTAGAAGATACTCTGGACACCCTGTTCATTGTTATTGTAATAAAAACCTCTCTTAGCATTATAAAACGTTTCCTCTTCATTTGCACTGTTATCGCTTTTCCTGCATAGTGAGGCAAGAGACTGATGTAAAATATTTTATCCTGTGCAATCTCATCCTTGCAATCCTGGATTTCTTTGTAGAACATTTTGTATATCTATAATATAAAAAATGAAATTAACAACTAAATAAAAACAAATGCAATTTATTACCTGGGTAGTTTTTTGCTCGAACAACATGTGTAAAGTTTTCTTCTTGGAATAGTTAAAAAGACAGGCCAAAAAAAGAATGCCATCTTCTAAATTCGCCACTTCTTCGAAAACCGCGTTCGTTAAATTTTCCACAACGACTTCGATGTCTTTGGTTTTCGTTCTAAATCTTAAAATGTCTTCGTACCATTCCACTGCGTGGACGTTGAGGATTCTATCTCTCATCTTAAATAATATATGATTAAAATGAGCTAAAAGGGTGACCCAAGATGTTACCCTCATAACTTCATTCATAACATCATTGAACATTTTCTCGATCCTTTCGGCCCAAGTATCGAATTCTCTACCTTTAGAACCAAAAAATTGAGGCATAGGAATGTCTTCGGTTTCGTCGTATCGACCAAAAACGATCATTGCGTCACAAATTTCCAACAGATCACGACATCTCTGCATGTAGGAGTCAATGTGATTAAAAATTGGAGCTTTGGAAAGATCCCAGGGTTTGTCCCCAAATTGTCCGTGACTTTCGCTTACCTAAGAAAGTAAATAAATAAAATAATTATACAAAACATTCCATTGGTTCATAATTCTTTTTACCAAGACGTATGCCTTAATGTACTGAGACAAACAATAAATGACCTCCTCCAACATCTTCATGGCCTTCTTGGTTTTCTTTTCGTCAAATATCACAGACAAATCAATGTAGGTCGTGCATTGCAATATAATCTGATTGCTGAGTGATTTGCAAAGCAACGTGATTCGTTCAGTGGTGCAATAATAGGGACTCTGAAGCCAAATAAACCTAATCAAATGAAGAATTTCCACCAGATTGATGGGGATTTGATCGGGGTGCTTGTGTTCCTTCAATTTGTTGACAGGTTTAATTAAAACTGTGAGATAGTCAATGTTCGATTTGGACTCTTCAATGTTGCTTTTGATTTCGTCGACCAAAACCAAAAACTGACGGATGTAGGTAGACTGCAGCATCACCAGAATGCTGCAGATGTTTTTTAGATTGGGATCTTCGAGTTGGTATTGGATGCCCAACAAGTTTTCATCTAAAATGAATGAAATAAAATTGCTAAAGTTTTTGATAGATACAAAAAACGGTTGTCTTCAGTACGACTTGAGACATCATAAGATATAGACGCGCAAACGATCGCTTCTAAAAAGTAAGGAAGTAATAAAAGCCCATCAGTAACAAACATCGTTCACAGTATAGTTAAGTTTCTTAGGTAATCTGAAGTGTATACAGTGCGACATTAGAGTTCAGGGCCACTATAGTGGCCCTGTGGAGGTAAATCAAGGTACCTGTGTCCCGATGTCTTACAGACTCAGAAAAGCGATAATACCGTAGTGCAGTGCAATACAACAACTGAAGAAGGTAAGAAATCAGTTACACTACCTGTGCAGGTGAATTCAATTTACCAGTCTCCCGAAGGAACCAAAGAGAGGGTCAAGTGGACAGTAACAACAAAAGTTAAGTTTAATAGCTTAAATCCGCACCCTGGTTAAAATGTCCGAAAGATTTTTGTATCGGATTGTATGGTGTTTCTATAGGGTGTATTGGTATATACCATATACATATGTAGTTGGGATTTATGGTTGTTCTATAGAAATATCCTTCCTTGATTTATTTGCTATCGGTCTCAATAGGGAAAATACACATAAAGGTAGAAATTAGTTCTTCTCCCATAGGACAAAATTTTGTCAAATGTTTTATGGTTGCTCCATAGGGATATCCCTATATATCCTTCCTTGAGCTATTTGCTATCGGTCTCAATAGGGAAATGTAAAAGTTATGGTGTGCCTATAGGTAATTTCCTATAGGTACATTTTCTATCGGGCCGTATCCGGAAAAAAACATGGACAGAGCATTTTGTCGATAAACTATGGTAAATAATAAATTGCACCAATTAAATTTATATTATATTTATTGGGGGCGCCATGGGGCCGGTACGGCCGAGCAAAAAGTTATTTCGCAAACTTCAATTTAAATTCTGCTTGCGCAGAACTTGTTTATTTAATACCATTATAAACTCATATAAATTTGGTGTGGGTCCCATATCTAATAATTGAGATATCGGTATACCCAAAATCCACCAGCCGTCACTGTTAAGCAAGGCATGATTTAACGTGCATTATCTACTAAGAAAGTAATCTTGCATTTTCTTGAAGAGGTCAAGCGTCCTCAAAGCATCTAAACCAGAAAAACAAAACAGCCAAACAAGAAAAAGAGAATTCCTACAGGAAAACAAACGTAATTATTCGTAATATAAATCGGTACAAAACATACACAAGTTCTAAAACTAAACAAACAGCCGTGATACGCAATAAACGTTAACATAAACAAAAAGTAAAGTGAAGTCACCTAGACTACAAAAATAAACATGTTAACACACTACCATCTGTCTTTACTGAAATAAAGCTAAGGCTTATTCAAAGTGGGACAAAGAATTACAGATAATTTTCGCATATTTCGTTATAAACAAAAAAAAACTATTGATAACTATCGATAGTTACATTGCCGACTACCGAAAACTATCTACTGATGGTTCTCGACCCTAGACTGAAGAAATAGTTTCGAACAATGGGGCAAACAATTGCGGACTGCATTGTCCGAACGTCAGCACAGTAATTTTCAGCAGACATGGACGCAAACGAACATATAGTACTTCAAGACCATCAAAGATAGGTCCAAGCAGCGAACTAATCACCCAAACTCCATTCATAAACCCCAATTGAAGGAGGGTAGTACTAAATCCCTGGTTTAGGTGGATTACGGATTGTACTTAGTTTTGGGTCAGTCCAATGTCCCCTAAAAACCAACATTTTTTCCCTCGTCCCGCACTCCACTAGCCTAAATCGAGCGTATGGCCCGGCCCGGCAACAAAATTCCACGATCTCCCAAGAGATTTACCAGCCGGGGTGAAAATTTGGATCCACCAAACACAGGTAATGCTGAGCAGTTGCGGGATACGTATGAGTACTGAAAAATTGTAAAAATAACTCTGAAAGGTTATTGTAAGGCGATGCCGATGTGGCCAGCCCTTCGTTTTCATACTCATACTATATACTATAACTGATAGCTTTTGCGATTTTAATTTTAATGATTCTTAGCTTGAAACTTGGAAACAGACAAAATTATAAAAAAAGCTTTAGTTTTTATCACCAAAGGACTAAATATAAACATTAAAGTTTATAGAATTCTTACATCTAAGTTTCCAGAAATCGTACTCGTCCAAAATAGTTAACAAATCTTCGCTTGTAGATCTTTCTTGTTCCTGCATACCTATGCGAACTTGTTTCGTCCAGTACACCACTATTGCTTCAAGTCTTTTAAGTAGTTCCTTGTCTTGTGCGGCTTTTTCCAATGAAATGTCCTTTGATCCAACCGGGATATACAAAACAGTCAGGCCTATTTTGCGATAATGAACGTCGGTCATTTTTGACATAAACATGTGGATATTGTGGTAGGCGTAGTTTTTAACACCTAGGATGTTTGTTAAGAAAAATAGATGAAGTATAATTATGTAGAACCATACAACTTTAAATAAAACATAAAAAAATAACAACAATCGGATATCTATATGGTTCGTGATCGCTCACTCAAAAATCACAGTGATCTCCGAGTGATTTCCAAATTTGGTCATATCTTAAGATATGACGTTAAACCATTGAGTTAGGAAAATAAAAGTTCCTAATTAATCAAGGATACTATCTGCCCATCTAGTGTTGCTCATAAAAACGGGAACAAAAACATTTGAAACAATATTTAAAATATTTTTTTGAATGTCATCGTCCAACAAACCAAAATTAATCGTATCAAAAAACGTTTTAACGTCAAACATTTGACCGGGCTCTCTGAAATCATTAATCAAGATTTAAAACCAAAGGAGTCACTCATATCAGTTCCCTGAGGCATACCTTAAAAAATAAAACAAATCAAATATGGGACATCTGGGCATGCCAAGTTCGGCCATAAGAGTGTTTCCTTGAAAAAATATGGTCAACAAGGGGTACTCCTTGTGAATGAGCCATTCTCTGATGGTGTCCTCGCAATAGGGAGTCCAGTCTGTCGGCCTAAGGTCGTACAGGGTAGTGATGGTTTTGATGTTCAAAATTAGTTGCGCCAAGTCCTCTTCTGCATATTCAAAGTGCTCTTCTTCTTCCTCTTCCTGGAGGGTTTGTGCCAGATCCGTGTGGTCTGTAAAGAAAATAACTCTGTTAACAAATTTGCCAATAATATTCCCAGGTATCCTTAATTTAAGGAAAGTGTGATTGACAATTATTAATTATTAATACTAACTTATTATTTGGTATATTATGTGTAGGACAATTGCCCTACTTAAGTCGTAAAGATCTTCAATAGAAAGCAAATAATGTATTTCATTTATTTTAATTTAAATTATTTAATTCGTTAAAAATCAAAAATCTGGAAAATTCGTAAATAAATTATGGAAAATATGGTTTAGTCGTAATTAATTTGTAAGCACTGTCATGGGTTTAACTTTCAAATTTTAAAATCGTGCAAAAAATTAAATTTAATTAAGTAAACCGCTTCTGTTCCCATAATTTTTAAAAAATATTTTTATTCTTAAAACCAACATTTTTTTTTAAATTTCCGAAGGTGACAGTCCTCAATGTTTTGTTAATAAATAAAAAAACATGTTTTTATGCATCTATAAAATTAGATGTAGGTATTACAATTTACAAAAATTATGACCAAAAAATTTTTTGCCGTAAGTAATTTAATTTTATTTGGAAAAGGAATTTTTTACCCTATAATAAATTTATTATTTAAATATAATTTTATGTTGATCAAGTTTTCTGATTTGAACTAATAACTATGACAACAGTTTTTATTTATTTTATAAATTTTAAAATTCTACAAAATTATTTAATCCTCTTAACATCTTCTGGTTTTTTGAAGTTTTTATCTTTACAATTTTATTTTTACACTCTATTTTTGCTCAAGGTAAGTCAGTTTAATTTTTTTTGTTATGTTTATTAATTGGATTAAAAAAAAATATTTAAATATTATTCAGTGAACGGAATTTTAACACCCTTTTTGTTTCTTTGTTGTTTTCTTTTATCCAAAACAGATTAATAAAATAATAAAACTAAAACTTTGTGGGCAAGTTTAATAAATCAAAATTCTGCATTGAATAAAATAAATCAATTGGCTATAATATAAAAAATTTGTACAAAAAATATGACAAATTAATTTGACACTTTAAATTTTTAAAATTTTAGAAATCAAAAAAACTGGATTGGCCACTCACCATCTGCGGATTCGGTTGAAAACAAAGAATCCTTGTCTTCTCCCTTATTTGTTTTAAAATCTGGCTTGGGAGAAGACGCCATTTCAACCAAAAAAAATTATAAGAGCACTTTAAATAAACAAAAAAGAGGACTGATGTGTTTTATTTATTTTCGGCGCTATGATACCTCAATAATGCAATTTTTGAAAAGTTTGATCAATAATCAACAAGTGTTTTAATTCAAACAACCCCGTTCATTATCAATATTGTTATATTGTTACTCATAAACTAGTGTATGTACCGGTCGTATACACTATATACTCTATACACTATATATAGTATATAGAGTAGGTATATAGCGTATACGACCGTTCTCTAGGGCATTAAATTGCTAAAAAGTAAGGTTAAAACCGTTTGACAGATGTAAAATTGTGAAAAAGTAAGGTTAAACCCGACTGAGAGATTGGTCAAAAGTGAGGTAAGTAATATGCAATGTTTATTCTAGTGAGTTGGTAAAATAATAGTATATTTTAAAATATAAATTTATACTAAAGATATTGCAGGCTATTATTCACAAAGATAAGCTTTGCGTCTTGAGACGCCAGACAAGAGACGCAAATCATCTGAGTCTAATGTCGATTGTAATACTATAGTATAGGTATATATCTACTTATGTCCAATTTCTCATAATCAAACATATTAGACGTTGTATTTTTTAAGTTTTACCCATGAATAATCGCGGTTGCCTACGCCACTGGTGTAGTATCGTGTGAACTAGTCTTTTCCGAAAACTTATCGAAAGTGATGCCAACTTAACGATGTGTCACTGAATTGTCATAATTTTAGTAATGGAGACGTGTACAAAATGAATTTACTATAAATTAAATAATATTTAGCAAACTGATATAATTTTAACTAGTATTCTTTAATTAGGTAAGTTGTTAAGGTGAAAATTTATACTATTAATAGGGTATTTAATTAAAAATGGGGTGTTTTATGGGATTTATGTCAATTTAAATACATTTGATAATATATTGATAGGTTTTTAGGTATTTATTATTTGAATAATTAAAATGGAAGAGGAACTTTTAACCGGCGGAAGCAGTAAGGGTGTAATTTCACAGGCGTGGACTAGAGTTTCGCAGGTAAGAGTATTGTATAGAAACACATTTAATCAATTAATATTTACATAGACAACCTGTGACTGGCTAGGATTAAGTATTACTTTCAATCACGTTATTGAAGAAGCGTTCATAAATTACTATGCACCATCAATATATATACTATAATATTGTATAAATAAGGAAAATCGTAAAACTTTTTCTGTTGACTATCAATTTGATTACGCTGAAATCACTCAAAAATTAAAATTCATTAATGGGCATTTACAAAATTTACAAACAAAATTTGTTGTGTTTAATATCAAAATTACATAAAAGCATCAGACAACGAAAAGTCTTTATTATTTACTTTCCCAACTGAAAAATTTCCCTGACAAATTCAAATTTACTTTACCAGCATTAAAATATTTTGTAAGTTTGTGATTAAATATTACATAAGAAGAAACAGACTTCCTCAAAAGTCACTGCAAATTCTATATTTATTGTTTAAAAGTACCACAAAAAGATCTTTCAATCATTTCCGATTTTTCATCAAAAAGACCGCGAATTTGCCGAATAATCCTTACAAGTCTTCCTAAAATAAATGAGAAACTCTACTTTTGATTAGCTGTTAGTTGACATTAGCTGCAGCTGCAGTCGGCAGCTTATACAGCTTTCAAAAATCAAAAATGCCGTCTAGAGAATTTACCGAAAAATGAGGATCCGAATTTACTTTTTATCTAAATAATTTTCGAAAAATGCCGATTTTTGTAATACCACTAAAATTTCGTTCCCATTTATTGGAAATATTGAAACGTAATATTTAAACCTCGGAAAATGCAGACTCCGTGAAGGTTGGGTGGGTGTGACCGCCCTAAAACCCCCCTCTCTACGTCTCTGATTATAATAGAAATTTTGTAACTTCAGTTGAAAATACTTTTAATTAATTTTATGTTTTTTCTTATTTTATTGTTATTAGGTACATTAAAATGTAATATAGATAAGGAAAACCACGGCTGTATGGATAAAATGTATTTAACATAATTGGAGTTGTAAAATTCATATTATTATATGCAGGGTATTATTTAAGTGGAATAAATATTTAAAAGGTTTTACTTTTTATAGAAAAAACTATTGAATTTTTCTTTAATTTCGTGTTACATTTTTTAAAGAAATGTATTAGCAATATTTCTTTAAATTTAAACTTGTAAAATATTTAATAACATTATTAGTAATATTGTAATTATTTCCTGAAGTTTATAAAGTCACCGCAAAATACAAAAAACTAGGAATTCTTTAAAAAGGTTATAATAATTTATTATAATAATCCCTAGCATCCAAAAGTCATTTGTTTTATTTGTTTTTTAAACAAAAGCGTTCTAGGTTCTATTAACCTAATCAATCCAAGATCATTGTCTTAATTCAAAGGAAAAAAATGTTATTTCGAATATGTAACAAAAGTAAAACTTGGTGAAATATTATTCATAAAAATATTTGTCATATAAAATCTAGATACACCAAAGTACATTGGACCGTTGGACGCCTCATCACAAAGCAAGATGGATCGGCTCGGCAGTCTTGCTGCTTATATTTGGTCTGCGCGTGTTCACCAAACAGGTACCGTGCGAGTTTCAACATATAATTTACCCCCCGATTTTTGTGTTTTAGTGGTACCAATCGCTGGTGGACAAGACTGTACCCTGGCAAAAATCACGATGGCTCGCTGCCGTGCTACTGATCCTAGTTTTTCTGGCCCGAGTGCTTTTAGCACAGGTACCTAACCTAACTTATGTTTACTGCTATCTATCTCTTTTTATCTATTTTTTAAGTTTTAATTTTTTGATTTAAAATACTACTACTAATCCATTGATTCAATAGAGTGCAGTGCTTCAAGGTCCAAAAAAATAGGTTGTCTTGAGTAGAGCTCTGTATATTTTTGCTTTTTTTGCATGGGGAGAGTTGGGACAATAAAGCTTTTTTAAGGGGAACGCAACTCAGGGGAAATGTTATCTGGTATCTGGTAAGCAAATGTCACACAATGTCCGAATTGAATTACATATAGAAAGAAAATTATTTTTTAATAATTTTCTCTGCTTATTTTAAAACATCTAAAACACCAAAAAACTTTTTATATATCGGTTTATAAGAAAATTACATTCTTCAAAATAATTTTGATTTAAAAAAAAATTTCATAATCGTTTTTACTACTTTTACAACTTTTTTTTATTATAATTGAGAAAATTATAAATTTCTGTTTGGGTAAAAAATATATATTTTTTTAATTTAAATGGTTTGGGTTGTGAAATGAACAATTTTTTTTCTTTTAAAGAAACGTATTTTTCCATAAACCTTTTATGATATTAAAAAAGTTTTTGGGGCTTTTAAAGTTAAAAATAAACAGGAATCATCATAAATATTTTTTTCTTAGAAATAATTCGGAGACATACTGTATACCCTGTATCACCAAGTATCCTAAGGTATTTTTTTTATTTGAAGAGCTACAAAGTCGTTTAAATTAGTAATAAGTTGCGTAATTGAAAGCCTATTAAAATAAAATTTATAAATTGGAAAAAAAGCCTGCAGATAAATATGTTAAACTTACTTTTTTTGGTTTTGACTGGTTTTCAGTCCTTTTCAAATTATTTGAGAACAGCAGATATTTTTCCAATTTTTAAGTGCCATTTTAATAGATTTTTAATTACACAACTTTTCTGACCTTGCAGCTCTTCAAATGCTCTTCAAATAACAAAAAAAGATACATAAAGGGATGGTGCACCCTGTATATTATGTCCTCCCACAATAAAACACGTCAAAAAATATACAGGCTTTTTACACAGTCTTAATGGATTCAACCTATTCTTTAGGGACCTTGGCTTGACTAATGCTTCATCCAATTAATTTGTTTTACGTGTTTGACTAATTATTGTCTTTCCATTTAAATCAAAAGATAACATCAAATTAGAGATTAATTAAACCATTATGTCATTTATCTAACTAAAATTAAACATACAGTTTGTCCCCGAATCGGATTGCCAAAAAAACTCCTGCGTGTTTAAAAAAAAATAATTTTTTTTAAATTAAATGTACAGGGGTGCTCAGAAATTAAAAAGCATTTTCTTTTTTTCTTAACTTCCATGCACAATTGTTTTATCAGAATTTATTTTTTTATACTCACAATAAAAAAGTTTTTCCTATTGGCAACTTGATTTGGAGACACTATATAATCATTGATTCACTTAACGGTATAATCATACACAAATTTGATGTTAATAACTGTATTAATATTGAATGATTCATAATAAATATATCATTATTCACTCATAAATAAAATGAAATACAGCGTGTCCCAAAAATGACGATCAAACCTTTGTAATAGATAAAACAAGTTAAAAAGATTTAAGTTTAAGTTAAAAATATTGTAACATAAATTTATGTGACCATATTTTTATTTATAATGGAAGATGCATGTATGAATAATACATTTTTTTATTTATACAAGCCCTAACCACATAATGTTCGGACACTTCATAATTTATACAGAAATTTTTTTCGTGAATACTATCTCAAAATTATTAGAAGTTATGAAAAATTCAGCTTATTTTGGCATATACCCCTCGAAGCGATTTTTATTTTTAAAAAGTTTACCTTTTATTTTTAGCTTTTAAAAAAAGGCTAACTTTTTAACTTTTTTTTGTATGAGTAAAAAAAGTTATAAATGGACCCATTAAAAAGAGCATAAAATATTATACAAACCCTGAAAATTTGGTAAAAAATAAATAAGTTATAAAAAAGTATAAGTAATTTAAAAATGCTATTTTTAAAGAGTTTTTGCAATTTTCTTAGGAAACGGGAGATTTTGCAGATATATATATCGCTATAACTTTCTTATTATTTATACAATTTTTACCAAATTTTCAGGGTTTGTATAATATTTTATGTTCTTTTTAATGGGCCCATTTATAACTTTTTTTACTCATGCAAAAAAAAGTTAAAAAGTTAGCCTTTTTTTAAAAGCTAAAAATAAAAGGTAAACTTTTTAAAAATAAAAATCGCTTCGAGGGGTATATGCCAAAATAAGCTGAATTTTTCATAACTTCTAATAATTTTGAGATAGTATTCACGAAAAAAATTTCTGTATAAATTATGAAGTGTCCGAACATTATGTGGTTAGGGCTCGTAGTATACCTAAATATAATTTCTATAAAAGTTATATTATATTTGCCATAATTATACAACATATTATTTACAACTTAAGTTTATACTATATAGAACTAATAAAAGTTTCTGCTCTTTGAAAAAATCTAATAAAGCTGTATTTAAAATAGTAAGGATGGTTTAATATTAAAAACAATATGTTGGTGTTTTTTGTTTATTAACATTAACACATATTAACAAAAAGAAATAATCCTTTTAATTTTTTTGTGGGTTTAGGTACCCTCTATCATTTTTGCCTGGGTGTATGTCTTTTTTGCCTTGCAAAAAGTTCCGTACTTTTGTGATACAAAAGTTGGGGAGTATTTACATTTTATTGTTATTGATGTGTACTTATCACAATTAAACATTAATATTTACGTGTTTCTCTTTTTTAGGGATGGTACATTGTCACATACGCCTTGGGAATATACCACTTAAATTTGTTTATAGCATTTTTAACGCCAAAAATTGATCCTGCCATGGATTTTGATGGTAAGTAAAAAGCACACAAATGTTTTAATTTTAACTAAATTAAGATTTAAAATTCAGTTTAACTGAAATGCTTGGCCACATTTAATGGACAATGTGTAACATTTTTAACCCTTACTTCAATAATTTTATTTTATTATATTTCAAGTAAATAGTACTTAATTAATTAGTGAAACTTTATTCAAATTTCCAATTGTAATTAATATAACAATATCTTTACCTTATAAATAAAAATACTGAACAGCGCGTTTTATAATGGCACTTTATATATACTACGTCCGAAGATTTCGTTGCTTTTCTGTGCGAAGATATCGACTATTTTACATATTCCCAAAATTTAATTATGAAAATTGAAGAAAGTTTCTAGTAGGGTAATAAACAATTTATTTAAATTATTATTAATTATTTTAGCCGAAGATAATGGTCCTGAACTGCCAACCAGGGCGAACGAGGAGTTCAGGCCTTTCATAAGGCGGTTGCCGGAGTTTAAGTTCTGGTATTCAGTGACGAAGAGCACGCTTATAGGTTTAGTGTGCACGTTCTTTGAATGTTTTAACATACCAGTATTCTGGCCTATTTTAGTCATGTATTTCATTACTCTGTTCTGTATCACAATGAAGAGACAAATAAGGGTAAGAATTTTGTTCTTGTAATTCTAATAAACTAACATTTTTCGTTTTTTAGCATATGATTAAATACAGATATTTACCATTTACTCACAGCAAACCAAAATACCAAGGACACGAGGAAACAGCAGCGAAAGTGTCTTCAAAATGACAAGCAATTACATAACTGAATAGTGTTGTAACCAAAAACATTGATACAAAATTAATATGTTAAATCATAGATTGTTTATGTAAGTACTATAATTTAATATATTAATATGGATGCTTTAAATATATTTTCCTAATGTTATAACAAAAAATATATTTTTATTTATTAGTGTATATTCATTATCTTCAAGCATTTTTAGTAATTTTTGTAAAAAGATTTCATGAAAACCAAATATCCTTCAAACAGTTAAATATTTGATTTTTTTATATTGAATGTTATTTTTTACCTGTAAATATAATTTTCGAATACTTATTTTGCTGGAACTTACTCAAAATAAAATTTGTGTATGACGTGTGAAGTTGTAAACATGTTGAATAGGTTTAATAAAATTTTAAAAAATTAGTTTTATTTACTAAAAAACACAATTTATATTCCAGTGTTTATTTTTTATGGTGACAATAATTATTATGGAATACATAAAAATAAATATGTATAAATATTATTATTATTTACAACGTATACATAAAATAATTCTACAAAATGCTTAAGTACAAAATAATTATACAAGATTACAAAAACTTAAAATGTAAAATCTCAAAATATTATTGCTTTTAAATACATAAATCAGTTAGCTATATAAAATATGGTAATTTTAGTTTAACGTTCGTCACGACTTTTGAGGTATTGCTTCAACATATCGTATTTGTAAATCTTTTAAATAATCCCAAAATAGCAAGCACAGTGCACCATGAGGTGCCAATCTCATGTAATTTGCACCGATTCCTTTGTAAAAACCAAAGAAACCCTCACTTTTTCCTATTTTAAAGAAGCAGTCAATCAAACCACTATACAGAACACCTTTTCCTTTGGCATCAACACCTAAAAATATAAATATATTAATATACATATTAAAAAAATTGACTTGAAATAAGAAGTGGGATCCTAATATCAGAAAGCAGTTTCGAGAGAAAACCATCAGTTTAACTATTTGTTACCTTGGTTGTATAGCCTGGTAGACACCAAATCGAATGGCGTCATTAGTACAGTTTGAAACACACCGCCCACAATACTGGAGACTAGAGAAGAGCACATCGGGTTGCCTTTAAATAATTCTGTTTCTTTTAAAGCATCTTTGGTTATCGCAAATGTCGTTAGTTGAGCTGAAGAACCCACGACAGCTCTGGAAAGGGTTCCACTCAAACCTCTCCACAACCCCGTTATCTAAAGAAAAAAATAATCAACAACCGAAATAAAATGCTATTCAAAGTGGCACCTCTAGCCTTTTACAATCTCAAAATCTACAATTTAGAATGTTAAAACCTTATTTTAGAAGATTAAACATGTTATTAAGAATTTTAAGACCTAAAAGTCTCAATTGTTACATAAGAGCGTATCTCAATTTTAATAATGCTCTGTATAATTGTTATTTTTATTTGAAAATTCTTACACAATTAACCAAAGTTCATTAAATTAACTTTAAGTTTGTCTGATATCGGTTTATTTGTATAAAAAGTGACCGCCCTTGTGGAAATTTTTTCTCTGAGAAAGTCTTACTTTCTCTGAAAAAGTCTGAATAATACTTATTAAGTCGGAAAAAGTCAGAATAAGACTTATTAAGTCGGAAAAAGTCTGAATAAGTCTTATTAAGTCAGACTAATAGCAAGATTTGGGAGTCTTCTGGAAGAGTTAATAAGACTTTTTAAGACTTAATAAGACTTTTAGTAGAGAAATGGTAGGTTCCTATGGCGATAAAAATAAATATCCGAAATAATTCATAGAGATTGTAAGTATTTGGTTATCGTAAAATAAAACACATAGACAAGTATTTATTAACATTTTTGCTGTTGTTATAAGCCAAGTTTATTGCATAATTACCTATATACTAACATAGGTAAGATGTAATAATTATAACAATTATAATTTTATACATACGATGCGCTTAACATGCTTTCATTGTTTCCAACATAGAAAAAGGAGTTAATATCAAGTCTATAGACATGATATTTTCGATAGACTTATAAGACAAATATGGTTGATCTTCGTGTTTCATTCATCTTTGTATCATGGTTGATCTTCGTGTTTACGTACAGTGTTGCCATAAAAGTTCCTGACCATAAATTACAAAATACTAAAATAATAATAAAAATGTAACAAGATAGAATAAAATAATTGTGCATATTTAGTAAATATACAATATTATTTACTGAAAATTTCTTTTGTTATTATTTTGATAGAAATTTGCAAATCACCCGCAAATATTATGAAAATACCCGATTTTCGAGTAAAATACTTGCAAACGGCAACACTGTGTCCCACTGACAGGTCAGCTGTGCTCTAATTGGTCAGCTAGCTAAGCTGGTCTCTCGATATTACGTCTTACGTCTATTGTTTGTGACAATGTTTAGATAGGTAAATATTTGCGTGTATCAAAAGAAACTATTAAAATAAAACGTACAGTGGCAAACCCTTTTTCTATTGTGGAAGCATGCATGTCAAGCGCATCGTATGTATAAAATTATAATTGTTATACCTAATTATTACATCTTACCTATGTTATTATATAGGTAATTATGCAATAAACTTGGCTTATAACAACAGCAAAAATGTTAATAAATACTTTTCTATGTGTTTTATTTTACGATAACCAAATACAACCTCTATGAATTATTTCGGATATTTATTTTTATCTCCGTAGGTACCTACCATTTCTCTACTAAAAGTCTTATTAAGTCTTAAAAAGTCTTATTAACTCTTCCAGAAGACTCCCAAATCTTGCTATTAGTCTGACTTAATAAGACTTATTCAGACTTTTTCCGACTTAATAAGTCTTATTCTGACTTTTTCCGACTTAATAAGTATTATTCAGACTTTTTCAGAGAAAGTAAGACTTTCTCAGAGAAAAAATTTCCACAAGGGCGAAAGCTTTATTTTACAATTATTGTTACTATAACTGACTAAAAAAAAATTGGTCGAGACATTATGGTCAAATATAACCAAATTATCAAAATTTTTGTAATAAAAAATGATTATTTTCGTGTCGATTTCACGAATTCTGACCCAAATGTAAAAGAAAACCCGAATAAAATATTTATCTACTTCTATTGCAATATTGTTTTTCTACTCCTATTGCATATTATTGACATTATTTGTTTTTTTTTTCGTTAATAATGGTAACCAATATAACAGCCCTGCCTAACAACGTAAATATTGAACTCATTATTTACGTTGTTAGGTATCAGTGATTGGCCGATTTCAATATTCACTGTGATTTGAACCAATCGGGTTTTTAAAGTGGGAGAAGGCGACTATAAAAACATTTAAAATTGGCAAAAAGTGAGGTTAACCATTTGATATTTATTTATCTACTTATTGGAGTAGATAAAGTTAGTATTACACTAGAGATTATGCACATTATTCACTCGTGAATAATTGCCTGCATTATCTCTTGTATAATAATATACCATTATAAACATTGTTTCTGTGTTATTAAGATCAGCATTAAATTATAAACAGAGTTGCAAACAATGCATTATTTTTTGAATGCATTAAGGTTTTAAGGGGCCGTTCATTAATTACGTGAGACAATTTTGGCGATTTTTCGACCCCCCCCCCTCCCCTTGGTGAGATGTCGTGAGATTTTGCTCGACTCCCTCTCCCCCCCCCTTAATCTCACGTGAGATTTTTTAAAATGCATGGTTTTAATGTAAATAAGTTAATCTGTGCTTGATTCCATTAGATTTATTTAAAAAAACAATTTGCTTATAATTGTTTACTTAATTTAAGCCAGTTTTCTCGCAATTTTACACTCTTTCTTTCGGAAAAAAAATTACGTGATATTTGCCGAGAACCCCCCTCCCCCCACGTGAGATTGGGTGAGGTTTGGCTCGACCCCCTCCCCCCCCCCCTAAACACCTCACGTAATTAATGAACGACCCCTAATACGCATCATTAAAATAATGAGTAATGAGTTTAATTTTCATTATGCAGTACTTCTTTTTTAATGAAAATTAAATTAATTTTCATTACATTTTTTCCAATGAGTAATGTATTTTTTTACATTATTCATTTTAATATTCTTAATAAGAAATGAATGAGTATCGAATTACTCATTTTTAGTGGGCAAGGAAGATATTTTTATTGCATGACACATTTTTCAATTTTTGCACGGTTTGCAATAGATAGACGTGTAATTGATCTTTTACAAAAAGCATGGACTTTGTTAGCAGAAATAATTTATTATTTAAAAGTAATCAATTTCAATAGAAAAAATTGTTTATTTTTTATTTTAATAGTCACCTTTATTGAAGAAAAAGATAACATTTTATGAAAATTACTAATCTTATCAGTAAAAATTATTTATAAAAACCAAGAACATACTTGGTTTAATTATATTGTTTCAAGAAAATGTTTACGAAGACCGTAATTATAGAGAATAAAAAAATATTTTCATAAAGAAGTCAACCATTTTTTTTAAGTCAAGATCTTAATGATTTTAATGAGTTATGTATTGTTCGACATTACTCATTAATTTTTTAATCTGTAATGTAATGTACAAAAATGACGATTGCATTATTTTTTACATTAACATTTTTGCAACTCTGATTATAAATAACATATTTTTGTATTTGAAAAAGGACAACTTTGTGATATGTTAAAGAAATATTAGAAATATTCCCTAACACCAAAACAAAACACAAAGTGCTTAAAGTACTTTTCGCCAACGATGTTCAGATGCGAACTTACAGTTAAAGTACTAACAGTTACACTTCGCTTCTGAAGATGCCAACATCGTTGGCGAAAAGTACTTTAAGCACTTTGTGTTTTGTTTTGGTGTTGGGGAATATTTCTAATATTTGTTTAACATATTTTTTGTCTAGTAGTTTTTATTAAGGTACCTACTAGATTTTAATTCTAATTATTCATAAATTCGTCAAACATTTTGACATGAAAATTTAGTTTTATTAATAAACAATAAATAAAATTGTGTATTAGTACAAGAAGACTAAATAAATATTTTGTCATCTTGTATTGATATACGAATTTTTAATCAAACACCTTTCAAAAACTCTAAGCCAACTGGACTTAAGAAAATATCTACTCACTCCGTATTTATTATAAATAAGCATAAAAGCTTCGACAGGGCCGCTGTGCCCGTGCTGATGGCCGACGGCAATGGTTGCAGCGGCTTGCGACTGCAGCTGAGTTTTGATCAAGAAGAGTGGGCTTCCGAAAAAGGCTCCAGCTGCTCCGGCCATTGCGCTAGCCACGGCCGACTTGTAGAGTATCGTTTTTCCTTGGCTGTCGGTCAAGTACCCGTTACGATTCAGCCATTGGTAAGTTCCTAATCTAAAAGTTTAAATATATCTTTAGATAGATCTAGAGTTGGCCGTCACTTATATAAATGACCGATAAGTGACCGATATGTGACCATAAGTGACCGACCAATTTTTAAAAGTGACCGATTTTAAATTTCGCGGGTAAATCGCAAAATAATTTAACTTGTATCTGCTTGTATACTAACCTTAAAACGTTAGTAAATAATCTGAATTTGTTTATCGGGATAATTTAATAAACTTTATTGTTAATTTAAAAAAAAGGGTAAGCAATAGTTTGGAATTCCAATAATTAATTATTTAATTAATTATTTCGATAAAATCATTTCGGCTCTTGACGCTTGAAGTGTAAGCATATGCTCATCGATCTCTCTTAAGCAGCGTATACGATACAAATGTAGTAACGTGATAACTGGTTAACGCCGTAAAATAATAAAAAATCAATCGATTCTAAACGTGATAACTGTCCCAAGTGCAAAAAAAGTGCAAATTGTGTGTGGTACCTCCCCCATTGATTAAATCCTCAAGTGTTGGACCTGGTTAAAAGGTGTGAGAGAGACGACACTTCCACGAAATTTACTGGACTACCAAACGTGCGAGCGGCATGCGAAATGGTTCAATTCCAGCACCTAATGGTCAAGCTAAGTTATTTTTTCCAATTGCATGTCTTACCGTATTCGCTAAATGTTTATAAAAGCATTTCACAATGTTTATGTAAGCATTTCACAATGTTGCAAAAAGAAAATACTAAGAATTCTTTTATTGTCTCAAAAACTAAATGAAAAAAGAATAAGAACATTTCCTTAAGTTTAAACAAACAACCTCATTTTCTCATAACAGACAAATCATAAACAACCATCGAAAAAGGCGTAAGATAAATAAATAAATAAACTAAATATGCAAGAAGACAAAATAACATAAACACGTTGAGTGTGAATAGCAGTATTGCCAGATGTAAAAGTTGAAATTAACGAATTGGGTAAATAAAATATCGAATTTTCGGAATTAAGATACAATAATTGTAATAATTATGTAACCATTATTATTATAATTTAATCATAAAAAAAAAAGTAAAAGAGAAAGAAGCGAACTTTTAGAAAATTATAAAAATTGTAAAAGTATAAAAAATACCCCCACTGGGAACTGCCTTATCGCAGCGATTGCGGCCTTACGCTCGGCACGAGTGATGGGCTCCTCCGCGGGGGGGTGCAGCCTCCCGTGGCCTATACGGGGGATGGTCTACACGGCGGTAGTCGTAGCACGATTGCCGTTGTGTGGATTGTCTTCCGGGGGGGCCGCGGGGGGTTGTATTTCTTTGCGGGGGAGTTTATCATGTGTGCCGATTATCGTACCAATGGGAAAAACCATTACCAAAAGGGTAAGAGTAGCCCAATTAAACACTGGGTCCACGTCACTCGTAGACAACGCAACAACATACTACAAGCCACCCTTAAACTAGATCTTAAAGACAAAAAAAATCGGTAGACCATGCTTCACATTTCATGACACGTAGCACAATACATGCACTTCTCACAAAGTAACAAGACCAGTTGGGAGCAACTAAACAACAATAAAAATAAAAAAAAAAAAAAAAAACAACCGACACACTTTACCAAGTTCAGGAACTATCCGACACGGATAATGACAAAAGAACAAGACGAAGACCTCGACTAGGAAACTACACCCCTGCAGCGTAATAACAACTCCCCAACTCCAAATAGTAATCCCAAATGTTTGGAGTAATACTAACCGACTGGTCTAGGGGGATTCCGCGTCGTACTTAGTTTTAAGTCGGCGTAATTGTCCCCCAAAAACCAACTCCCTCCCGTCCCTCATCCATACCTCACTGAGCGTATAGCATAGGCCCGGCGAACCCGGGAACTGCTATTATAACTATTCGCCTCTCGCTCTCGAGCCCCAAATAGGGGACAGTACAGAACGCAATGGACATTCGCACCCAGCAAACACGGGTGAAGCCGTGCAGTTGCTGGGGAAGAACAAAAATCGGCGTAAGTAAACATAGGCCTGTACGGGGTTTAAGAGTCAAGAGGAAATGGGGCTGGTTATACGTCTCTTATACTCATACTCAATTAATTATTTCGATAAAATGGTAAAAAAGTGGACAAATGTGTTTTGTAAAGTTGAATATATAAGCCTTGCAACCAGAATGAATAAACATTTAAAAATCTGTAAAAAAATGTCCAGATAACATTAAAAAACTGATTCATTTGAAATTAAAAAACTTGATGATAACCTGGATGCCAACACAATTTTTGTTGATGGACAAAAATTTTTTATAACACAAATTTTGCCATAAAATAATTAACTTTCATATTTTATTCTTTAATGTTTTATTTAAAAATGTTTAATGTTTTTTAAAGTTTTATTTAAGTATAGCAAATGTGATCTCAAAAAAAATTATTTATAAATAAGGTAAATAGTAAATTTACAAATTATTTTAATTTTAATGCTTCCTATTTTAAAATACCTAAATTTTTAGTACAAACTATTGATGGGATATTCAAATAATGAATAAAAACTGCATAAGAATACGAAAATCTATTGTTTAAATTCAAAAAGTTAAATAATTTAATTGCTGAGGCAATTAAATTTAATTTATAAATCTCCAACCATGCTCAAATATAAGATTTTTTTGCCAGGCATAGGTACACAAAACTATAAAAAATATTAAGATTGTTAGTTTAAAATTTTTAAATAATAATGAGCTTTGAGGCATACTCCAAAGTATTTTTGGTATATGAATAGGAATTAAATGCATTCAACACCCACAAGAATTGATTGCTTTTAAAATTTGTATTTGAAAAGTACCTACAAACTATAATTTTAGTTTAAAATTTAAAGAATCATATTTTTATTAATAACTTAACCAATTTAATAAAAAAAAATACAAGTATTTGGTATCAATGAAAAGCTCTCAACACAAGCTATTGTTTAAAGTAATGTTGTTACGTTTTTATAAGTGGGTCACATTCGCAATGTGACCGGTCACAAAAACAATGTGACCGGTCATTTGCCAACTCTATCTAGATCTATCCAGTGGCGGATCTAGGAGGGGCAAGCCGGGGCCCATGCCCCGGGCGGCAAGTTCAGAGGGCGGCCAAATTCACACTTTACAGACGAATGACGAATGGACAACTCATTATTTACTTAACTTTGACCACAGAATAAATAATAGTACAAGTACAGAAATTTCACTCTTGTTTTACTGTGGCCATATCAACTCGACCGATACCCAGGGGTACAGCACACGGACCACGTGACCGGGCGCGGCGAGAGCGCGGAGTAATACGCGCTTCACGAACATTTTTATTCGCGAGGCGCGTAGGCATATTTCAAAATACGCGCCCGCTCGCCCGCAGGAATCCCAGATCGCGGCAGCACGCGTCTGGTTACCGTGCGTGCTTTATTAAAGCATATATTTATTAGGTTCACTATCATCTATTTCATTCCAAACTGTGGGCTATATTAAAAGCGCTGTTATGCGCAAGCGTCACTAAACAGCAGCGTTTAATTTATTAAAAATTTTACATGTATGTTTTTACACATAAAATATTGATATTTTCTATAAAATAACTTTGTAATTTAATAATTATAAGTACATACAAATTAAATTTTAACTTTCTAAATTCTTCAAGTAATATTTTTTTTTAATTATGATAAAAATCTCATATATTTTAAACTTAATGAAAATCTGACCACAACAGCTGATTATTATTATTATTATTATATAATTATATTTATTTTTACCTTGATAAAGGTAAAAATAAATATAAGTGGGCGGGGGCGGCATTTTTCAGTTTTTGACCCGCCTAAAAAAAATTGAAGATCCGGGGCTCATACTCGAGTATAGTAAAATTGGGTTTTTTATTCATTGCTACCAAAGAAAGATCTGTCTATAAAACAAGTCTTCTGATAATAAATATGTATGCATAATAATAAAAATATATATCTTACCTAATACTGTTTCTAATACCATGCATCACTAAAGCAGCGGAAAGTCCTTTCTGTAGCCCTCTAATTCCTTCATTTTTGGCCACCACATATCCGGCATGAAACACGTTTTTGTAGAAAACTGCATGATGCCCCCGAGCTCTAAGTTCTCCTTGCAGCTGCAGTCTGGTTTTTAAAACGTCGAAGGGGTTGCTGAATAAAGCAGCGCCCGAAGCTGCCAAGCCTCCTATGGCGAAGTCCATTTTTTTTTAAATTTAGGTGAGTTGGGTTTTTGTACTTTGGGTTACTGGGATATTATTTTAATTTTCATTATAATGAGAACTAAAAAAAATCGCCTATTTTAATTTGGATTGTTGTTTTTATTTTAATGAGGACTAAATAATGGGTTGTTTATATTATGGATATGTTTTATCATTATGACGTTTTAACAGGAATTAGTTAATAATTAATTTCAAAACTATTATTTTACTGGACACCTGCTGAAATTAGGTAACAAGCTTGTTTAAAATCATTAAAGAATAACTTAGCATTTATAATGGCCTATTTTAATATTTTTAAATAATTTAATTAATTAATTTGATTTAATCAAAATAAAAAAACTGATTTTAACATGGTTGACAGGACAATCCACACAAGGTCTGTTCTATCTCGTTTCGCGCATCAAGAAGTTAGGCAACCCACTGCACACTGCATTCTAACAACGGCCATTTTTATGTTAACAATTCTTGTGCTTCGAAAAAAAACTGACTGTTAGAGAAAATAATCAGTCATTTAAAACAAAAAAGTTTTTTTTTGGTCAATTCTGAATTTTTAATTTAATTAAATGGTACAAATTACACAGTGCAATAGCAAAAAAATGATGGCGTTTCTCCTATCCAAAGAATGCTTTTTTTTCGTTTACAGAATGTTTAGATTGATTCAGTTTTTTTTTAAATATCGATTTTAAGTTTTATTAATTTTGGAACCCGAAAAACCGTTATTTATTAATTTAAACCAAAACAAAAAAATTATGGGGTTCTGAAAGTGGTTTTCATTTCTTCTATCCAAAGAATGCCTTTTTGTTTTTACAGAATGTTTAGATTGATTCAGCTTTTTTTTTAATATCGATTTTATGTTTTATTAATTTTGGAACCTGAAAACCCGTTATTTATTAATTTAAACCAATTAACTGGTAGGAAATTGTTATCATAACAATAAATTAAAAAGAAATAATAAAAAATCAGCTGTCCACCGAATCAGAAGAGCATCAAACAATAATGGAAATGGAAAATGGTTATAGAGGAAAGAGGTTTGATTCGATGTTGGCAGATTTTTGTTGGTCTATGGCAATTGAAATTTTGGCATAAAATTATAAATAAAATTTGTTATATCTTTTATGTTGATTAATTCTATTTGTTAAAAAGAATATGTTTTTAATAATTAATATAATAATAATAATAATTACCATAATAATTATTATGGTAGAAGCGAAAGAACTAAGAAATTGCACTACAACATGTTAAATCCAGAAAAAGGTTTTTTTTAAAAATTGCATTTTATTGTTCTCAATATTTTTTTATTTAATTATTATTTTCTTTATTTGATTGTTATTACTTTATAAAACAATATACAAAACCAATAATTATCTTTTATGTACTAATTATTTCTTATTTTACGATATTTAGGGATCCAGAATTACTAAAACTTTAAATTGAGAAAAAAAACAGAATCAATCTAAACATTCTGTAAACGCTATAATTCATGATTTTGATTGTAGAAACCGAAAATACTTTCTGAACCCCATCATCTTTATTTTTTCCCGAAAATGTTGCACAGTGTAATTAAATACCTAAACTAATTGGAAAGAATTGGAAGAAGAATTTAGGTTAGGTATCTGTTACTTTTAGTAGAATTGAGGTTAGGGATCTGTTACTTTCAGTAGAATTAAGAATAATTTTAGAAGAGTTAAAATTATAAGTTGTTCCAAATTACATACCGATTGATATATATGTGATATCCCAGAATTAGTTTTCTCTATATCACCCTGGATTGTCTGGTTTTAGTTTAAAAAAATTGTAGACCCGTGTAATTGTAATTTAGAAAAATATTAAATCGAGGAAATCACTTTTGCAAAAATGGCGGATAATGACCATGTTGGTGTTATATGTGGACATTAAGCGTTAATACCAAAGAATTGGCAAATTTTTTAACCACATTGGAAAGTCTTATTTTTAATGCTTTATATTTTCCTGTTTAAACACAAATAAGCAAATATTTTCTTCGCAAGTATATTAAAACTGGTGTATTGTTGCAAACAAAGTTGGCAACGCATTTGATATAAAATAAACAAAAGTCTTGAAAATGAAACAGCAACTTTTGGAAATTTTGTTACAAAATGGAAAATTAAACCCTTTTATTTTAATTTAATTTAAATAAATTAATTATTAGTAAATGTCCGTGTTTTATATGCCATATAATATATTATTATGTAGGTATTCCTTACTAAAAATACAATTTAAGTAGGTTATAAGAAAATCGATTGAAAACACACCTATTTTTAACTAAATTCTAATATATTTTAAAACATTTTTTATAAAATTTATTAATAAACATGTTTTATGCGTATTAAACATGATTTTTTTGAAATTAATTTGCCGACTTTAATATTTTTAAGTAAGGACTAAGTGATGCCAAATAATTAGTAATTGATTTAAGTATTAGTTTAACTAATTTATTAATAATAATTATTGTTAATTTATTACAGTTTTAAAGAACAATTTCAACTTACCTAAAATATCACTTTGTTTTCATGCTATTTTTACACTGGCAAAATATTTTAGGTTAAGTTTCGACGAAATTTGTCATTACGTAAATTTACTCACGTGTATATTTTTAGCGTTTGAATTGAACTTTATCTCTTTACACGTTTTCAGCGAACTGCTCATTTGTGATAACAATATCTTAATTTATATGTAATTAAACTTAAACATTGCGCAAACTTTTTTTTTCCATAGTAGGTATCTTTATTAATTAAGGGGATAAATTGTTAAATAAGATTACCTACCACCTGGTTAAATAAATATGCTTTTTGCAATATTTGAATTTTCTTTATAATTAATTACTAAATCCCTTAATATACCTAATGTTTTCATTAAATATTTGTTTTATTACTTCTGCTTATTCTGTTAAAATTGTTATCCTAAGATAATAATTATTATTTTTTATTATATTAGGTAAATTATTTTATATTATATTTCTACTAAAATTGATACTAAATAAATTAATGAAGGTTTTAGATAAATAGAAAAACCACTGGAATATTTTTGTCTGAAATTAACGCGAAGTTTTTATTTTAGCTTGCACAACCAAAACAATTAATTTAGCTTTTAGAAAATAGATGGTGCCGTGATATTTAGATCACATACCTAATTCAAGACTGTTGTGATTTGTTTTAGGTAAAAATAAAACTATCAATTTAAGTAATCCAAGGTATATTATAAAGAATTACCTAAAATAATTTAAATTTTCGGTAGAGGGAAAATATTTTAAAAAGTGTAAAAAATAAACAAAAGAAAAAAAATTAAAGGTAAATAATTAATTAAGAAATTTGACAATAAAAAAATGTAATAAAATATTGTTCGTTTATTTTATTAAAGCAATATAAAAAATTATAATTTTCTTTTTATATTAGTAAAACCCTTAAAAGAAACAGCAAAATAGATAGTGATCCCGGTGCATTCGCCATTTTTGTAAATGGATATTAGATGCTGCATTAGGGAAACAGTTTTGTAAGTATATACCTACAGGGTATTCAGAACTGTGTAACTTTTTTACATTCAAGTTATTTTAAATATAAACAAAATATTTGTTTTTTCAAGTACTACAAACCAGTTAATTTTTGTATTCAAAGTAAACTAACCAAATTCTAAGCATTTACCATTTTTCTGGATATAATTTGTCTTTTATACTACTTCACTAAAAATTTTTAGGCCATAGAGTTGCATCCTTTTTTTAATGAGTCTTCAAATATTGCGATTCGTTAAATATAAAAACAAAGCACGATTCAATACAGTTCTGATAAAACTTTAAGATTTATTATTCAAACGGGGAGTCATCCTATACACTTCTATATTTTTCCGTCTGCTGTGTAACAAAAAAGATTATTAGGTAATAATTAAGCGGTTATTGAAGAAGTTAATTGAATTAATAGCTAAGCTATCAGGGTTCAAATGTATTACATTGCTTTAAAATCAATAATCTTAAATAATATCTACATTGCATTATTATTATAAATTATAAATCTACGAAAAGATGTCTCGTAGAAGTTTTTTTTATTATTATTAAAACAGATTTCTTAATACTTATATTAAATAAATTGTATTGCTATAGCATAGTGTTATAGGTACCTAATAAGATTGATTTATACAAAATACTCCAATTTTCGGTCTTTTATGGTTGAAATATAAGGATGAAAAAGTATGCAGGGTTTCGAGTAGTAAAGTTTCGAGTAGATTGTCTATCTGACAGATGTCAGTATTATACGAAGGATGACTATAATGATTTATGATGATTTTTAATTCAACTTAATATAAAACTACCACTTTTTCTCACTCATAGAAAAATCTTGTATTATTGTGTGACATGGGGGAGGGGTAATTAAAATTTAAAATATCATCTGTCAGCAATTTTTGTGCGGTAAACTTCATTTTCTAATTAAGTATCTCCCATATGGTCTATAATATCTTTATTTACATACTGTCTTATTATAAAATACTACATTGTGTGTAAATATATACATTTTATCACATTTGATTACATTACAAAAAAAAAAATATCACATTTGGTTTATCACATATACATAATACTTGGGTAGTTGGTCTAGGATACCTGGCTTTCACCCAGGAGGCTCGGGTTCGATTCCCGGTATGGGAATAACTCTTTTGAAATTCTTTAAATTATACGTATTTATTTTATTAAGCTCGTTACGCATTTAAATGTAAGTAATTATTATAATCTCTTTCAAGCATCTCCTAGTCTAGTAATTTCTTTATTTACATACTGTCTTATTATAAAATACTACATTGTGTGTAAATATATACATTTTATCACATTTGATTACGTTACAAAAAAATATTACATTTGGTTTATCACATATACAGAATACTTGAGTAGTTTGTAGGGTAGTGCCTTATTTCTGCAGCCTCCTCACCAGGAGTAGCTGCACTTATTTATTAGTCCTTTGCAGTCCAGATCACATAGACCCACCCTGATAGCACAGTTTATTCTAAGAATGTTTTTTAAACCTTCCAGTGAGAATATTCTTAGGATCATGCTATATTACTTCTAGTCATGTTCTAAGAATGTTTTTTAAACCTTCCAGTGAGAATATTCTTAGGATCATTCTATATTTCTTCTAAAGAACATGCTTAAAAGAAATATAGCATAATCCTAAGAATATTATCACTGGCCTCTAGGCAGGTTCTTAGAAGGTGCAAAGTTTTGTGGTAAAAATTAATCCACTCTAAACATACCTATGCTTAGAATGTTGAGAAAGTAATTAGTATTAAATACTAAGTAAAAAACAACCCAAAATATTTTTTATAGATATTTATCAAATTAAAACAATATTAGATAACAAAAATACTTTTACTATAGGTATTTTATTTTATGTTAAAAATAAATATTTATTAATTTGTATACCGATTTTGTATTTCTGAATTAACATTTTTATGTATAATAATCCTACTATCTTCAACTTCAATCTAATCTGACTTATCCCACAAAATTTTCCAATTTTACTTTTTATGAAATAATGTCATACAACTTATGGTTCAGAGGTCAAATTGTTTATTTAATATTTTTAAATAAATATATATTAAATGTCGAAATTTTTTTTTTGGGGACGAAAAATACATTTCACTTTCATATTATGACAGTGAGGCGTATTTGTCGCCTCCTGAATAATTTTACGAATGTAGAATCCAACATATTAGAACGTGGGTATCTGACATATTTGGAAATATTCTCAAAAGCTTCCTAGAAGCTCCATAAGAAACCTTCTGAGAACGTTCCAAAAACGTATTCTTAAAATGTTCTTAGATTGCTTTTTAGGAAGGTTTTAAGAAGCTTCTAAGAATCTACTTGCATCATTAAAAGGGTATCTATTGAATGTTTTAAAAGTCCCTAAGAACATTCTTAGCAATAAGGGAAGGTTCTAAGAATATTCCATTATTCCGAGTCGTATCTTCTTAGAAGATTCTTAGAATCAAATTTTGCTATCAGGGCAGCCTCTTCAGTAATTTGATACATTTATTATAGCCTCTTCTGCACATCCTGCGGTATTCTGGGATGGTCCCCAGCCCATAAATCTGTTCTTTCTAAAATCTCTCAGCAATTTTCGTGCGGTAAACTTCATTTTTAAATTAAGTATCTCCCATATGGTCTATAATATCTTTATTTACATACTGTCTTATTATAAAATACTACATTGTGTGTAAATATATACATTTTATCACATTTGATTACATTACAAAAAAAATATCACATTTGGTTTATCACATATACAGAATACTTGGGTAGTTTGTAGGGTAGTGCCCTATTTCTGCAGCCTCCTCATCAGGATTGTTGAAGTTGATACTGCTGGTGAGTAGCTGCACTTATTTATCAGTCCTTTGCAGTCCAGATCACTTAGACCCAGCCTCTTGAGTAATTTGATACAATTGTTATGGGCTTCAGTCGTAATGATCTCCCCATAGCATCCAACCACAAATATCCCCAGTTCCGCCGAGCAAGCATGCATGTTCCCCACCTCAGTGACCAGATTTGCTTTGCGACTAATGGATGTGGCATTTTCATTGGTTATGTTGTCCACAGAATTTACAGCATATCTTGTGTGCTTCAGCATTTCTTGGTCTCTGTAGTTTTGGATATGTGATACTGCAATTTCCAAAATTATTACTTCAGTGGGGTTTTCCAGTTTCACCAGGATATCAGGCTTATTGTGATGTAGAGTATATTCAGTTATTATTGAATGGCCTGCTATTACTGCCATGTTCCTTTGGTTCTTTATGTTGGTGTACTGCGCGTTCAGGGTTGCCTTACCGAAGAATAGGCTCTCCGTGGTTGGTTTTGGAGCTCCGGTCGCACCCGGTATTGCCTTTAGTATCCAATATACTATGTTGTCATATCTGGTGATGAACTCGTTGCTTGGGCATGCTGTGGCAACGTGGTACGCCGTTTCGTCATTTGCACAGCCTCTTCTGCATCTCCTGCGGTATTCTGGGATGGCCCCCAGCCCATGAATCTGTTCTTCTGCGGGTGCTTGTAGTAGGGTCAGTCTCCAGCCATCAAGAAATGGTGAAGTGTATGCGGGGAAAGTTATTTTGTTTCCTTCTTTAACTACACGTTTGGGGTAGTGCATATGTGTGGCCCACTTTACTTCCATCCTGGCTATCTGCCTTTCTCTAACCCTCTTCACGATTTTTTGTGTCAGCTTTTTTAGATCTCTCTCCATGTCAACATCAATATTTGTGCACTCATACTTCTCCAGCACCCTTCCCATGTCTGTAATTGGGTTCCTCCAGCCTTTCGCTTGTAATTTTTGGAATTTTTGTAGCTCCTCCTTCGTGTCTGGGTGGTTCTCTAGGTACATACCTTTCTTCACAAGTTGAAGTTCGGTTTCCAGTTCTATGGATCTTATACCTAGGCCCCCCTTGAGGGTTGGGAGATATACCCTGGCATTTGATGTTGTTTTGCCCTTGATGTTGTGCTGTACTAGGGATTTTCGAATGTTGTCATCCATTTTTTTGCATTTCAGTAGGGAAGTAGCTAGTTTTTCGTCGGGGTATATATTACCCAGGACATAAATGGCTGCGGAAACGATGGCCCTGTTATAAAGTTCTACTTTTTGGTTTGTTGATAGCTCTGAGGAAAAAATTACTT